TGCGACAGATGATATTAATTACCTGCCCTTTCAAGCCATCCCTGTCTCACATGTGGTTAACTCTTCATCATGTTCATCTCCAGAACAATAAAAAAGTAGGGGTGGGGGGTGGGGAGCTTCCACTGGGTTGCTTTGGCACAAGGAGTCAAGACCCTCACAGTCACAAAAACCTTCCCTTTCGCAGGCATAGACTGTGGAACAGGGTGAGTTTTTCTGGGGGTAGAATAACTACGTGTTGGGGACAACCTCGTGGTTCCTTGGAAGCCTAGTGTGGTATCCTGTTTTCCATGGTAGCCAACCAAATGCCTCTAGGAAGGAAGTTCATTAGCTGGGCATGAAGGCAATATTACTCCTCAGCAACACTGGAACTGAAAGGACGACGCTTGCAATAAACTACCTGAACCAGTGGGGTGTGGCAGACAGAAAGCTAATCTGTTCTCCCCCCTCACTTCTCTTTTAGCAACTACAGTGGTACCTCGGGTTACATACGCTTCAGGTTACATACGCTTAAGGTCAGACTCCGCTAACCCAGAAATATTACCTTGGGTTAAGAACTTTGCTTCAGGATGAGAACAGAAATCGTGCAGCGGCAGTGCAGCGGCAGCAGGAGGCCCCATTAGCTAAAGTGGTGCTTCAGGTTAAGAACTGTTTCAGGTTAAGAACAGACCTCCAGAACGAATCAAGTTCTTAACCCGAGGTACCACTGTACTTGTTAGGCTTCCTCTTAGGCTTTACTTCCTTCCTGCTTCTTCTCCAAGTTCAGTCAACATCAGTATGAGCAAGCATGTGTGTGTGTATTGACTCTATTTTGGCCACATGTAAAACCTATACTTGGCAAGGTCCGTATAGTTAAAGCTATGGTTTTCCCAGCAGTGATGTATGGAAGTGAGAGCTGGACCATAAAGAAGGCTGATCGCTGAAGAATTGATGCTTTTGAATTATGGTGCTGGAGGAGACTCGTGAGAGTCCCATGGACTGCAAGAAGATCAAACCTATCCATTCTTAAGGAAATCAGCCCTGAGTGCTCCCTAGAAGGACAGATCGTGAAGCTGAGGCTCCAATACTTTGGCCACCTCATGAGAAGAGAAGACTCCCTGAAAAAGACCCTGATGTTGGGAAAGATGGAGGGCACAAGGAGAAAGGGACGACAGAGGACAAGATGGTTGGACAGTGTTCTTGAAGCTACCAGCATGAGTTTGACCAAACTGCGGGAGGCAGTGAAAGACAGGAGTGCCTGGCGTGCTCTGGTCCATGGGGTCACAAAGAGTAGGAGACGACTAAATGACTAAACAACAACAAAAACCTATACTTAAGGTTATCTTTGTTTGGCACGAGTAATAAAAGTTTTCTTTATCCCTTCAACCGGCAGTCTTACCAGTCAATTTTATTTCTTCACACCATTGCAATATATTTACCAAACTTCCAACAAGCATCTGGTACTGAGTGACATACGGCCTCTTAAGCCTAGTGGTTCATTTAGCCATTGTGGCTAATAGCCTCTGACAGACCTATCCTCTCTATGAGTCCTCCTTTAAAGTCATCTAAATTAGTGGCCATCCCACCATCCTGCCTCTGACTTCACAGCAGACTTCTAACTCCAGTGAGGATTTTAAGGCCACATCCACACCAGACATTCAAAGCACTATTATACTGCTTTAAACAGTCATGGCTTCCCCCAAATAATTATGGGTGCTGTAGTTTGTTGAAGGTGCTGCCTGCTGAGTTGTTTGGAGATGCCCCCCGCCATTCCCCTCACAGTTTTTGTAGACTGCTTTGCGTTTTTTCTTTCTGTTTTACAATCAAGCAGTGGATCGATTTTATGAAATGAATAAAATAAGCAGATAAAATAAAACAAGTGCTATGATATTTAAGGGTGGTTTAGAAATTAATTGCTAGTCACAGGGAACTCTGGGAACTGTGACAACTTTCTTGTTTCATTTATTCCAGATGAAAATAATGACCTCATGGACCCCTCCCTGGGCTTAGATGTGGGTATGGACATCCAATGTGCTGGCACTGATGCGGGGCTGATGTTGACATGCTGATTTCAAACATCTAGTCAGATATTCGGCTACAGGCCTCTTCTCTGGCTAGAATACCATGACAAACGCCTGAGTAAAGAGATCAGGCCAGGAACATGCATGTTTCTCTACCCTTCCCTCTCCAAAGATTGTGGCAGAGGAATTCAATTTATGCCAGGTCCCGGTTTCCTAAAAGAATAAAGAGTCACAAAAAGTTAAGCCAAATGGATTAACATTTAAAGGAATGTGTTTCTCTCCGGGACATTGGCTCCCACAATCTGGTCTCCTTGTGTTTATAGCGACAGGTGCAGGTTAGCTCTTTATCTACAGCAAATCAACCAGGGGAAGAAACTACCGCCATCTATAGTACATCTTTTAAAGGCTAGATAGCAAATGTCAGAACTATTTGATCTGGTTTTAGAAACCAACTTTCAAGATTTTGCAAGATTTCACGTGCATGTATATATCTACACACACTTTGAAAAGATTTTAAAGACAGATTTCTTTTTTAAAGAACAAACTTTTATGTGCGTATAAAATGGGAAAGCATGCTCAAAGTCTTGGGCAAAGAGAAAGCAGAGGAGAGAGCTATCTGCAGTGCACCATAAATCTATCCAATTGTGTGCCAGCAGCTGGATCTTTTTATGTGTGACATATGCTCTTGATGCTTAAGATCAACAGATATAGCTAGATTTATTGAACAACACAAGCATTAATTGTGTCTGGTCCAAAGTCCAGAAATACTTGATAACATGCAAAACTCTTGAAACTAAGACCTATATGCTTGGAGTATCATACTGACAGATACCAGGGTATGGGCAGGATTGGCCAAATTAGGATCAAAAGGGTTGCGTTCTTAGAATCGGGACTGAGTCAGAAGCCTTGGCAAGATATAGGGCCAGGGCACTGTTTCGGAAGGGGAATAGTCTCCATACCCAGTCAAGTCAAGTCAAGTACTTTATTACGGTCATAGACCAGCATAAGCAAAACATCTTAATAAATAGCATAACAGTATAAATCTAAGCTAATAATTATTAAATAAATAGGAGCAAGAACCAAACATAGATTTAAACATATACATAGAATACTTAATTAAGCATAGACAATGGGTGAGTAAAAGTTTATAAGAAAAATTAAAAGATCGGTTAACACAGCTATATGGGGTGGGTTTCAGAAGTGTGGATCTAACAATATGGGCCTTCAGTTTAGGACTGAATTGTAGCATAGGCCATTCTTCGTCGAATATCTATCATGGCAGCACAAAATCTGGTGACTGAATATGTGACTTCTGGGCTCTCGTCCTGTAGTAAAGTCCTGTAGTAATGAATATGTGACTTCTGGGCTCTCGTCCTGTAGTAAAGTCCTGTAGTAATGAATATGTGACTTCTGGGCTCTCGTCCTGTAGTATGTTCTTCCGAACGCCCAGGAAACTTATATAAAATGGGCTGGATAAGCCTAGTTCAGATGTCTACTGGCAATGAAGAAGGGCATGCTCCTTCGTTTCCTGCTGCCCAGAGCCACACAGGCATTTCCTCTCCTCGTAAGGTATCTTCCTATAACGGCCTTTCTGCATTGCTGAAGGGAGGGCCTGACAACGGGCCAAAGTGAAAGCCCTTCATTATTTTGGTATTTCGAGATTAGCTATGTATGGCATTTGGGAAGTCAAATATCTTATAGTTTCGCTAATTAAAAATTTGGTGGACCTGGCTAGGTCTACCTGTCGTTCTATATCTACCACACGCTGTTAAATATTGTTTTTTGCTTGTTCGTGCCCCATGTTGAGTTGGATTTGTGGATTGAATCCTAAAGTTGCTATTATATTTTCCACTGCTTGTTTCCATGTGGACTGAAATTTGTCTATAATAGTCAGGGAAGCAAGGCCGCTCGGAAGGAAGGCTAGTCTCAGCCAGTAATTAAGAGTGGCAAGCCACACTCTTGCCTCAATTCTTATTAATCCAGTTTCGAGGAATATGGTTGCGTTTGTCTCCATACCCATTTTCTGAGTTTCAGAAATTGTATGTTTATTTCTCAGGGACACACACAGAGTCTGGCCAGATCTCTCTCTCTCTCTCTCTCTCTCTCTCTCTCCCCCCCCCCCCACACACATATATATGCGCACTGAATGACTATTATCCTCTTATAGACATTCAACAGGGTACCATAAGCATGGCACTGCAGTAGAACTGCACCAAACTATACAGGTTTTGTTCCCAATCATATGGAGAAGGCCCTCCAGCTATAAGGGCAGGGACTCTCTACAAATGTTTTAAGGAATGTGCATAGATAGGAGACAAAGTCTGCTGCCACGATGCCACCCATAGAGGATCAGGATATCAGTGACTACTAGCCAAGATGACTACACCCTTGTGCAAATTAACTGAAACAAACAATGTAGTTTATTGTACAAAACTCACATATACATGTACAAAACTCACATATATATACATTAGTAACGTATATGACCTCTGCTATTTTTAAGCAGCATTTGAACACGGTTTGGCATGGAGTCTAGTAGTTTTGAACAGTCACTGTTGATTTTTGGATCCCTGTACCACACTTGAATCAGCGCCTGAATGAGCTTCTCCATAGCCGTACAGTCTACAGCACAGAGGTGAGTATTGAATATAGCCCACAAATTCTCAATGGGATTTACGTCCGGGGAATTCCCTGGCCAATCAAGTACCTGTATTTGCTGCTCTGTCATGAATTTCTTCACCACTTTCGATGTGTGACAGAGGGCTAGGTTCTGCTGCAATATCCCAGTACCGTCAGAATACCTCTTTTCCAACTCTGGAATAACTCTCTTTCATAGAACCTCAATATATTGTGGCAAGCGCATCATTCTTTCTATTGGCTGCAAGGTGTGCAAGAGGATGAGATACATAGCTAGGTGCAAGCTAAGGAGCTAGTCCAACAAGCAACATGTCCCCTGCACCTTGCTTCAAAGGACAGGTACAACACTTACCATAGCAAATGGCTCTAGTCATGAGACTGGGCAATCCTCAGGGTGGGTTGAGCTTGAAGGATGGGTTTGTGCTGGTGTTTCCGAGTCCTAGGAGACGGAGGCAGGATCAACACTGGTTGCTGAGAAGCAGGTGAAAGAATCTGACCCTGAATCTGAACATATGGGTCACATAAGTTCCACAAAACATCAAATGTACTTTTCAATGTGACTCCCCTTAAACATCTATGTAGTAGGATAAAATGTGCATATAAATGCATTTATTGGTGAAAATAACATACAGAAATGCATTACATTAGGGAAAATTGCTTTGCAAAAATGTATGCACTGGGCAAAACTGCAATAAAAATGTGTGTATTAGAAGAAATTCACACAAAAATGATTATGAATACTAAAAATAAATAAATCTCAAGCTGATGTGGAAACATACAAAACTGAACTTAGGGATTAAAAAATGAGAACCCAAAATTGACATATTCACCCAAGCCTAATGGCAACTGGGTTGGTTCACCTTTCAGTGTGAACTGAATCAAATTCTTCCCCCCGTCCCTAGCCCTATTGAGTACAGTGGACGCTCGGGTTGCGAACGTGATCGGTGCGGGATGTACATTCACAACCCGCGTCTGTGCACACGCGGGTTGCGATTCGGCACTTCTGCGCATGCGTGACCACTGAAACCCGGAAGTAACCCGTTCCGGTACTTCCGGGTTTTGGTGGTCCATAACCCGAAAAACACAACCTGAAGTGGCTGTAACCCGAGGTATGACTGTACTGGCCAGTTCGGGAAGAAAAACACCTTGTGTATGATTTTTTTTGGTGGTGTCAAAGTAGCAGAAATGACTGCTCTGACCTCCAGCTTAACGTGGGGGATGAGGAGAAGCAGTTTATGTTGGCATCATCCGATTAAATTCTGTACAGCTCAGCATTTTCCCGCTTGCAGAGATGCATTTTCAAAGCGACGAGTAGAAATACAAGTATAAATCCTATTATTTGCTATCAGGCGCGCTCAGCATCACCCCCACCGCACACGTCTTTGGAAACAGAGGCCGTAATCTCAACTTGCCTATGCACCCACTTGGAGGAGCAGACACGTTTGCCAAAAACATTAGAGGCCTGTGTTTCAGTTTCCCTGCCACCACTTTCTCCTCCTCTCTTCCCTGGCAGGATTATGTTTGGGTCTGCTGGGTAGTTCTGCTTGTCAAGAGACAAGCTACTCCTACATATCCTGGTCTGATTTCTAAAGCGAGTGTGTGTCTCCGTGCGAGGACGTCTGGAAAATCGTTTAAGGAAACTTCTTTAATAGCTGCAGTTCTTTCTCGCTGCTCTCAAAATGGTCACCTCCCCAAGGACAGTGGCAGGAACAACCAATGCAGCAGCCAGATTACTGGATGGTGTTCCATTTAGAACTTGTATCACCCTTGTTTTAAAAGCAGCTGGGTTATAAAATAGAATCACAGAATTGGAAGTAGTTGCCAGTCGTCCCCCCTCCCCTCAGTCCCAACTCAAGGTGCTCACATCAGCATTTAAGATTTGGGACCCAATTATCTGAAATAGTGCCTCCTTCCCTACAGATCATTTCAGGTGTTAAGACCAGCAGAGAGTCCTTTCTTGGTAGCTTCACTGGCCTCAGAAGTTTGAGGAGTGGCCATGCTGGAGAGCACTTTCTTTGTGGCAAACCCTAAGTGGTGGTTTTCCCTCCCCACACAGAGGTGCCCGTGAAACCTTTATTATGAAGTATCCGTTGCATGCTGAAAACACACCTCTTTACCCTGGCCTTTGACTCTCTCCCGCTCTCTCTACATTAGAGCTCGCTCCCCCCCCCATTTCTTTTGAAATTATTTTATTGTGTTTTCAATAAGTAAACACATTAGCCAAGGAAGTTATCTCTTAAATAGCGTATGTCAAAACAATTGCATTACACTTCCCTCACTCAGCAAACAAACATCATAGGCAGAACCACCGTGACAAATAAATTAATTCAAGCAAAACTAAATCCTCCCCTCTCAACCAAATGACTTTTTGGTTCCAAGTGTCGTTAAGAATGAGAATGTCCCATTACGCCTCAGCAGGTAACTGTAGCAAAGCAAGAGCAGCTTAAATGCAAAACATAATACATACGAAAATATATTAAGTCTGTCAAAAAAGTCGTTTACTTTAAAACGTCCAAGGCCTCATATAATGTGGAGATAGGTCATTAGTTTTATCATTAACAAAGGAGATAAAATCATCCCACTCTACTACAAAGTAATCATTCTTTGCTTGCTCCCTAATTACTTTCAATTTATATTTAAGTTTTTTCCACTCAAGGTACCCTCCAGACTCTCTCATAGCTGTAGTTGAACACTGCGCCCTTTAAATCTTTACAGGATCTCATAATAGTTAAATGAACAGCTGTAAGCAGCTCACCCCATTCCTTTGATTGCATTTGTTTAAAAATGATTTGAATATTGCACTTTTAATATATCCATAACCCACCCTTGGATCTTGTGGGTCCCAGAACAAAAGCAACAACAGAGTAAAAGGAATCAAAAGAAGAAAGAGTAAACAAAAGGTTATAACATAAAAAAGAAACAGGCAATCCTACAAAAAGCAGCACGTGATTATAGTCTGCAGAATTAATAACATGGTAAAGCTTCCTGCTTCCTGTGCATGTTTTGGTTCAGTATGAGAGAGGAAGGGTTGTAGCTCATCGGTAGAGCATCTGCTTTGCGTGCCAAAAGTCCCAGGTTCAATTTCTCAATGTCTTCAGGTAGGGGTTGGAGAGACCCCAGCCACATTCACACCATCTATTTAAAGCGCTATGCTACCACTTTGAACATAGGGATGCGGGTGGTGCTGTGGGTTAAACCACAGAGCCTAGGATTTGCCGATCAGAAAGTCGGCGGTTCGAATCCCCATGATTGGGTGAGCTCCCGTTGCTCGGTCCCTGCTCCTGCCAACCTAGCAGTTCGAAAGCATGTCAAAGTGCAAGTAGATAAATAGGTACCGCTCTGGTGGGAAGGTAAACAGCGTTTCCGTGTACTGCTCTGGTTCACCAGAAGTGGCTTGGTCATGCTGGCCACATGACCCGGAAGCTGTATGCCGGCTCCCTCAGCCAGTAAAGCAAGATGAGCGCTGCAACCCCAGAGTCGGTCACGACTGGACCTAATGGTTAGGGGTCCCTTTACCTTTACCTTTACCACTTTGAACAGTTGTGGCATCCTCTAAAGAATTCTGGGAGCTGTAGTTTTTTTAAGGGTTCTGAGGGTTGCTCAGAGACACCTAGCAACTCTCAGTACCCTCAATGAATGACATCTCCCAGAATTCTTTGGGGGAAGCCATGACGGTTCAAAGTAGCATCATAGTACTTTAAATTGATGGTGTGAATGTGGCCTAAGTTGCGTAAGTTGGTTTGGTAATTGCAAAGAGCAACAAAACTGAGTACTCAAGCAGCTCAAACGCTCCTGGAAAAGTCTCAAACATTTACATAAATATTCCAAAAGAGGGCCAGCCTAATTAAACAACCTCTCTCTTCCTTATCATTCCTTCTTATGCCCATCGATTTTCTTTTCTTCTCACTCCTACAGATTACACATGAATGTCCCCTGCATACAAAATTACATCCTGGGTCAGATTAATTAAACTCCCTGTTGTGGCCAGTTGATATTTTATAAATTGTTGTTTATCGGGGTTCTCTTTCTTCCTCCTTTCTTGCTACTTCTACAAACAAAACATTTTTTTATAGCTATAAAAAGAGAGACCACCGCCAAAAAGAGGCCTGTGGCTTGTATGGAGGTGGGGGAAACACCCCACATGAAATACCCAAATACCTTTTGTCTTTCGAACCGGCTGGAGTTTTGAGCCATTTGGGGTTCTGAGCTTTTTCTGGCATTATCAGGTTAGAACAGGACAAACACATGAATGCCTGACATCAGCACTAAACCCAGCAGGACGTGTTACTTTTTCATTAGAATCTTTGAGCTTGAGATCAGACACAGGGAAAGATTAAAACAAATATGAATTTAATCAAGGGATTCTACTTTCCTGGTGTGGGAACAGGAACACGCTGACATAAATAGAGGGCCGAGCACCAGGGCATCTAAACCATATCAAAGGCGGCTTGCTTACCACTAACTGCTCAGATGATCCATATCATAACAACAAAAAAGAAAAACAATTATTTATTCTTTTTGATGTTTGTGGCTCAGAAGTAACTTCCTTTTTGAAGAGTGCAAGGTCAAAGCCAAGTTATTGTGTGTTTCTTTTTCCAGGTTTCCCCCCCCCCCACTACTTCTTCTTCTTCTCCTCTCTTTTCTTTCGCATGAAACTTTGTCAGTGAGGGGCTGAAAGTTATTAGATTGTATGACCTACATTTGGGATTTGTGCATGGAAGCAAAGAGACGCTGGCTTCTTTTGTGGGTAAAATAACTGGGGGGAGGGGGCTGGGGGCGGGCTGGGAAGGTGTTAATTGTTAAAAAGGAAAAAAGAGGGCTGCAAATTACATCCTTATGGAAAATGGGATGATTAAAAAAGAGAGAGGAAAAAGAGAACAGGGGAGTATATGTTCCGAAATGTAGAAGTCCATAGCCCATCCCTTTCCCCTGAAACATACTGATGAAGCAATGGGAAGCCAAACCATCGTTTGACCATCTGGGCCCTTTCCTCATGCTCCCATTCTCAAGGGTGTTCTGACAGTTCCCTGGACTTCCTGTGTCATGGGTTGCCTGGATGCAGAAGACTGGTGGGAGGCTGGGGAACCTCTTGCTGTAACTAGCTCCCCTACCCCTTGGTCTCCCAGAACACAGAGAGAAATGAAGAGGGCGGAGTAAAGAGAGACAAAACGAAGCAGCCTTAGGCTGCTGGGGAAGGAACAGCAGGAGGAGCCTTAGAGAGCAGTGAGGAGGCAGGGACCTCCAGTCCTTGAAACTCCTTCACTGATGCAAGATCTACTGGGAAGAACTGCTGTGATCGCTAAGCCTGCACTATTTTGTTTTCTTTGAATAAAGAGTTGACTTCACAGACGCAACGGGTGTTTTATTGCTGACCTGCTCCTGACATCCTGGTTTGCAACAAACCATAAGCCCTCTTCAGGCATTTCTCCTCTGCGCTAATGCTTGAGGCAGGGGAGAGGAGCGTGTTAGCTCCCACCCATCAACCATCTTGGAGCCCTGTGGAACTTATGAAGAGCCCTGCTGGGCCACACCAAAGGCCTATCTAGCCCAGCGTCCTGTTCTCACCGTGGCCAACATAGTAGGGAGCAAGCAGGACCCAAGCACAAGAGCCCTCTCCTCTCCTGTGGTTTCCAGCAACTGGTATTCAGAAGCATACTGCCTCCAACAATGCAGGTAGAACATTGTCATTGTGGCTAGCAGCCATGGACATCCTTATTCTGCAACAGAGAGCCTACACCGGCTTTTCTCAGTGTTGCCCTGCAGATGTTTTGGCCTACAACTGATTTTGTGACAGATGTTTTGCCTTAGAGAAGCACGCTCATAGCAGTATCAGGTAGCCTGGCCACTGGTCAGGGATGATGGGAGTTGTATTGTCCAAGACAGATGGAGGGCTCCAGTTTGAGGAAGGCTGGTTAACACAAATAGAGAGAGTTGTAGAAAGTTGACCTCCAGCTCATGAAGGTCAACTGTCCCAGCTCGAAGGGACAGCAGAGGAATAATAAATAATAAAATTTTATTTATATCCCGCCCTCCCCAGCCGAAGCCGGGCTCAGAGCAGGTTTGTCCATATTCTCTCTCTCCCAGCATGTTGATTTGACACAAAAGACAAGTGCCTGGGTAGAGCAATAGTTTGCCATTACATCTCAGTTGAGAATGCTATGTTTCTCAGGCAAGCTATTGTTTGTTTGAAGGTGAGAACTGTGAAGCACAGACCAATTCTGCTTTGTAGCAAACAATATTTCCCCCCAAACTGGGTGTTAGAAAACCCTATGGTTTGCTGTGAACCAGGTCTGATAGATAGGCTGTTGTAGCATGCAAGGGGAGGAGACTGTGTAAGCCCAAGACCTGCTCCTTTTGGTCAAACCATGGTTTGGTGATTTATCCATAATGGCCCAGTTTGGATGTTAATCATTATTTTTAAGTGAGCTCCAGTGACACTACACACATTCTTTATTAAGGTCCCAAGACCCGAAAAAACAATTTCGAAAGCAAAGTACAGAATACGGAAAAGACATTACTAGGCAGTCACTGTGTTTTATGCAAGACATGTGGATTTTTAATTCTTACTACCTCCAAGAGAAAATTTTGCCATGGCTAGGGTTTTTTTTTTTTTAATCTTCAAGGAGATACTTGAGATGAAAGATAACAGAGTTTCCAGGTAAATTTACCAATAAGGGCTTAATTGATTGGTTCCAGGAACCAGTGACACTGGTTTATGTGGTCCTTGCCCAAAGACAGTGCCAGTACATGTTTTTATTCCACCTTCTTGGTAGCTGAAGCACACCTATGAATTAAAATGCAGAAAACCCTTCATTTTTATATACAACAAGATTAACTTGTCACCACAGTGCTGGAGTGACTGCCGGCGGTGGCTCAGACCAGCCATGACCCTGGGCTCATATTTGTCTTCTCCAGGGGATGAGACTGAGGAGTCAGGAGAAGAGCTGAATCCAGGACCAGCCCCAGAGGTATGTCTGCAAGATGAGTGCTCCTCTGGATCAAGGATGTTCCATTGTCATCCTTTGTCTCAGAAGACTCTGTTGGGGGAGGGGGCTTTAAAACCAGAATCTGGCTCTATTTTGTCAGCTCCAACGCCCCTGGCTCAACTCCTGGCCTCTGGCTGAACCTTGGCAATGTGCAAGCCATTTCCAGGATATAGCCCTGGGATGTGGGAAATGGCTTCTTTGTGCAAAACTGGCTGCCAGTCACCTCATCCTGCACAACTGGAAGGACAGAACACCCTACCCATTCCAAGATCCAGCACACTTATCCATGTGTTCCACCTAGGAACAGAGCGAATTTTAAAAGCAGCTCCAGAAAGATACCTACTATGCTACCCCATACTACAAAGGTAGGGAACCTCAGGCCTGAGGGTCAAATGGGGCCTTACAAATCTTTCTATTTGAGCCTAGGGAATCTCCTTGTTTCACATCCCTATTTCCCAGGCCATGCCCCTCACCGGCCGTGCTTTGTGCCACCCCATAAGGTCTCTTATATGGAGACGCCAGGGATTGAACCTGGGATGCTCTACCACTGAGACACAACCTTTCCCCAATTGTGTTTCTAACAGAAAGTGAAGGGATAGCCTCCCCTTCAGATCCTGAAGAGCAGGCAGCAGGGAAGGCGACAGGACCTGCGCAGTCCGACAGAGCCCAACGATGCTGATGCCTACCCCAGGCTGAGGTGTGGAAAGCAGTTTAAATTCTCCCCTTTGCCCTGGAGCAACGCTATGTCAGCTGCTCCAGGGCATTGTGGGAAATTTAAAATGGCAGCCATTCAGCACCAATCAGAGGAGCTGCCCCTGCTCTGCCCCATACCCCAAACCAATCTTGCAGATTGTGATGGAATCACTACGGCTCCTGCTATAGTCAGTCAGCCACTTTTTTATCTCCTGCAGCCAAAGACATTTGCGAAAAGATACATTCTCCCTCCCTCAAGTGATATGAAAAGGATTCAAAATATAAGATGAACATTCCAAAGATTATTTATCATGGCCTCTTGTTATCACCAGAGCAAAGCATCTTAATAGCCATACAGTGCCAGATCCAGGTTTTTTTGGGGGGGGGGGGCTCCGGGGAAGTCACACAGCCTGACCCAGGGGTCAGCAAACTTTTTCAGCAGGGGGCTGGTCTACTGTCCCTCAGATCTTGTGGTGGGTCGGACTATATTGGGGGGGGGCATGAACGAATTCCTATGCCCCACAAATAACCCAGAGATGCATTTTAAATAAAAGGATACATTCTACTCTTGTAAAAACACGCTGATTCCTGGAACGTCCGCAGGCCAGATTTAGAAGGTGATTGGGCTGGATCCGGCCCCCGGGCCTTAGTTTGCCTACCCATGGCCTGATCCCGCTCTCTTGAGGAATTTGCTTCCTCACCACCATAATTACCATCTTCATTTTCCTCACTATTTCCACCTGCTCCCTTGCCAGGCAGACACTCAATGAACAAGCAAGCAGTGGCATCTATTGTGCCTCCTCCATCTCTCTGGAACTGTTGCCCTGGACCAGAATGAGAGTCAAGCAAGCAGGGTGCAACACTGAAGAGCAGGGGCTCTTGTCAACAGGCCCCCTGGAGGGTTGCGGCCCCCTCAGCACATTCCTGACCCTGCCAGTTCCTGATGCTGGCCCTGGATCTTGGCTGACTTCAAATATCTGAAGGGCTGGCCTACTGAAGATGGAGCAAGCTTATATTCTGCTACACCAGAGGTAGGAGCTGAACCAATGGAACAAGGAAGGATATTCCAACTAAACATGAGGAAGAACTATCTGATGGTAAGAGCTGTTTGGCAGTGGAACAGACTCCCTCAGAAGGTGGTGGACTCTCCTTCGTTGGAGTTTGGGTGGCCATCTGTCAGGGATTATTTAGCTGTGATTACTGCATGATGGGGAATTGGACCAGATGACCCTTAGGGTTCCTTCCAACTCTGCACCCCTTGAAGAGATGACAGCTTCCTCTGCCAACCCTAAGTCAAGTGAAGAGGACCATTGCAGGCCCCTGGACAACTGGCATCTTGTACTCCTGAATGCCTACAATGGGCTGCTGGGTTCTGGAAGCTTCCAAACAGCCATCAAGCTCTTAGCTCAACCAGACACAACCAAAATGTTAAGCTCACATGGGGGCAACCAGTATTTAGTGTGCCATTAAATGCGGTTCTAAAGGTCAATCAGTCTCCAGTTTCTCATTTCAGCTCATGTTCACTGCTCAAAACACATTGCAAGTATTTATTTGTGCAAGGAGGATGAACTTAAGCATTTTAAGGAGGCAAAAACCCCAAAACAACCACAATATCAGCCAGCCCTTTATCTGTAGAAGAAAGGTGTACTTCTTCAGATCGAGTGCCACATCGAATAAACACAACTGTCGTCAAATGTCATGAACATCTGAGGACAACATCATTCAGTGTGGCAATGCAGACAGACTAAGGAAAGAGGTTCTTAAAAAAACAAAAACAACAACAACCCAAAACAGCCCATAACAACCCCTAAAATAAAAACCAAGACCTCATTATTAACATTGCCGCTGGCAAGGTGAGTGGAGAACACAACCTCTTCCTTCTTTCCTTTACATGCACACTGGTAATTATGCAAGGGACACTGTCTTAAGATGATTTTAAAAAGAGGTGCTTTCATTGTTTTTCGCTTCATACAAGGTTAAGGGTTCTTTGGGTCAAAATATTCTGCCTCAGCATCTCTTCGCTGCATCAGTCCTTTTTCTTTCCGGGGTGGGGTGGGGATGGGGGGGGGGAGAGAGTGGGGGCTGGAAACACCCAGAGCCATAATTTGTCTTAGAATTCCTTTTGAAACGCTACAAGAAAGACTAACCACTGCTCTTTTCCCTCTGTTTCTTATTCCCGCAATCCCTTTATCTGGCTTTCATTTCCAGGCTCGCTTGGCCTCTTTTGTAGGAGAGACTTCAGGGAGCCCAAGTCACTTTCGCAGCCCCTGTGATGTTCGGGAAGATTAAAAAGCGGCTTTGAAGCTTTAACAGCACTCTGTAAGCCCCGTTGGTACAGGACCTCAGAAAGACCCAAGCCATCTGGCAAACTGACATAAAGACGACGCAAAGTGATTGAAACAGTTTCTTCAAAGCGACAATGGCCGGCTGGCAGGTTTGTTGATTTGGGGTTTTTTTTGTCTTTTATGTGTCACCCTCAAAAAAAAAAAAAAAAAAAAGGTGCAAGAACACCTAGGCAATCGCAGAGAGAGAGAGAGAGAGACAGAGAGAAACGATTGGTGCAATCTGCTTCCACAAGTTTCTATTACCAGAAGCAAAAGAGGGTACTCGGGGAAGTCACTGAAAGCAATCCGGTGAAACACTAATGAATTTAACCTGAGGCGGTCTGTTTGGTAATTATATAATTAAACACTTCATTTGGAATTTCTAAAGCTTTTGCAGGGAAGAACAGCACTTCCTATTTACTGAATCCGGTTTTGACAGCTTAAGCTAGCGCGCTCGCGCGCACACACACACACAAAGGGGGGACATGTACAGGGGGGGCAGAAAGGGAAGTTGTTTCATCTGAGGACAAAATGATTTGGAAGATAAGAAGCCGTCACTGTGCGCCTAATTGCAATTGTCTCGTTTTAATAACTGGCGACATAAATATCTCCAATCAGAACATTTCCTCGCAAAGTCAGAATACAATGATTGATACGTTTAAAGAAGGAGAAGAAAGGAGGGAGAGGGGGAGAGATGCTCTGATCTGCGACTACATGAAACGCGTTTGTTGTTTTTCCCTGGGTGATGTCAAACATTCCTAGGGAGAGAAAAGATATTAAAAAGACGAATTTACATATTATTGATACTGTCAATCTTTGTTACTGGGCTCTAATGCGCTAGTAACAGGGAGTGAGAGATGTAAACGAGACGTGTCTATGCCACTGGGGAAGCACCACAGAGATGGCAGATTTGGGAGGACAGTTGAACTCAGCCGGATTTCCACCAGATCAGATGTGGCTTGCAGTGGAAGCTTCCCTGAACTCTTGCAAATCTCCAAAACTGCAGTCTTACGAAGCCAGGAAAAACAAACGTCAACCCATTCACCCAACTACCCCAGTAATCCTGGCCACGGCTGCTATAGTAATCTATACGATGAACAGTTTATAAGAGGTGTAACCATTTTGCTGTGCTCCTGAGGTCACCTTTTGGAGTGGCAGGTGAAGCCCAGGGATGGTTGAATCTGTCCATTTCAGTTTCTTATTTCTCCAGTCTTAAACTCACGTCTCCACATTTCCACATCAGTTTGCTTTTAAAAAAAATGTCCTCATGAAAATTCGTCAGTATTTTAGTGCAAATTTCTCCCAATATGCGCATTTTTGCAAAGCAAATCCCCCTAAGTCGTGTATGTTATTTTCACTAGCATCTGGATTTATCCGCATGCTTTAGTATATTGGGCGGTGTGCAGTTAAGATTTACTCAGAGTAGTTCCCTTAAAAATAATGAGCATGAGAAAGTTAAATCTGTTAATCTCAGTCGGTCTACTCTGAGTAAAACTTAGCTGCATACCACCCGGTGTCCTTTCGTATAGTTTCGGCTGCAGAACTGCATTGCAAAATCTAGAGAAGTGCAAATTTCAAAGGATTTCTGTGTTTTGGTTTGCATATTGTAACAGTATTCCCTCTGCATACTTCAGTAAATGGGAATTGGGTAGGTTTGCCTTCAAATCCAAACTGAATCTAGTTTCTCCTCTATACCTAAGGAGGCCATCACTGCCCCCCTCTCATTCTGCCACTCCCTTTTTATCTCTGTGGTCCTCTTCTTTCCCACCCAAAAACCTGCCAGGAGAGAGACAGACCACTCTGGCCAGATAGGAAGATAGGGAGCTGCATTATGCTGAGGTCTTTCTAGACCAGTGGTGCCACCCCCCCCCCAATAAAGCCTCAAAGCTTGTGAAAACAAACAGCTCATCTTCAGTGTGAAGACTCTAAGCACCTGGGTTTAGCAATCAATCCCTCTTCCCAGGGAACTCTGGGAATGGTAGCTCTGTGAGGTGAATGGGGGGGGGGGTCTCCTAACAACTCTCAGCTCCTTTAATAAATTTCAGCTCCCAGAATTCTTTGGGGGAAGCCATGCCTGTTTCAAATGGTATCATAGTGCTTTAAATGTATGGTGTGAATGTGGTAATTGCCTCAACGCCTAACATGCCCTCTTGGCTCTCTTTTCGGAAGGCATGGTGGACAAAATTATTGGTGCAGTTCTAGTCCAAAGCAACGGTACTGGGCAAGAAAGTGGGCACTCCTGCGAATAGACTGAGGTTACTCACACCGGCAGGTCTGCTGGAACATCCTTGGGAATTATGCCTGCCAGGCCAATTCACTGGCCAACTCAAGCTTGCATGCTTCCTCAGTTGTCAGGTCTACCACACCCTCAGAGGGCAGAGCTGGGGCTAACTCCATCAATTCTCTCCACCATTGGGACGTCAGGCTGTGTTGTGGTAAAGATGTCGCTTGACAGTCTCAGTAGTCTCATCCCAGTTCTCCACCTCCTCTGACCAATCTTGCCAAGAGGTTTCCATGGGGCTCATGACAAATAGCTACACTGATGTATGAAATTTCATGGGACTGCACCTAGTAAAAGGCAATAAACCTGTACAATCACAGACATCTGTTGCTTCAGACATCTTGTGAAGACTTGGGTTTTTTTGGTTGTTGTTGTTGTTTTGACCCAAGAGATCAGACCCTTTTTTTGGTGTATGAATCCCCTTGATCTCTTTTATTTGCCTTTCCATGCTTATATATGCTTTTATACTGTTGTTTTATACCGTTTATTACAGTCATACCTCGGGTTACAGACGCTTCAGGTTGCGTTTTTTCAGGTTACAGGCCGCCAAAACCCGGAGTTACTGGAACGGGTTACTTCCGGGTTTCGGCAGTCGCGCATGCGCAGAAGCGCTAAATCGCGCTTTGCGCATGCACAGAAGTGCCAAATTGCAACCCGTGCGTGCGCAGACGTGGGTTGCGAACGCTGTGGGTTGCGAACGTGCATCCCGCACGGATCACATTTGCAACCCGAGTGTCCACTGCATTGGCTTCGGCTTATATTTTTGCTTCACTGGATCTTGTTTTCATATTGTACATTGTGTACGCCACTCTGAGATTTTTGAAATATAAAGAAGTCCAGAAATACTTTCAAATAAATAATAAAGGACACGGTTAGGACTTGCCACGTAACGGCGATAATATAATTCTGTGGGTGAGAAATCTTTAGTTTGAACCTTTCCCCTCCTACAACAGAACACAGTTGCAATGCGCTAAGGGAGGAGGGGAGAAAATGTTCTGTCGCTTTCCGTGTCAAAGCGAGGGGAGAAATATTAAGCGTGGAGTTGCGATCATTATGATGAGGTGCTGGAGAGGTTTCCTCTCTCATTTCCTCTCTCCCCGTTGCTTTCATTCCTTGCACTCCTCTGATCTTGATATCGCTAGCAAAGCCGCCTCTCTCCCTGCCCTTTCCTGCTCTGGACTGCCCTCCTAGTCCTGCAAATCAACACAACTAAGCTGAGAGATTGTCAGAGAGTCCTTTGCTAGAGAGCAGTGCTCTTACCCATCCTTCCTCCGCCTCCGCCACCCGCCCTCCCCAGACTGCAAAATACCTTGTTACAGCAAGACCTTTGTCATGAAAACTGGAGAAACTGCCTTCTGTCTCTCTGGTGGGCATGGAAATAGGCACAGCAGAAGCTGGTCAAAAGAGGCAACTTGAGGGAGGAAAGCAAATTCTTCTTAAAAACAACAGCCATTGCCCCGTACTTCCTTCTTGCAAAATAGCTGCAATGCACAGTCTGTTTATCACAGCTTACTGTGCTGTGTTATGTGTGCCCAGTTCCATGCTGGGCAACTTGGGCTAATATGCCTGCCAACTGCAGCAAGAGTCAAGTCAAGAGTCAGAGTAAGGTCACATTCACACCACATGCTTAAAGCAGCATTATGCCACCTTAAGCAGTCATGGCTCCCCGCAAAGAATCCTGGGAGCTGTAGTTTGTTAAGGTTGCTGAGAGTTGTTACGAGACCCTCCTCTCACAGAGCTACAATTCCCAGAGAGGTTTAATGGTTAATCCCTCTTTACAGGGAACTCCCTGATGTGAGGTCAGAAAGATCCAGGTATCAGAAAGCTTCCGGTGAATGGAAAATAGGGCACCTCTGTTCTAAATATGCATTGCAATTATTTGCAGTTGTGCATTGTATATTGGTATTACAGGCAACAACCGATTAATGTGTGCCTGAAAGGTGTGAGACTGCGCACACACACGGCGCGAACTCAGAAGTGACCTGAAACGATAAAACAACACATCACTAAAAGGGCGTAACAGGGTGGGGAACACTTATAAGCGCTCCACCAACACATACAGGGGCTGGAAACGGAAGCCCCACTCAAAATGGCCATCAGCTGTATATAAAATAAACTCTATACCAAGATGGGAAGCTGCATGGTGACAGAGTGCTATCTGAGATGATTAAGAAGGTGAAATCACCCTGCGAGCCATTTTAAAAGCTCGGTTCCAGGTAGTATGTGTCAGGAGGTAAACAGATGCATGCCATTCCTACAGTGGGGAGGAGCTTCATCCCTGAAAATAATTATTTCAGAAATGGCTTAAGCGTCATGATAAGTAACAAACTTAAAGCCCCAAAAGGTTAACAATTATTTGAGGATCTACAAACAATGAGGAGGGGTAACAATTAGGAACAGAGAAGAAGAGATTTCTGGGCGGACTGCAGAGATTGCTTGTAGAATTTATAGAGGATCCAGGGTGTCATTGGGAAAGGGGAGTACAGTGGTACCTCGGGTTAAGTACTTAATTCGTTCTGGAGGTCCGTACTTAACCTGAAACTGTTCTTAACCTGAAGCACGACTTTAGTTAATGGGGCCTCCTGTTGCTGCTGCGCCGCGGGAAGACGATTTCTGTTCTCATCCTGAAGCAAAGTTCTTAACCTGAAGCACTATTTCTGGGTTAGCGGAGTCTGTAACCTGAAGCATATGTAACCTGAAGTGTATGTAACCCGAGGTTCCACTGTATCTGCTTTGCAAGCAGAAGGTCCCAATTTCCATCTTCAGGCTGGGCTCTGAAAGACCTCCGTCTCAAACTCTAGAGCAGGGGTCAGCAATCTTTTTCAGCCATGGGCCGGTCCACTGTCCCTCAGACCATGTGGTGGGCTGGACTATATTTTGAAAAAAAGTATGAACAAATTCCTATGCCCCACAAATAACCCATAGATGCATTTTAAATAAAAGCACACATTCTGCTCATGTAAAAACACCAAGCAGGCCCCACAAATAACCCAGAGATGCATTTTAAATAAAAGGACACATTCTGCTCATGTAAAAACACGCTGATTCCCAGACCGTCCGTGGGCCAGATTTAGAAGGCGATTGGGCCGCATCCGGCCCCCAGGCCTTAGGTTGCCTACACCTGCTCTAGAGAGCCACTGCTAGTCAGCGCAAACAGTACTGGGCTTAGATGGACCGACGCTCTGAATTGGTGCAAGGCAGCTTCCTATGTAATCCTGGAATGAAGACCTGCCAGCTGAGGGGCTTTAGGATTCTGCCCCATTGCATAGGCAGAACAGCAGATACACCCGTGCAGTGGGGAACATGCTGCAGAACGCCCCAAACATGCCAACCAAATGGCTGAAATGGGGGGCAGAGTTGCATGCAAGACATGGGCCCAAGAACACCCAGTGAGACCATGGCACCATCTAGCTCAGTATAGTCTACACTGACTGGCAGCAGCTCTCCGGGATTTCAGCACCCATCTCTCCCACGCCTTCCTGGGGATGCTGGGGATTGAACCTTCTGCATGCAAAGTGTGTGCTCTACCACTGACCCACAACCTTTCCCAACATGTGTCCCATCCCAGATTGTAAGTCCTTTGGGGCAGAGACCTATTTTCCTTTACTTTGGAAGAGTGCCATGCAATTTCATCATGCTGCATAAACAAAAGAAATTACTGTACAGCAAAGAAGGCATTACAGACAAAACAACGCCCTCCATGAAACTGCATGGGTCTCCACTTACACACACACACAGAGTCAACAGTTGAAATTAATCTGTGTGGTGTGTTCAGAGCTATTTCCAGGGCCTGGAGCATCTGTGGCAATTAATCCCCTCTAAAAGAAACTGACGCTCAAAGGAATTCACACTGCGGTGAAGTCTTACACATGTTACAATGTCAACTATGAATTTCCAAAGCTCAGATTCTTCGCTGCTTTCTGGTATGTAAACCAACCAAAGACTGCATGACTGTCTTCCACACCAGTGCAATGATGATGCGTCTAAGTTTTTGACAGATTATCTCTTTGGGCTTCTACATACCATTAGTGAATGTATGTTTATTTTAGCCCTATTTTAGCCTGCATGCAAAAGTCTGCCAGGCCCCCATTGAAAATCTATAGTAAATGCAGGTCCTGCTTTCTCAATACAATGTGTTCCCAGAAAATCATTCATTAGCTGAGCTGACAATTTCTATTATTTCCTATGGAAACATTTCTAATCTGTGATTTGCCTGATTTTTCACTCCCTGCCTGCATGGTTTCTGCCCCAAACTGCTGCAGCCAACAGGCAAAAGACAAACAAAGGAAAAACCAATTTGCCCAATTTCTCCTATTCCCTGATTTGGCTGATTTCCCTCCCTCCCTCCCTCACTGGTTTCTGTCTGAAATGGCTGCCATTGACCAGCACAGCAAGTAAGGAAATGGGCAAACTCCAGCTGTTTGGATATCTGAATCAGCCATTTGTGTAGAAAGGTTTGGGAATAATTATTTGTGCTTGGATAACTGAAATTTCACATAACAAGTGCCCTGAAAATGGGACCTGTGTACAATATCCAGACCACGAGGCTTAGCTGTCGTGTAAGCTATGGTTTGTTTAAGAACTATGGCTTGTTTCTCCAAAGTTTGTCTTGTTTTGCAGCTGTTCTTGCCTTATGAAGACTGTGATTTGGTGAGAGTCTGGGAGAGGGTGGTCAAACAAACCATGGTTAAGGAAGCATGCTGGGTTCACACATAACATCAAGCTATAGTTAGAACAAACCAAAGTTCACAAACCAACAACGATACATTGTCACCAGCAAACAAACCATAGTTAAGCTGCAAAGTTCACACAGAATGCTAAGCCATGGTTTAATAACCCATAAACAATGGTTTAGCATTATGTGTTTACCAGGCACACAGGTGTGGGGTTTTTTAGGGGTGCCAAGCAGCTTTGCCGTGTGTGTGTGTGTGTGTGTGTGTGAGAGAGAGAGAGAGAGAGAGATGATAACCATACCAGTGTCTGATATGCTGTTGCTGTTGTTGTTGTTAAATGGGGTAAATGTGTAGTCCAATTTCCAGGAAAGATTTCAAATAGCTGTCAAATAACTCAATAAATTAATTTGCACAAAATGTGGAGCAGCTGCACGTGACAGGTCATTGTTTCTGAGAGTGAACGGAAGAGGTTGTGTTGCTGGTGATCAAGAGAGTCATATGGCTTAGCTTTTGCTGAGTTTTACATTTGAGACTGCAGTTGAGAGACCACATGTCTGAAAGCTTCCCCATATTAGAATTTAAAAAAGAAAACTGCCCTGGGCGTGAAAAAATATTCCACTGACCTAGAGAGTAAAAGGTGTAAAGCTGTTCTGTTTTTGAATCTGGCAGTGTTATCCACCACTGAACTATGCCTCTCTGGAGAAGACTCACAGTTCATAGCACATTCTTTCCGTGAAGAAGGTTCTAAGTTTAATCTCTGTCCTCCCCAGGTGGGACTGGGAAAGACACCTGTCTGAGACCCTGGAAAGCCATTGCCTGTAGGTGTAGACCAGGGTGCCCTCCAGTTGCTGTTGGACTCCAACTACCACCATCCCTGACCCTTGGTAATATCAATTGGAGATGCTGGGTGTTGGTGTCCAACAACATCTGGAGGGTGCAATGTTGGCTACCCCTGATGGAGACAGTACTAAGCAAGATGGAGCAATGGTTTGATAGCGTTATGTAGCCTGTAGTTTCCTCTGTCTCCCTTGGAAGGAGAGGCTGCATATCCCCACCCACTTGGAGATTGAGCCTGCCACGTTGATGTTATTAGCATCATGCCCTGACCACCTGAACTACCTGTGCAACTGGCAGGGATGTACCTAGGGGTTGGTCAGGTTGGCCCCCGCCAAGGATGCAGGTCCAAGCAGGCACAAAAATTGTGAAGGACAAGCTGGCGATTGCCATGGGTGCAAGGGATTGGGATGCAGATACTGCTCCTTGCCAGGGGTCCCAGGGAGCCTAGGTACACCTCTGAACTGGTTTAGTGTTTCCTGAGCAGAAGGTGTGGCTTCCACCTTTGAATCTCAAACCCTCTCCTCTTAGCACAGCTTATGAACGCTGAGAAATAAATAGGCAAAATGTGGGGGTTTTTTAATCTCCTCTAACTTTTTAATATAAAAAAGTTTTGATTTCTCCATTATTTCCCAAATAAGTGATTTTGCCATAATGAAGTAAAACGGCAACCTTAGCAAATAGCTTTATCACTGGATAAACTCAAAGCCAACGACTACAGAGACTCCTCATAAAACAACTGTTTGAAAGACTATTTCTTCCCACTTTAATAACTCAGCAGCTTAGCCGAGCTCTTAACAAGTTCCAGGGTTATTAAATAATCCAGCAAGTTACATTATCTGAAATAGAAATCCACATTTCATTAATGCGGAAATGCTGAATGCGACGGGTCCATTTTTCCTTTGCATATTACACCACCAAGTGGATGGAAAAATTAAGGAGATAGGCCATTCACCGGCATCCTCTAGAGACACGAATGAGACAGAGAAGCTGTACAGTGAAGAAGGTGGGTTCTTAAAAAATAAAGATAAACAAGACTCCCACTGAGGCACAACATATGTTTGGTCGGCCATCTCATAACATCTCACCAGTCATGAGTATAATGCTTCATATGGGTTTCCTTCCTCCATTTGTTTTGCAAGTGTATTTTAGACTGTTTCCAAACAGGTGCTTAATATCATAAAGCAGGGACTGGGGGACCTTTGGCCTTCCAGAATTTGCTGAACTACAACTCCCATCGCCACTGGCCATGCTTGCTAGGGCTGAGGGGAGGTGTGCTAGATCAGCAGATCTCCTGTACTGGTTGGGTTACTGAATTAGCCGATCTTCGAGGTCCCACTAACATTGTGACTCTATGGGCCCAATTCAGGAGACCCTAATTGCTAAGGCAAGCTCTGATTTTGATTCTCTTTTTTTTTGCAAAAAAAGAAAAAAAAAGGAAGTCGATTATACAAGATGCAGATTGATGGTAAGCATCCCCTGAAAGTGACAACTCAACCGACAGAATGGCTTCCGTTAATCGCATAACTTCCACGGTGGAAAGACATGTGTATCGGTTATTCATGGCTGGGAGAGAATGAAGCAGGATTACATTCCACGCACCCCACCTCTCCCACCCTTCACAATAATCTCCGTTTCTTCATGGCTAATGACTCGCCGTTTGTTTGCAAATGGGATTTGAAACTCCATAGTACTCCAACCTAAAATGCGAACAATGAGGATGGGGGGAAACGCTGGAGAAGAAGTGTATGGAAAAAGGAAGCCTCTTGCTCTCTTTCTCTCTCACAGCAGCTGGTGGTGGAAACAAACCTGCCTGTGCTTTGCTAGGTACGCTTAATGCTATTATTAGAAAAGAGTTTTCCCAACATCCGTAGTTAAAAATGTGCACCTGCAGAACACCTTCAGAATGAATGGCTAAGAATACATTTCCAAATGCTACAGGCGCTTCAGCACTGGGCATTTATTGTCCAACAGCCACACTATGTTCACTCACTCTTTACAGGTCATCTGCATGACGTAGGAATGTATCAGGCCTACGGGTGGAAGAACGTGTCAACTTTGGTTTCACTCAGTTTCTCATTTTTCCAGTCTCCAATTCTCCACCTTCCCGTATCACTTTCCACTTGGGGGGGAAATCCTCATCACTATTTCAGTGTGAATTTATCCTAATAAACACATTTTTGTGTGTAATGTTGCCTAATATACACTTTTTTATTGCAAAGCAGTATCTCCAAAAACAATGCACTTTTCTTTGATATTTTCACTAATATACACATCTTTATGAACACTTTACCCCGGTATATGCATTTTTTGTACACATCACTTGAATGGAGAAAAGCATTGCAAAATTTGGAGAGGTGAAAATGTTGAAGGACAGCTATTTTACAGTTCATGCATTGTGTTGAGAAATGTGAAACAGGTAGCTTCTTCTTTAAATGCAAACTTAATCTAATTTCTCCGCCATCCCTGATTCAGGTCGTAACTGTACATTACACAGTGCACCCACCCAGGCCTGCAGAGCTGAAAAGCAACTTGCCTGCTTAGCTATGTAGGCATCTCCTATAGAAATGTCACAAACCTCTAGCTGTGTGTACAGTCTGCTCCTCCCTGCATCCTGAACACATCACTTTGCAAGTGTCTATCCAGTTCATTGTGGCATAAGCTGTCACAGGCAACGACTGTCTTCATCAAATGCATGTCACATCTGCGACAAAACAGGACCACCAAGCGTTTATCGTGTGCCTTGAAGAACCTTTAGTTGCTCAGAGATTTGCCAGTTTCATTACAAGTCCTGTACAGATCAGTAAGTCCTTGTTCTAAATAAAAATCAATGTGTGATCTTAGCTACCTCTCGCGTAAAGCTAAGTTTGACAAAAGGGGGAGGGATGAGAGAGAGAGAGAGAGAGAGAGAGAGAGAGAGAGAGAGAAAGCGCTCCTGCTTTTCAGCACACAATGTCTTGTTATGCTGCTGTCCGATGAAATCCAAAACCTGGAAGGCATTATGCTAGTTGTCACCTACAGATATTTAAAATGTATAGATTTCTGCTACAGTGGATTCAGGTTTTGTTGCTGTTGAAAGGAAACCACCGTATACAAAAAGGAGGGGAAATGGGATTTCGGTCTGGATAAGTATTCCAGCATTCTCGTGTTTACATCTGTGGCATTACTTAATGCATTATGTTCAAGTAGACCAGTGAAGATGGGGGGTGGGGGGAAATGTGGAGCCCTGCTGGATCAAACCAAAAGTCCATCTAGCCTAGTGTATTTTGTTTCCGACAGTGGCCAATCAGATGCCTTCAGGAAGTCTAGAAGCAGATCGTGGAGGCAATATTCCTCTTCTCCTGTTGCTGCCAAGCGATCAGTATTTACTAACACAGGTGGGGTCTGCAACAAAACGTTGCAGCGTTAAGAGCTTCTGCTTAAGGTTTCAGCCAGCAACAGTGCCTTCCTGGGAAAATAGGAAGCTGCCTGATAGTGAGTCAGACCACTGGTCCATCTAGCTCAGCATTGCCTACATGGCCCAACAAAGGTTCTCCAGGGTTTCATAGAGGGAGTCTTTCCCAGCCTTAGCAGAAGATGCCGTGATTGAATTAGGGACTTTTCACATGCAAGGCAGATGCTCTGCCTCTGAGTTTCAGCCCTTCTCTATAACATGCAGTGGGGAACATAGGAAACTGCCTTACACTCAATAAAATCCATTGGAAGTCCAAATGTTTTCCACCTCTGCTTTAAGCAGATATGGGGTCTCCCACCTGCCCTACTAGCTTGGAACATTTTATGTGGAGTTGCCAGAGATTGAGCCTAGGGCATAGGAGCCAATTTCTAGGGGCCGAGGGGGCTTCGCCTTCCCCCAATAAAATATTGCATTGCCATTCAAATGGTCGGCATGCACCATGTCATGTGATCGATTATGCAGGGCAGGCCCCCCCCCCCAATATTTTATTCAAGTTGGCACTGCTGGCCTTGAGTCTTCTGCATGCAGACTATGTGCACTACCCCTGAGACATTGGCCTTTTTCATCACAAGGCACTTCTGGGTATGCGCCAAGGCACTCAGTATGATAGTTACCAAAAGTCTGGGGCAATGTGGTATGATTAATATTAATTAAATTTCTGTACCGCCCTTCACCCCAAGATCATAGAGTGGTTTACAATATAAAAATACATGACATACTAACTAACAAACAAAAATAACCTTCTCCCCACAGTTCAAAGGGACATAGATTGCTTAGTTAGCCAAAGGCTTGGGAGAACAGGAATGCTTTTGCCAGGTGCCTAAAGATATATAACAAAGGCACACAGGTGAGCAAGGATGAGTGGGCTTAAAGGGGGGGGGGGGATGCAGAAAGCTCATGAAAAGTAAACTGTACACTAGGGTCAATTTATAAAAGTATTTATGAGTTGCCTATTGGCTCAAAAAGAGCCTCCAAGACGACTTATGATTTAAAGACTTTAACCTAAAAACTTTAAAATAATCTGTTTTTATCCAGACGAAAGAGCAAGCAAGCAAAAACCCACCCAGAAATCTTATCTCTTTCCTACAGAATTGATTTTGTAAGACTTGTATATTGCTTTACACTTAAAAAAGAATTCTCAAAGAAATTTACAATGCACTTAATTCAAGAAAACCGCTCATAAGGCACTTAGAAGTTTTATTACAATCAAAGGGCATACAAATTAAGTACTGTATATAAATTTGAAGTAAATATATGAAAGCACGAATGCACCATACAAATCGCTTGCTCTGTGTCCCCACACCCCCTTTTGGAAACCCTAGAGCTTAACTCCTATCCCCAAACCAAGCTTTCTCTCAGTTGCAGTCTGATATGATCATAACCTAGCATTCAGAAAATAAGATTTTAATATACCATTAAAGAACCTCCTTGAAATATGGCAACCCTACAAATTAAAGCTCTTATCAATATGAACAGGCACATATCCATGCAAGATAACTGATCATATATAATTTTGTATGTTATATAAATATAATTTTAGCCGTCTATCTTATATATAATTGAGTCTCACCTTTGAACAGGGAAGCGGGGAAGAACAAGGCTCAAACGGCGACTGCGCCGCTGTAGTGGCGCCCTGGAGCCGCCAGGGGACACCATTCGTCTTCTCAGGCACCTTACTAGTGCCGCTCTCTGCCCCAGTCTCTTCCTTGTCCTTTTTTCTTCCTTCTCTCCCCCCTCCCCTTCGATTCGGGCCCATGAGATAGAGTTATAGAAGGGCACACAACTTCGGCTACCGAGTTCTGTTACCTTTTTCCCCCTTCGGCTTTATCTGAACTGTTATATGTCACGTTGTCAAAGCACAACTGGTTTCTGTGGGTACTTTGAGCAGACCCACTGAAATTAATGGACTAACTCATGCCCTTTAACTTCAGTGGATCTACTGTGAGTAGGACGAGAGCTGCTACCGTTGCGCGGGGGGGGGTGGCGGATAAAGGGAAGAGCGAGGCAGGGACACGCGGCTTTTTAAACGGAGCTCCGCCCAAACTCTCGTTTTATCCGTTCGCTTCCTATCTCTTCCTCCGCAGGGGTCGGGGTGCGGGGAGAAGAGAGACGGCTGCCAATGCGAGCGCGGAAGCTGCTCACCCGGACAAGGCGTTAGGCCGCTCTTCCATTTATTTCTATATCTGTGCTCCCCTCTCCCTCCGCTTTGTGCTCGGCCTTCCTCTCACGAGAATAAACGAAGCGCGGCGGGAGGAGGGCGAGACTTGGCGGAAAGAGGGAAGGAGCGTCTCGGCGGCGTCTGCGTTCGGGCCATGGGCAAGAAGCACAAGAAGCACAGGGGGGAGAAGTACCCGTATGAAGGTGCCGCCCCTCCTTCCTCCCGGGGCTGCTAAATAGGTTGATAATGAGGGGGCGGTGGGTTGTGCGGTGCTGTTGTGTGGTGTGTGTGCGTGTGTGAGAGAGCGTCTGGGGTGTTTGTGGTCCTCCCCCGTCCACTTTGAAGCCATAGATCGGGGCGGGAGTCGTTCTGTGAGGGAACCGGATTCTGAGGGGGATTTTTAGGAGGAAGGGGCCTCCTCCTGTGGGTGTGGGGGGATATCTATATCTATTTTATTGCATTTGTTTCCCCCCTTCCCATGAGCTCAGGGTGGCATATACACGGTTCTCTCGCCTTCCTCATTAAAGCCACACAACAACCCTGTGAGGTAGGTCAGGTAGAAGAAAGGTATGTGCTGTGGAGACTCTCATGGGCACCTGAGGGTCCCCTGCACCCTGGACCTGTTCCTGCAAGTATTAATCAAACAGCTAATTAATTGAATTAATTTTGCCCCAACATACACCCACTCCCACCGTTCCGATCTGTGGGTCTGGCGCCACTGCCGGTGCCACATAATGTCCCACTTGTAGGAAATCATTCTTTTCAAGTGTGGGTGGTGCCCTGCCCATTGGAAGTGGCACACCTTTCTTTGTAAACAGCTTTGAGGGTTGGCTTGTTGTTTTTGCGATCAAGCGGTGCACAATTTTTATGAACGGGAAAAAAGAAAAGGAAAAAACATTCGGCCTACCCGGATATGTAGAATGTTGACCATGTGTTTTGATGTGGTTTTGAGCTTATGACACAGTACATAATACGATATTTGTGCAATATTAAAATTGAAATAAAACTTAAGAATTACATAATAAAATACAGATTCTCATAACAGTGACAGCATAAAAAGGGAGGAGCAACCAGCCGGATATCTAAAATACAAAGACAGTGAAAAAGTGCAATACCTTCTCTCAAAGATAGCTGTTAATCCTGGCCACCCACAGAAAATGACAGACTGTCCTAGCTCATCTGTCAGTTGAACTGGGAACTGCACTTACAATTAACTATGGATATATATATTTTTAAGCCAGCTCCAGAAACCTTTTGAAGTTGTCTTATTTTAAACTAGCTATAGTTAATGGTCCATTTAACTTGAAGGATCACCTTGCCCCATATGTGCTTCCTGGACTGCTTCAATCTGCAGAGCTTGCACTTCTACAAGTGCCATATAATAATTGTTCTCCATCTATTAGGTGTTTGTCTTTCAGCACAACAGCACCTATGCTTTGAAATGTATTGCCTATTAACATTAAGCAGGCACCCTTGCTACACTCCTTGATGCCTACTAAAAATGTTGTTGCAGCAAGCCTACCCAAATGTATAATTTAGTATTTGATTTGAAATTTTACTGGTTGTATCAAAAATAATTTAAAAAACATTCACTGCAGATTGTCATTACAGACACAGTGACAAGCTGTGGTTCAGATAAAGAAAAGGTTTTAATTCCCCTTGGCTGCATGGGATGAAGAGAGAGACTGATGGTGACTTGTTCCTTCTCACATGCATCATGCTGGACCATAGTTTAGTGTGATATGTGAACACAGCCAGTGCATGAAATGATCTCAGTTCATTCCCAAATTTGCTGGAAATGCCATTATGTCACTGTAAGAAAAGGCAGAACCATGAACTAGGCTACAACCTACTTCTTTCCTATGAAATTTCCCTAATTTTAAAGACAATTTCTATCTTCACTTTCTAGGAAAAATTCTTGGCATGGAGGGAAATGTTGATCACTCCAAAATGGTTTTCTTGGCTATAGTGGCTGTTCTGTGGTGTGGGAATATTAATATTTTATCCTTTTTTTAAAATTGCTGAGATAATGACCTTGGTTGCATGTAAAACATCAGGGCTAACCATGGTTTAATACAAACAAGCAAATACCCTGTTTCTCAGAGAAACGATTGCAGCCATTTTGCTCCTTCTCTGGTCCTCCTGCTGCTGTGAGGTCAGCGATGGTTTGATTTTGTGTGTCTGAACTGTGCTCAAGATTTATTTCACCTCAGAGAAAACCACGAGCTGTGGCTGAAGTTTTCCTATGGCTTAATATCTGTGGTATGCCTGGGGCACACAACCACAAGCCTGGGTTCTGGCATAACACAAAGTCATATCATGACTTAGCTCACAGCAGTGCAGCAGCACAATACCAGAGGAGCTGCAAAGGAACCTCAGCAATCTCTCCAGGAACTCGCGCAGTTGCTCATTCATACAAAGCCATGGTTTAGCTTGTTGCTATATGTGAACTGGACCACCACAGAGCCTAGGGCTTGCCGATCAGAAGGTCGGCGGTTCGAATCCCTGCGACGGGTTGAGCTCCCATTGCTCGGTCCCTGCTCCTGTCAACCTAGCAGTTTGAAAGCATGCCAGTGCAAGTAGATAAATAGGTAGTGCTCCGGCAGGAAGGTAAATGATGTTTCCGTGTGCTGCTCTGGTTCGCCAGGAGCGGCTTAGTCATGCTGGCCACATGACCCGGAAGCTGTCTGTGGACAAACGCCGGCTCCCTCGACCTATAGAGCGAGATGAGCGTGCGACCCCAGAGTCGTCCACAACTGGACCTAATGGTCAGGAGTACCTTTACCTTTTTATATGTGAACTGAACCATTGTTTTGTGAAGTGATTTGAGCACTTGAAATACTTTGTATCAGGGATGAGGAACCTGCAGCCTTCCAAATTTTTCTAGATTAAATCTCCCATCATCTAGAGCTGATGGGCGCTTGGCGTCCAAATAACATTGGGGGGCCCAAAGGCTCTCATCCATGTTCTGTATGAATGCTGAACAAAAGCTTCAAGACTTAGCACTACAGTATCTTCTTAAATGCTATGTTATAACCTTTCTGTCTCTGACTAGTTCGTTCATTGTAGTATTGCAAAAACCAAGTACAAAGCTGCTCCGTGGCATTCAGATATTAATGGAGCTAAGGTCTACATGAAGCTTAGTGGTTGCATGTAAATTGGCTGGCTATACAAAGAAAGATACATTTTTTTCTAGTAACTAACTGACACCATTAAAATAACCCTTAGGTCAATATTCTGGGTTCTATATATATCTTAGCTATATATTCTTGGCTACATATTCATCAATTTAATTGCTAAAAACTTTTGTAACCTGAAGTTGGCTAGCCTATTAGGGTATGTAGTGCAAGTTTATTTGTAATACTTAAACCAGATCTATTTCCTGCTTTTCCTAGAATATGTAGAAAAGCCCTTAAAGCTGGTTTTAAAGGTGGGAGGAAATGAAGTCACGGAACTTTCCACTCAGAGCTCAGTACATGATTCAGCCCTATATGAAGACAAAAATGACCATGAAAAACACAAAGACAAGAAAAGGAAGAAGAGGAAAAAAGCAGAAAAGCAAGTTCCTGGAGAAGAAAAGGAAAAAAGAAAGAGAAAAGGAAAGGTAGCTTTCAGAGCAGTTGTTTTGTTTTTTAATTTGAATCTTTTCCTTGTGATAGATTGTCTTTGGCAGGCTTCTCCAACCTGGTGTCCTCCAAATGTTTGGGCTGGAGCTGATGGGAGTTGTAGTCCAAAACTTATGGTGGGCACCAGGTTGGTGAAGGTTGGTCTTCAGGATAGTCCTCCTCAATCCTTTGGAAAGACTTGGGATGCGGCATAAAGGGCTGAGTTGGGACTGTGGAATTAAAACAATGGGTAAAGGCACTTGCACAAGCAGAATTGCATGTGCAGCTTTCCACTTGTGCAAATTTAGCCCATACCTCAAAGATAAACCACCTCCTTTGCATGCAGAAGGCCCCCTGTTCAGTATTCAATTTTAAAAGGACCAGGTAATGGGAAAGACTGTATGCCTAAGACCCTGGAGAACCACTGCTGGTCAAGCTAGACAATACAGTGGTACCTTGGGTTACATACGCTTCAGGTTACATACGCTTCAGGTTACAGACTCCGCTAACCCAGAAATAGTGCTTCAGGATAAGAACTTTGCTTCAGGATGAGAACAGAAATCGTGCTCCGGCGGCGCAGCGGCAGTGGGAGGCCCCATTAGCTAAAGTGGTGCTTCAGGTTAAGAACAGTTTCAGGTTAAGTACGGACCTCTGGAACAAATTAAGTACTTAACCCGAGGTACCACTGTACTGGGCTAGATAGGCAACAGGCTGATCTGGTATAAGGCAGCTTCCTATGAAACACATCCTTTAAATATTAATAAGCTTGTCCTGACTTAGTGTGTCTTCCAGTAGGTGGAGACAGCACATAAAGAACATATTTGTAATGTTCCTTGTGTACCTTTAGTATACTTATAATGAATTTCCACACTGAGTAAACAAATTGTAATCAGATTTCCAGCCACTGGTATGGATACTTCTCTCAACAGTTTTGCTTATATTTTATGTCCACAGGATGATAAAAAGAAGCGAGATAGGGACCGGGGTGAAAGTGAAGGAGAAAGAGAACTGAAATGTCAGACTCCTCTAAGGCTAGACTTGCCACCTGAAAAACCATTGGCAAGCAGTTTGGCAAAACAAGAAGGTAAGAAAAAGCTGTTTTGTTGTTTCTTTTTAAGCTGTTAGGTAAGTTGATTTGTTCTGCCTTGCTTCTCAATTTATGACGTTGGCCACCTTAAGTGCTTTGTTGTTGAAGAGGAAAGCTGAATCCTGAAAGTTTTTTAAAAAATTAAGATCAGTCTCAAAATAAATCTGAAATAGCAGCAACATTGTAGCTATTAGTTCTCTCCGTTACTAACATGTAATTGGCCAAAATCTGAAAAGCTCTCAAGTTTGCTTTCAAATTGTGGGAGGTTTCTTAATAGGCTAAAATGCTTCATGCGCCTCTGTTTCTAAAATTGAAATAAATGTATGTTTGAAACTATGAGATGAAAAACTTGAAACAGTCAGGAATACCCCACAAACATGGTGCAAAGAGTTTTGGCAAGTGCATCCCATGGCTGGATGGGACACTTCTGTGGCCTTATTCTCTTGATGACAGGGTGATAGTGAGGCACACACCTGTCTTTGGCCATTGAGCCTCCCTGCTGAGCAGGTATGGCCAGAGTTAAAAAGACTGGCTCGCTTTCCACCTCAGCTAGCTAAGCTGAAGAAGGGAGAAAGGCAGAAGTTCCAAAGGTGATTGAAGCAGCAGCTCTGAAACAACCCCCTTGCTATGGCATAGGCAGAACTAGAATTGGGGAGCGCACCACCACCTATGGAAAAGGTCTAATTTCTTTGTAGTGTGCATAGTCCTTCCTGTCAGAGCAATTTAGAGAGCTAACCAGCTTATGGAACCTCATGCATAGAAAAAGTGTTGTTAACAGGAGAAAGCAACTCTTGATGTGTTTATTACCTTGCACAGCAGTACTTCATTTGAAAATATAGCATTTTCTATTTAGCATTTCTTAGGTGTGTGTGTGTGTGTGTGTGTGTGCACGCGCATGCACTCTAGTTAATATTTTTCTTTCATCTTTTTGTCCTAGAAGTGGAACAGACGCCACTTCAAGAAGCATTGAACCAACTTGTGAGGCAACTGCAAAGGTGAGTTCTTGTCAGACTCCGAGCATTTCTGATACTGCTAGTAGAAATTGCTAAATATTAGAAAATGCTGTCTAACCAATGTGTTAATTTTTCTGAGCTGGATTTTTCTTTCTTTTTCTTTCTTTCTTTCTACATGAGTAAGTGTTGCTATTACTGTCAACTGTAAAATCTGCCAAGCTAATGCATGTTGAACCCAAGTTCTTTTAGTGTTGATGATGCATAGTTCCTGCATCATCTTCCTTTAATAATGGTTTTCACTTTTAATCATTAAATCTTTATTGAAGTGGTTATCCTCAAATGCCTTATGAGGAACGGCTAAGGGAGCTGGGCATGTTTAGCCTGGAGAAGAGGAGGTTAAGGGGTGATATGATAGCCATGTTCAAATATATAAAAGGATGTCACATAGAGGAGGGAGAAAGGTTGTTTTCTGCTGCTCCAGAGAAGCGGACACGGAGCAATGGATCCAAACTACAAGAAAGAAGATTCCACCTAAACATTAGGAAGAACTTCCTGACAGTAAGAGCTGTTCGACAGTGGAATTTGCTGCCAAGGAGTGTGGTGGAGTCTCCTTCTTTGGAGGTCTTTAAGCAGAGGCTTGACAGCCATATGTCAGGAGTGCTCTGATGGTGTTTCCTGCTTGGCAGGGGGTTGGACTCGATGGCCCTTGTGGTCTCTTCCAACTCTATGATTCTATGATTCTATGATTCTATGGTTCTAGAAAGTTACTGATAAATGGGTTGTGTTTCAAAAATTGCTTACTCTGGAGTAGTTATGGAATATCCTGTAGCTTTTTTAGGATCTTGGTTTGTGGTCTAAGTTTATCTTTCTTCAGAGGGCATTAGGTTCTCCTAATAGGAGAAATCTGTCTGAAGTATACTCTTGCTTAACCCATCTGAACTTAGGGAATTGTTCATGTAACTTGACTACAGATTATATGAAGCATTGCTCCATTAGGGCAAAAACATTTTTTTAAAAAGGAGTTTATCAGGGAAAGAGTGGAAGTAAGCAGTAGTTACTAGAGGAAGGTCAAATTAATTTTGACGATTCCCGGCCTATTCTTGCTTGTGGATTTGGCCAAAAGCTAGTGGCAATCTTCTCAGTCAGTGTAGTTGAGTTATATGTATGATTCGTGACTGGCTTGGACAACTCATCTTTCATAGTTTTTAGGTATCTTGCATACCCATGTGGACCAGAATGAGGATTTGATGGTTTCTCTCTTAGTTTTAACTTAGACTTGGTGAGGCTTGGACTATTGATGTTTGAAGGCTTTGCTCTATGTATTAACACTGCTTGGGGTTTTGGGAATGCTGCCAGTCTTAAACTGGACCCTTCAATTGAAGGTGAGAGTAAGATTTTGCAAGCATTCAACGGCCTTGTGAAATAGAATTGCTTTCCCTGCCATTGATATTATAATCCATTTTGGTGTTCTAAGGAGAGACAGAATGTGGCACCTGTGGTTTGGTTTAGAAATGTCAAACATGTTTTAAAAATAAAATCCCATCAAAAGTAAAAAAATAAAATAAAAAGGGAGGGTGAGACTGCTTCCAGGCAGCACCTCTACAACTTTAAAGAAATGCAAGATTGTATTATTAGGGCAAAAGCTCTCTTGTTTCAGTTCAGTTCTGTGGTTTCTTTCAAGTTGGAGTCTTCTCTCCTATTTAATACTAAGCTCTGTCTGTTCTTTGTTATAGAAATGAAACATAAAGGGCTCTTCTTTTCATTTCTTAACAGAAAGGATCCAAATGCTTTCTTTTCATTTCCTGTGACTGACTTTATTGCTCCTGGCTACTCCATGATCATTAAACGCCCAATGGATTTTAGTACCATGAAAGAGAAGATCAAGAACAATGGTTACCAGTCCATAGAAGAACTAAAGGTGCTTTTAATTTATATTTTAACTGTAGAGGGGGGATTAGACGTTGACACTTGCTGGTACTAGCAATTGCATTGTGCAGGTTTTTTCAATATTTTATTCATTTTGGGGCTGCACTTTCATAGTTTATGAACACATAGAATAAAAAATTGGCGCATCTGGCTTTCAGAGTTGTTCATTTGCTTTCTTTAGAGAGAGTCTTTGTGAATGTTTTCAAGAGACATTTTTCATGTTCCAGGGTGTTGGAAATTTTGTGTGTGTGTGTCAAGGAGAAAAAACTGAACAGCAGAAGTACTTGATCTTTTAAAACAAGGATGTGAAATGAACCTGGTCATTAGTGCATCAGAGTAATAAATACTTGTAGCCATAATTAAGTGACTCTTCACCATTGTATTAATAAGGTTGAGGCTTTTCTGTGTTTAAGAGAATTACTTAAATCACAGAAGCATGTAAATATGTTTGTGTTGTTGTTGTTTTCTTGAGAAATGTAGGAAACAAACTTTAGCACACAGGACAGTAGTAAGAATCCCTAGTGTTCTTCCAGAATGTAATACAATTGCATAACTGAAACAAATATTGTGTATATTGACTCTCATCCCCCCCCCTCCAAAAAAAAGTTTAGGAAATTTTAAAAAATGCAACTTGCCTCTTTCCTGCCTTATATAGCACTATATTTTAAAATGCCTGCCCCAACCTTTTATCCTTTTATTTGCACATTTTAAAGAAAAACACGTGTGATTCCCTTATTACTGTTGTCATCCTGACAAAAAGAGCCCTCTGATCTCTTGGGAGTACTGTCTGCATTGAGCATTGCCTTTATCAGCACATTAATATGAAAAGTGTAAAGTCAGATGTCTGTCATAAGCATCTTTGGTCTCAGATCAAATCTGTCATCTTTAACACACATCAACTGCTGGCCTTGTGTTTTGCAAACTAATATCTAAGTAAAAGGATACCAAATCCCAACCAGAGACTCAGCCTGTCACTCTTAAGAGCTTCGAGGTGGCAGAGAATGCAGGCCTGGTGCCTCTTCTGCCAGCTAATGCAATGATTTCTTAGCCTGTCCTTTTTTCTATCTGCAGTAGTACTGTAGTTAGAGGTGGGTCAGGAGAGAAACTATTAGAACAGTGGAGTAAGATAGAACCATGGAGTAGCAATGCTTCCTATCTGCATGTGCGCACACAGCAGTGCTGTCTACGCATGTGTGTGCACACAAGCGTTGTTGCTAGGTTGGAACTTGGAAATCCTACTAATAAACTGTATAGACTAACTTGCACCTGTATTATGATGCATTATTCCTATATCCTCCATATCATGAGGATACTTTTTATAGCCAGGCAGAACAAACAGTGCTTATGTTCTCAATTACTAGCACCTGCCATCTTGTCCACAGTACAAATTTCCATACATAAAGGGGCAGATATATTTTCTAGGAAACATTCCTGTAAGTTCCTACTTATGTGTCTTACTTCTTCTGTTGATACAGGAGAACTTCAAACTGATGTGTACTAACGCCATGGTCTATAACAAACCAGAGACCATTTATTACAAGGCTGCTAAAAAACTCTTGCATTCAGGAATGAAAATACTCAGCCAGGTAACTGAATTAAGGAAATAATTCAAGAGGTATTGGAGTTTTGTTGGCTTGTGTACATTTCCATTTGTGTTGAATAGAGAAGAGGCCATTCTTTTTTAGCTAAAGGCTAAGTCATTGGGTTAATTCAATAAGTAGTTCTTTCTTCTTTATCTCTCCAAGAATAGTTAGAACTTAAAGTTTGATTGTTTGCAAGTTATTTGTATTAGAACCCTACCTACTTGCTTGATCTTTCTTCCAAGGATCGCTACAGCTGCAATCCTAAACACATGTATTAGGGACTAAGTCTTTTGAATTCAATGGGACTTACTTCCCTACACCCCATTTTTTCTCTGCACCTCTTACCTACCCAGTGGGCAGATGGGGGAAGCACAGAGCACACTCAACAGGAATCTGAACTGATAGCTTGTGGTAGGCTTCTCTCCCCATCTCCTTCCATTGCTAGCACACAGTGCTGCTATTCTAGAAAAAGAGATGCCAGAACTCACCATGAACACCTTCTTCATTCTTTTAGAATGGCAATGGTGCCCACCTGAGCGGTGCTGGAACTGAGTTCCTGTGAGTTCTCCCTGGGGAAAAAGCACTGCTAGTACAACTGCTTTTACAATATTTTATTAGCGCAGAACATGGACCTTCAGTTTGGGGAAAAGACTGCAGACTCTGCAAGGGTTCTGTGACAGCTTTGCAGCCCTCTTCCCCCCTCTGAAGACCCCTTGTAACTGAAAGAAAAGCACTTAATGATTAGGCAGTTTTAAAATGGGGGGCTCACATACAGTATGAAGTTTTAAACCTGCATGGTTTGTTTCCTTAGGAAAGAATCCAGAGTTTGAAACAAAGCATTGACTTCATGGCAGACCTTCAGAAGAGCAGGAAGCATAAAGATAAAACAGGTCTCCAGTCAGGTGAAGATGATGATGGCTTTGGGAAAGATGCAGACTCCATGGACATAGACCTCAGAGCCTTTAAAACACCTAGCAAAGAACTCAAGAAGTAATTACTCTGCAAAGGGCTTACATATTTCTTTCATTTCAGCAAAATTAGGAGCAAGCAGCCCCAGGCTGCATTGGAAGCAACTATCTCCAGTAGCTCTGAATAGGGATTAAACAAATACATGGAAGAAGACTGGTCTGTCAGTAGCACTTAGGCATGATGGCTACATGGAACACCTCTGTACAGAGGCATCTATAGGGACCTCCCATTTTTGGGTAGCCTTAGCCAAAGATCTTAGTCACCAGTCCTATTCCACCACCACCCACTTTTTTTCTGAAGGAAAAGGTGCACAGAATCTTCTGGCATTGGCACTCACCCACTTGCCTTTCCAGCTTCAGAGCAGGGAAAAAGCCAGTTGGTAGGAGTTGCTAGATTGACCATGCTTGGGTGCCTTTACCACACAACTGCCAATTAATCCTCAGCCAATCCTGGAGCTGGAGAGGCAGCAAGAGTTTGCTAGAACTGCCAGTGGATAACATTTATAGTAGAAACTACAATAGTAAACACAATAGCGAGATACAATTTAATATAATGAAAACTATCCTATTACAGAATTGACTTGTCTCTTCTTCTTTTTTTTTTGGTACTTATTTGCACTCCGGTAAAACTTCAGGTTCAAATTATGTTGTCCTGTTGTATAAGACAAATTTTAGAAACATTGGGTTGTATCCAGCTAAGTTTTACTCAAAACAAAGCCATTGAAATTAATGGACCTATATTAGTCATGTCCTGTAAGTTCAGTGGGACTATTTAGAAAACAAACAACATTGGATACAGTCCCTTCTGCTTGAAATAATACTTTCAGACTGAAGGATGATGACATGCACAACGAAGGAAGCAAGTTACTGGCAAATGAATTCCACCTTCACTGCCAAATGTGCCACTTTATTTTAAACTGATGAAGAACTTCTTGGAATTTACCAGTTATTGACTGCACACATTCTAAAGCAAAGTTTTAGACTTGGTGGTATTAAACCCTTTTTTTGCTATCTTATATACTATGAAGGGGTACAGTAATGTATATAGTTTTGGGGGGGGGTTGTCTCTTTTTAATGTATGTTTGTTTTCTAGGAAAGAGAAAGAGCTACTTGAAGAAAAAATAAGGAATAGTAATTTAGAGAGGGAACAAGAACTGATTGAACATATCATCAGAGAATCAGGAGGAAAGTTAACAAAAAGACCTGCTAATGCTCAGGTAAACGGAGAAAAGAATATGGATGATGCTCATTATCTAGAACACCATAACATACCGTATTTTTCGCTCTATAAGACGCACCAGACCACAAGACGCACCTAGTTTTTGGAGGAGGAAAACAAGAAAAAAAATAATCTGAATCCCAGAAGCCAGAACAGCAAGAGGGATCGCTGCACAGCGAAAGCAGTGATCCCTCTTGCTGTTCTGACTTCTAGGATAGCTGCGCAGCCTGCATTCGCTCCACACATTTCCCCTTACTTATTAGGAGGGAAAAAGTGAGTCTTATAGAGCAAAAAATACGGTAAGTTAAATACGTTTCAGTCCCTTTCATTTGATGTTTCAATGATTGATGTGATTACAAATCTAAAGTCTCATAATATCCATTCATTGAAGCAATAAACAAAACAGCCTGCTAAATTATGTATGACTCTGTCATCCTAGCTTTGTAGGCTGTGCACAAAAGACACATTTTAATGGCTTGATCTTTATTTCAGTGTGAGTTTGAAAGAAGAAAACCTGATGGCACAACCACCCTGGGACTTCTTAATCCAGCAGAAAATAACACAGGGGGTAATGCTTGCACTGAGTAATTTTAACAACCTTTCCCCTTGGTGGTGTGTATTACTGATGGATTTCTACACTTAGTAGAGGTGCAGAGGAAGTCTCTTGAGGCTGTCCCACATTCCTCCCGTGCTAGCGTTCCTTAGAATTCCCACTTCGCATCTGGCTGCTTCTGGTCCTGCTTAAATGGTCCCTGTTTGAACAGTTAGTCCAGAGACAGTCAGAATGGGATGTCCTTCATGAGAATGCTGTTTGATTTAGGGAATAATGACCTAACATCTTGGAATATTCCATGGCATTTTTAAACAAGTGCCTTCCAGAAGCATGATTCCTTATCTAGCAAAGATGGGGGACCTGTGCCTGCCCAGATGTTGCTTGGCTTCCCATCCAGTATGCCCAGAGCTCAGGGATGAATGGAGTTGTAGTCCTGAGCCATCTGGATGGTCTCAGGTTTCCCATCCTTGCAATATAGCTTAATAATTTCTATGCATAAGGTCCCAAATTCAGTTCCCTGCCTTCACCTGCTCAGTTACGTAAATTATAATAGATTAGCGTGGACATTTCTGTTTTAGGGTCGTTATTACAACTACCTTTTTCTTCCTTAGTGCATTTTTATGACTTATAGTTGAATCCAGGACTAAGGTGTTTTTAAGGGACAATTTTTCAGTGTTTATGCTCACAAAGGCTTTAGAAAAACCTAGTAAATATTCAGAAGGGAGATGTTGTGTGCATGTGGCTAACTTAAGTCCTATAACTTTCTTTTTGTTCATATCTCTTGAGTGGTAGAAATCGGACATGGCTCTGCAAAGTTGGGTGTCACAGCTGGAAGACTGCAGTCAGGTGTAAATACATTACAAGGGTTCAAAGAAGACAAAAGAAACAAAGTTACTCCTGGTAAGTGTGACTTCTAATTTATGTTTAGTGGTGCCCTTGAATGCAACAAGGCTGGCAGAAATTACTCCGGTCAGCTATGAACCACTGATTGAGTACCCTGTAGACCTTGCCACGTTTAACTATGTCTAGGCATGTACTTATATGTTACCTGGAGGGGTGGAGCAGACAGATAACCTCTTTGAGTAGCCACAGGTGGAAACAGCCAGCACTCTCCTCAACAGGCTGCAGCTGCCTTTGCCCAGGCACACCCTTCTTCTTTCCTAGAGGAAATGAGCACTGGGAATTAAAGCTGAAATAAAGTATGAAAGTTAGAGGTTTGCTTAACTGTGCACTATTGTAAACAGTCTTTTGAGAATTTTTCTAAAAGGTGGCCCAATTACTATAGGTGCCACATAATACCCGTTCCACATTTGTAAGAACTCTTATATTTAGTGTGACAGCACCTGCACTTTGGAACTCTCTGCCTCTTGAAAACAAACAGGCGCCTTTACTATGCTCTTTTTTTGTGCCTGCTTAAAACGTTATCGTTCAGACAAGCCTACCTAGATGCTTCGAAAGTTGAGGTAAATTTAATCTGTTTTAGCATTTTAGCTTTTGGATGTTTTTAAGTATGGTTGTGATTTTCTTAATTTTATTGTTTTAACTTTTTGCAAACTGCTTTGAGGTTTCTTTTAAAATCAGGCAGTGTATAAATTTTATGAAATGAATAAATAGTATTACATACCAACATGTTTGCAAGTATAGTCACATATAGTACAACCTAGTCCTAAAATATCAGGCCCTTGTTTAAACTACAGGTTATTTCAATTCTATGGGACAACTAAGAACAGGTTTATGCATTTAACAGTTATTAGTTTTTGTTGTTGTAATTTGGTCTGTAGAGGATACCAGGCTGCCTAAGAGATTCGAGGCAGAATTTATGGCATTGGCAGCCTGAGCAATTTTAGCAGTCTCGTTCCTGTACTGCAGTGATCTACCCCCTTTTGGGGGGTTCAGGTCAAAGTTCAGCTTTTTTTAGGGAGGAGGAAAGCCCCATTTTTTAGGGGTTCAGGTCAAAGTTGTTGAGCTATTTAAACAGCATGAACAGCGCAATTGTGCAACATGATTTGTGTAAGAGACAACCAATGTGAACTTAGCTTCTAGGTGGTTTTTCCTCTCATAAATATTGAAGGCTATATATCAGATCTCTTTATATCACCTAGTGCCTTCTGCAGTTGTTTGTGGTTGATGTACTAAAAACCCCATATAAAAAGGAGATTTTGCATATGTGGGAAATAAGCAGAGGAGAATCTATTGTATGACTTGGGCTATAAAAAAACAAAAGAGATTAGAGCTAAATATTTTGCTCATTTACTACTTGGCAAGAGTTGTCGGTCCAGTCAGCAGAAAACCGAATTGTTGCTAGCTTGCCGAAACAGAAGTTTTGTTGAACGATCACATCATATGCTTTGGCAGCTGCTAGAAAAGCTCAAAAGCTTTTAACAGTATATGCACTAGACTGTTTGATCCCTGAAAATATATGGGATTTGTATCCATCATCAGAACAATTAAAAGCTTTACACATTATTAGTTTAGTCCTTAAAACTCAGCTAATCTGATCAGCTAACATAGATCAAAGCTGAATCTGGGTGATACCCAGTTGCGGTATCCCACTTGTCCAAATGCAGCTCTCTCTCCTCCCCTTTGCAGCTCCCTGCAAGTCAGGGATTTGCAGGATGCTGGGGGACTCTCTGGAGCAAGATGGGGAGCTTCATGGGGGTGGAGAGGAAGGGGAAGTCCCCTCACATCTGCTGATGCAATGTTGGATCTCGCTCTGTATCCACAGTCTGTTCTCTTTGCTGATGTATTCATTCTTGAGACAAAGCACAAACTGAATCACAGAAATTCGCATCACTTGATTCATTCAAGAGTTGAAACATATGACTTGAGGCTTTTAAGATATCTACACTGTGTGGCATAATAATATTTTCACACTCTTATTTCAATATTGGGGCACTGCATATAGCCACATATGTACCTGTTAAACCAATTTGGATTTGCAAAAGCAGTTTTCTTTGGGCATGCATGCTAGTTGAATCTGGGTTGACAAGCAATTAATAGAAATGCCAGTTTTAATAAACCAGTTGTTATGGAATGTAGCTCTGGTGTGGTATGAATTCAGCAACCTAGTTGTGCAAGGTAAAAGTGGATAGGTTCAGACACAAGACTTGCACAACATAGGTGGAGGGGATTGGTCAGAATTGTGGCAATACTAGGCACAATCTTTACCCATGTCAGGATACTGTTGGACTAAAGATCCTATCATCTTTGAACATGTTGACTGGGGCTGTCTGGAGGACACCTTATTGGCTACTCCTGAATTATGCATTCTGTGCTCTTAGTTTGTTTGTTTGTTTGTTTGTTTGTTTGTTTGTTTGTTAGCTTAGTTTGTTGTGTTTGTTAGGGCTTTGCTTCTCCCTAACAAGCCAGGTTTAATAAGCAAACATCAAACTCTAACTTAAGGTTGGCTAGTGAGCCTGGATTGCTAGGGAGAATCAAAGCATAGTCTCAGATTCAGATGCCATGTGAAACTATCCCCTTCCTGGTTTGATTAGCAACTTGTGTAAAGGTGGGAATGAAGCAGCAATTCTGCCAGCCTCCAGCTCTTACACAGTATAGTTTATTAAGTTTATTAAGTCAAAATCCTTGTGTACATGGCCTTTGAGTGAATAAAACTACGTTTGAGAAAGCATTTCATTCATTCTGAAAGAAATATTTAATGACAGTTGCTTCAGTGTTTCCCCAGCATTTACAATTTTCTGTTGGAAGAAATGGTGACTGGCAGTGGGAAGAGGAGGCACCCCCAGCGTATTAACCAGAGTATTAACATCTCTGGTTGCCTGGCACTAGGACAGGTGTACAGTGGTACCTTGGGTTACATACGCTTCAGGCTACATACGCTTCAGGTTACAGACTCCGCTAACCCAGAAATAGTGCTTCAGGTTAAGAACTTTGCTTCAGGATGAGAACAGAAAGCAGCAGGAGGCCCCATTAGCTAAAGTGCTGCTTCAGGTTAAGAACACTTTCAGGTTAAGTACAGACCTCAGGAACGAATTAAGTACTTAACCCGAGATACTACTGTAATTGATAGGGACGCGGGTGGCGCTGTGGGTAAAACCTCAGCGCCTAGGACTTGCCGATCACATGGTCGGCGGTTCGAATCCCCGCGGCGGGGTGAGCTCCCGTCATTTGGTCCCAGCTCCTGCCCACCTAGCAGTTCGAAAGCACCCTTAAGTGCAAGTAGATAAATAGGTACCACTTTATAGTGGGAAGGTAAACGGCGTTTCCGTGTGCTGCTCAGGTGCCGGTTCGCCAGAGCAGCTTCGTCACGCTGGCCACGTGACCCGGAAGTGTCTGTGGACAGCGCTGGCTCCCGGCCTCTAGAGTGAGATGAGCGCACAACCCTAGAGTGTCAAGACTGGCCTGTACGAGCAGGGGTACCTTTACCTTTTACCACTGTAATTGAAGCAACAGTAATTTCTTGGCACTCGTGGAACTGGGTTCTCGGAGCCCAAAGAGGCTTTCTTTACTCTGGCCAGACCAGGTGCAATAGATTTAAAGTGCTGTTAGCTTTAAATCGAGAAGCTGTACTTCTTCTTCCAACAAGCAGTAAACACCTGTGAAGAGCAAATCTGTTGTTAAAAGGGACGTTCAGTCTAACACATGTGAGAATATTAATTCCGGCTCTTATTTTTCATTAGTGATGTACTTGAACTACGGGCCCTTTAGCTCTTATGCTCCAGCTTATGACTCCACATTTGCAAATATCAGCAAGGATGATTCTGATTTAATCTATTCCACCTATGGGGAAGATTCTAATCAAGGGAATTTTAAGTAAGTAGGCTTATTTTTGTCTTTATCCTGATGACTTTGAATTAAAAACCTCTTTTAGAAATGTTCACATATTGGCAGGTGGGGGGGGGGAGTGTTTCTTTTCCTGCTACTGGCATTGGCACTAGCAAGAGAATGGAACTTGACTGCAGCTTTTGTATTCTTTATTTTTGACTAGTTGATGCGGGGCTTTTCCTGGAATAACACTAACTCAACAGGGAAGCTAGTGAGTTCTTAGTATTTCGATTTTTACATCCCATCCATTACAACCTTTGTCCTAATACAAATAAAAATCTAAATTGTGGTATGATTCTGAGAGATGCTTTTTCTACGCACATAAGTTTCCCTTGGGGGTCTCAGTTGGCTGGATCTCTTCTTGTGTCTCAGCTTTCCTGACTGGTTCATAGATTCATAGAGTTGAAAGGGACCCTGAGGATCATCTAGTCCAACCCCATGCAATGCAGGAATATGCAGCTGTCCCATACGGGGATCGAACCTGCAAGCATGGCATCATCACTGTCATTCTCTAATCAACTGAGTTCTCCAGGTTTTTTGTGAGAGATGGAGGAATGAGCGCTGGGGTTGGGCACCTGCTGGAGTGGTATTTGGCATGTTAGGTGTAGCCACGTCATAGGAACCAACTCCTAAGGGCCAAAGGGGCTTTGCTCCCCCCTCAATGAAATATTTGAGGCAGCTGGGTTCCCCCAAAGTTGATGGGCATTGCCATTCAACTGGTGTGTCTGCACAACATCATGTGATCAATTATGTGGGGCGGGGCTTACCTGGCCCTCCCCCAATATTTTATTTAAGTTGGCACCCCTGAACCCCATATTTGTAGAAAGCTTGCTTAGTGTTGCTTTATCCTGGTTGCACCTTGGCTTTTCCAAGACAAATTCAAGATAGCGTACATTAGGGTGTAATGTTCTCTCCCCCACCACTGCACATACAATTCCCTTTGCTATCAGCCTCCCTCCTGCACCCACCAAATGAAGCACAGGGTACACAGACTGATTAGAATACCACCTTTTGCATTGAACATACATAGCTCCAGTTTTTACCATTTCTAGGAAACGTCAGTGATAACTAGCACTGCAAATTTACACAAGTTACGAGCCTGTGGATAATAATGCATGTCTGCATCCCAATACAGATGTGAATTTAAAAACATATCCAAGAAAGGGAAAATCTATAAACTTAAGAGAAATCACCAGTTAACATCCCTAGTGGTTCTGATATTATAAAACTTTTTTTAAAACAGAGAACAAAACAAAACCTCAAAGGTAAGTAGTGATTTTATTTTTATTTGTAAGATTGTTTCTTGTAAACTAATTGGCATGCAATTTTGTTGCTTTTATCTTCAGCATCAATGAGTTCCTGGCAAAATCTCAAGACTACCCATATGTAATGGCGGACAGTTTGTTGGATGTTTTGACCCAAGGAAGGCATTCTCTCTCACTCAGAGAACTTGAAAAGGTGAGACTGCTTGTGTGTGAGCATCTGTATCAGGGTGAAGCAATATGTACCGTATTTTTCGTCCCATAGGACGCACCTAGTTTATTTGGGGGGGGGAAATAAATGAAATCCCCCCCTTTATTTCCCCCCCAAAACCAGGTCGAGGAACAATGGGATGGCGGCGCTGCGCCTCCTTGCTGTCCCCCGAGCTTGTGGGGCTGGCCGATGTCTGTCCGGTGCGTGGGACGCTCTGCTTCAGGGCGCCCTTCAGGGCGCCCTGTCTAGGCTGCTATCCACAGCGTGGGGAGTCCTGCGGGGAACTCCTGCAGGGCTGCCTAGGCTGCGGATGTGTTCCCGAAGCGCCGGGCGCTCTGCTTTCAGCGCGCCCGGTGCTCCGGGAAGCAGGCTGCTATCCGCAGCCTAGACAGCCCTGCGGGAACTCCCGCAGGGCTGCCTAGGCTGTGGATGTGTTCCTGAAGCCTGGAGAGCGAGAGGGGTCGGTGCGCATCGACCCCTCTCGCCCTCCAAGCTTCAGCGAAAGCCTGCATTCGCCCCATAGGACGCACCCAGATTTCCCCTTCATTTTTGGAGGGGAAAAAGTGCGTCCTATAGGGCGAAAAATACGGTAGTGTCCTCCACACTACAACTCTCATTATCCTTAACTGTTCACCCTACAAGCTGAGGCTGATGGGAGTTGCCCTCCCAATGTTGTCGAACTACACTTTGGCTACTCCCAAAGTGTAAATGGTGGAGTGGAAATCATGGCATTAAGGAGTCCATAGACATGGGGACAATTACCCTGGACTGCAAAAAGAATCTACATGACAGATATTACTTATGAGACCAGGTACTAGTTCTCCTTGAGAAAGCATGTTGGAGGAAAGGCATACCTTTAGAAATATTTCAAACTATGTTTTTATATAAGAGCATTTAACTCACCTGGATCCCACTGTGAAGTTTTCATTGAGAAATTTATTCCCTGTAATGGGGTTAATTAGCAGAAAACTAGCTTGATAAGATGTGTGTGTGTTATAAGCTAAGTCTGCAATCATGTGCACAGGCTGCTTAAAACCCATCAGCTTTAGGTCAGATTTTTATGTCCCTTCAGTGTCATGGGGACCCACAGCAGTATTATTCCTTCCTATATCACTGTGGTAATATGAAAAGCCTGGGATTACATAGGAGAAGCCCTCACTGTCCACTTCAAGCAAATATAACCAACATCTGGAAGGCACCCACCATGGAGTGTTTGAAATCAGAGGTGGCGCTGTGGGTTAAACCACAGAACCTAGGACTTGCCAATCAGAAGGTCAGCGGTTCAAATCCCCTCGACGGGGTGAGCTCCGGTTGCTCAGTCCCTGCTCCTGCCAAACTAGCAGTTCGAAAGCACGCCAAAGTGCAAGTAGATAAATAGGTACCGCTCCGGCGGGAAGGTAAACAGTGTTTCCGTGCGCTGCTCTGGTTTGCCAGAAGTGGCTTAGTCATGCTGGCCACATGACCCAGAAGCTGTACGCCGGCTCCCTCGGCCAATAAAGTGAGATGAGCGCCGCAACCCCAGAGTCGGCCACGACTAGACCTAATAGTCAGGGGTCCCTTTACCCTTTACCTTTAACCAGTTGAAGGGGTTGAGCAGCTTGAAAACTTTATCCTTCTTTTCCAGTTGCAGCCAGCAGAAGAAGCTGAATGTCTGTGTGAAAAGTCTGCTACAAGCAAGGATGTGGAGGTGATACTCTTCTGAATTTGATTGAGCCTTTAGGCAGTGAAAGGTTCTCATGCAAGCCAGTTAGAATAATTTGTTTCAAGTGCCAAATTTTATGTACTTCTACATAAATCCGGAACAGCTGACTTGCTCTTTACTGTGCAGCTTTGGAGATAAACTTCCAACTCTGTGTTGCGACCTTTCATTCATAGCATAAAAATCAAGTTATGTAAAGTTCAACTTATTGTGCCATGGTCAGATTTTAATTGCAGTCATCTGTATTCTCCAGCCACAGCTTGTACTATTATAAAGAAACCTGTTTTAACTCCTTATTACTTTGAAAGCTAAGCCCTCACAAATTCATGCTGTTGTGCAAGATAGTTGCTGCTGCCTGTTCAACATAACTGTTGTAAACAGGAGACATTTGATGAAGGAGGTGTTCAGGTATAAATGTATTACTAAGGTATCCTCATCTGACTCATTGGCAAATGGATGAGATTCAGCAGAATGGTTTAATTGCCTCTCTTTTGTTGTAAATGTTGAAGATGGAACATAGTCCCAGATATTATAGTTTACCAGCTGATATTGGAGTAGTTCTAAGTCTGCGCTTGAGGGAATAGAGAACCAATTATAGTGGTTTAAACAATCCCACTTAGTATATAGCAGGGATGGGAAATATGTGGCCCTCCAGCTGTTGGGCTATAACAGCCCCAGCCAGCATGCCCAATGGACATCTAGAGGGCCACACATTCCCCATTCCCTGATGCCTATTTTTGATCTGAAGAAAAGGTTGAGAGTCACCACAAATGCACTGCTTGGTTCAAATATTTTATATAAATTTGGGGTTTGCTTGATTTTTAAGAACCTGCATTTGTTTGCCATCTACAGATTCTGGAAACGGCTCTACCCAGTAGGTTTGACTCCTCTCTTAGTAAGGAGAGGCTGACAGCACTGAGAGCAGTAACCAATTTTGGAATGCCTGTGGAGGAGTTTGACTCAGAAGGTGAGTGGCATGAGCTGTGCAGTTGTTGCTTTGCAAGGCTTCTTGGCACATTCCAGCCCAGCTGATGTCTGCCCAAAACTTCACTTTCAATTGAACAGAAGCAGAGGTCTTCCAGAAAAAACTTGATGAAACCACAAAATTGCTTCGGGAGCTTCAAGACGCTCAGAATGAACGACTAAGTACGAAGCCACCTCCGAACATGATCTGCCTTTTGGGCCCATCTTACAAAGAGATGCACTTGGGTGAGTGTGGTGCTGCTGGCATGTGAAACCGTTAAATTTTAGACACGTCCTGGTTCTTTAGTCTAACCTCTGCCCTGCTAGTAACTTCTTTAAAATGGATGCTGGTTGTCTTGGTAACCACATTTATCAAATGGAGCAGCATTGCCACGACAATATAGGGACATCACCTTCCTGGATGTCATAGAAGAGTGGAAGATGTGTGGTTGTTGGCGGGGATTGAAATGCTAGTTACTGCAAGCTGAAGGGGATTCCTTTGTGCCTGGCTGGCTGCTGCAGGCAGAGGGGCCAAGCCTGGAAAGCTAGATGAAAGTAATCTTCCCCTGCCCCCACTATCTGAAGTCATGATGGACAGGGCAGGGCCAGCAAAGACTCTGCAGCTAGTGCACAGAGCAGGTTAGATACAGTAGCCACAACATAAGTAAAATACATCTAGCATTGCGTTCTTAGAAACGCAGCAATGGGAAACACGGTAGTGCATTTCACTTCCTTATTGTTCCTATTGTTATACCGTCTGGAGGGCTGCATGGCTTACTGTGCATGAGGTGATTGTGCCTGCTTTGCTCCTCTGTGCTAGAGCACTGGCCCCCTAACCACAATTCCTGGGGGCTTAGTGATATGTCAAAACCAGGGATTGTGGTTTGTATGGAGTGAAGCAAATTAGGACCTTCTCAGTAGAACGCTCTCCCATCTGATGCCAACCCTGTTCAGGGAAACTTTTAATGGCTGCTTAATTGTGTTTTTAATATTTTGTTGGGAGCCACCCAGAGTGGCTGGGGCAACCCAGTCATATGGGTGGCATATAAAAAATTATGATGATGACCTTTGACTAGGATATTGTACTAAGCCAGTGACCATGGTTTGTTCCCATAGAGAAAATGGCCCAGATAGGTGAGTGATTCATCGTAAATCATTAACTCTGCCCCACTTTGCATGTCATGGAAAACCAATGTGTGCAAACTAGTTTTATATGACAAAACCCTGCATTTTTAGGCTGTTGGGGGGCAATTAACAGACTTTAGATAAACCTTATAAAGTCATACCAATGTTTTACTGTTAACTTTTCCAGCGGAGAGAGTGACAAGTAATCTAAAAGAGCTTGCACAACAAGTGGCTCCAGGAGATATTGTGAGCACATATGGCATCCGTAAAGCGATGGGGATTTCAGTTCCTTTACCAGATGCCATGGACAGCTTTGTTGACTTAACAGATGGTGAGTAACCACAGTGCATTTCAGCAGGTCCCCATAGATTGGTTGTCCTGGATGTGGTTCATGAGTTGCTCACCACATGGAGTAACTACAGTAACCATATTCTGTAAACTAGCACTTAAGAGGTACTTAACCCACAGAAGAAATAAACAGTGAGAAAGTCTGACTTCTGTGTTGACCCTATCACGTTGGACTAGTTAGAGCTGGAAGATGTGCCTAAATCTGACTTTGGCACATTTTTGGCTTGACATTTCCCCTTCCCTGTAGTGAAAGCAGCTTGTTAATTCTGAAGCAGATTCACACCATTGTCTGTCTAAATAGAGAGAAGCTAATATACCTCCACCTGTTTCCTTAGCCAAAACAAGCAAAGTAATAAGCTGTTAATGCTTTTTCCTCCCCAGAAGCAGAGGAACCTCCAAAAGCTCCTGTTCTCAGTGGAAATGAATGTGAACCAGTTGGTGGTACATGATGCTTCTTATTTAAATGGTTTTAAGTCTTTCTTTTTTAAAGATTTGTCCCAGTGCATGCATGGGCACTTTGTATACTTGTGTTTGAATTCTTAATAAAAACTTTAAAACCAAACCAGTTCTATTTTCCTGACAGATCTAAGAGATGCTTCTTGAATGCAGTGCAGAATGAAGCAAGTTGCAGAGTTTTACATTCACACAAATCTTGTTGCTGCCTCCATTCTGCAGGCATTACTTGAGTCATACAGGACTGAGGTGACAATGGGCTAGAAAGCCTCAAATTTGACATTTAAAATGGAGCATTTATTGTTACAGGAAGTCACATGACGAAGCAAAAGGAAAGCTTATCATGGCTGCTGTGGGCAACAATGTTCAATTTAAATTGAGTCACCCTAGACAAGTTTTCACATCACATCAGACATAACAATGCCTTATTGAGTTTACTCACATTCAGCAGAATCCATCTAGAGATGTACACAGGGCAGCAGCCTTAGACTTGAACAGCTGACTGCTTTCCCTTGAACATACTCCAAAAGCAAACTGGCAACATAAGAAAAGAAACTAGCAAAGAGGCCTGCTTTGGGGTTTGTTTTTTCCCCTCAGGCAGCACAATGTCTTTCCTTTGTTGACAGTCAAATGGAGGGCAAGAGGTGCTTCATGTAACATTGCTCTTTCATTATAACAGCCTGGGGAACGTGATCACATAAAGCAAGAATGAAATATTTACTTTTATGAAATGCACTTCTTAAAGAATTTAAAATGATACAAAAGAAGAGCAATTAGACAACAAACACATCCTAAATTTTTAATCTGGGAAATTTAGAATTAAAACAGAAGGTAGACAAGTTACCTTGACTTGCAGTAGAATATGAACATAAACAATTAAACATTAATACTTGAGTTTCTGCTGTTAACATATGACGTTTGATAACTGATGCCAAACGATGACAAACAGTTGCAGAGATTAAAGGTGGAACCTTTGAACTAAAGCATTCTAACAAATGCACAATAAAGTAAGAACTGAAAGCAGTGTTATCATATTTCACATTAACTTGCTGCTATAACAAAATACAATCGCGTAAGTTTCCTTTTTATCCTACCTAGGACTACCCTATCTTGCTACTTTCCAGTGTGACCTACTCTAGACAGCTAAGACTTTCCAAAAGTCCTAAAAGCCACAGTAGGACTTGACTAGAAGAGTTTTGTTCCTGTCATGAAACATAGGCACTTCAACCTCCGCATAAGTTAATTACACAGTAATTATAATGAACACAACAGGGCTGCATCCAGGGCAAAGAATGCCAGAAATCTTTGCACAGTTAGTCACATTCTACTCTGAAAACCTTTTAAAAAATACTAGAGTCACAGTCCTCAAGTCTTGGAATGATTTCCATAAACTTCAGTTGGATTTCAGTTAAGTTACTCCAGAGAGTGACTTGCAAATTGGAGCAGAGCCAAAGGCATTCTACAGAATCTCAATCACAGGGAAAAACATACAATTTCAAAATGTTTCATGGTATTCACATTTAAATTTATAGAACACTTCAATGCAAAGCCATTCATTTTGCTTTCCTAGGATATGCCCAGGTACTAGTCAACACAGTTCTGTTGTGCCCCACATAAAGTCAGACTGCAATCCTATGTGCACTTACCTGAGAGTAAACCCATTGCCCCAGTATGACTTACTTCTGAGTACACATGCATAGCACTGCGCTGCTAAGCATTCCCCCCCCCCATGGGGCACATAAACAACTCTCTCTTCTTTTCACATTGTAAACAATTTACACCTTTTCCCCTTGCCCATAAGACTTAGTGGTTTGTTTCTGGTTCTCCTGTGAAAAGCCTGTCAGACAGAAGTAATTTTCATAAGATAAAAAAATTTCAAGGTTAGCCCCTGTGAATAGACCTAATGGCAGGTACAGTGGATTGGATCCCAAAAAATAGTGAGCATAAGCTGATGGCCCTGATTTGCAAACAACTCAGGAGTTTACCCATTAATAAAACAGGTAGATTCTAGAGCCATTCTTAAGCTCCTGCAACAAGCTGGAAAAGCAGATCTCCATCTTTTGCAATTTAGTTTCTTCTTGTACAAGGCTCTACTGAAACCTGTACCTTCTGCATCTTTGGATCCAATCCGATATCATTTAAGCAGACTAAATGAGTTCTACCTGAAAAATTATTTTGTTCAGAAGCCAGCTTTCTGTGCTTTCCCTACTCCCAATTAGCATGCCTCACACATGGGTGTGAGGTGTGGGGTGTTTCCAAAATGAGTTCTGAAACCCATAGTATTTCTCCTTCACCTAGTTAGTTATATAGGTTGATATTCAGGTGGTCAATTTTGGAGTTTCCTTAAACTGACTTGGTCTGTGCTAAATGTCACTGAAGCTAGAAAGAAATGAATACTCTACAGACAACAGGAGAAAGAATAATCATTAACAAATTGTCCCCCCCTCTCAAATTGTCTAATGGGACTGGAGCAAAAACCCATGGCATAGCAAAAGGTGGTAGACATACGAAGTTCAAGTCTGGCTCAGGGTGGACATTGTATTTGGTTGTGCCCTCTCTGTTCATTTTTATCATAAAAATATGAAAACAGGTGGCAGCCTCTTGCCAATGATAAAATCTAGCAATACAATAGTTTGGGAGGGAGGGAGGGGTTCACTAACTGTACAAAACTTGCACTGTAGCTGCCAATGGGCTGCCCCATGGTTTGTTACACCCACAAGAAAGAGAGAGATCTGTATCCCCAGAAACTATACTTCTTTTTATCAGACGAATTAAGGAAGACACTGGAAGTTTCTCTGTGCCGTATTTTAAGAGTGTGTATCACCCAATTCTGCCTGCCTTACAGCACTGCCATGCCAGCAGTGAAAACTATTTGAAGCTACTCACAATTATATGAGCAGGGTTACCAAGTGCAAGAATCTGGATTTTTACACACACACACACACTCACACTGCTGATGTTAAGCATGTTGCTGTAGGGCACTAATAGCTGCTGAAATAAAAAGCACCTGGTGAAGTGCAAAAAACATTACAGCACAAGCAAAAGGTGTATGAGGAGAAGCCACCCACACATTTCCACCCAGAGTGGAAAGCACATTCAAGAACCAAGGCTAAGAATGTTTCCAGACCCAGAATCCAGAAAAAATAAGCCATGTGAGCAAAAAATAAGCAAGTTCCTCATACCACTTGTCTTCTGCTCCAGTAGAGAATAGCACAGGCATAAGCAAAACAGATGTGTATGATATATCCGGGTATGGTTTAGCAGCAGAACAGGACTACCACCACAGAAATGTTTATAAGGACCGGGTTGTGGTTGTAAAGAAGGATACTGGCAGTGCAACAGTTCCTGGTACTGAAATCCAGTTCTAGAGCAGAGCTGCAGCTCAAAGTCAGGTGGGAGGGTGGGGGAAGCACAACCAACTGATAAGAGCACAAGCTTTGTGTACAGTTGATCCCAGAGTCAACCCCTGACATCTCCAGTTAAAAAGTTCTCAGGCAGAGGAGTCTTCGGTCCCATTGCCTTATGTAATAAGACTGCTGCAAACTCAAGGCGGTGCTGTGTCCATGGACAAGTGCAATACTGTTAAACCAGGTCTGAAAGGATGAGGCAGTGGAATGTTTTAAGGAGGCAATTCGTTCAACTGTGAATCCATGAAAAAGGTGCAGAAGTGGAGCTCTGTCCTGTGGATGCATGGCAGGGAAAGGAGAGAATAATCTGCAACATGGACACCTGCAAACTCTTTTGACAGGCACAGCTGTAAAGAGCTTTTCCACAATCCTTTCTCTTGAGATACAAGTACTAACACTTCTAGTCCGCACTCGTTTTTGTCATAAGCTCCTTTCCATGAGGTGGAGTTTCCAGGCTTTCCGGAAAGGAAGTTATTTTAAAAACAACCAAGCCCAGCAAGACACAAATTTTGACCAAATTTCTCAGCAGTTTCTTGCTCGAATCAAAGCGCTTGGGATTTGGCTGTATCCGTGCACACAAAGTAAGTCACCAGTTCTCCTTTTCCCTTGACGTTAATAAGTCCTCGGCATTCACAGGCATATCCCAGGTTCTCCAGTATTTTGCAAGTCTCTTCTGTAACCTGTGCACAGAAAAAACATGAGTCCATTCACAATTCCAAGTGAGCATTTCATCCCTTTCAGGCCCAGCTACTACTCCTGCTAAGAGCATGCAAAATAAATAAACAAATAACCACAAACATCAGAAAGAGGAACAAGGAAACCTCCACAACAGGAATAAACTATACAGCTTTCCCCCAACCTCTTTCCTGCTGGACAGTGAAAGATCTGGGCTGCTCCTGGGGAGAAGGGACTCAAGAAGCAGGCAGGGTAGGTGAGATGAGATTAAAAGGCAATGGAAACAGTCACAATGACCTCCTTAGTTCTGGGTTTGGAGAGGGACTCTTCTTATGTTCTAATCGTACAGGTTTCCTTCACCCCTCTGCCCAATTTTTATTTTTTTTTACCTGGATTTTCCCAAGTTCTCCTGTACTCTCCATTCTACTGGCAACGTTGACTGTGTTTCCCCAGATGTCATACTGTGGTTTGCGAGCACCAATCACACCAGCTACCACAGGGCCATGGTTTATGCCTGCAAGAACAGGAAAGGGAAGGTTAAAACAAAATTTTGCTTTCCGCTCCTGTGGCTTCTTGCCACAAGAAGAGGAAGGCGCTGTATGCCAGCATGGGAAAATAAAATCATATGTTCAATTCAAGGGAATGTGTGCCTAAACAAAGGCATGTCTTCAGAAGCCGGCGGGATGCCAATACTGATGGGGCTTCTTGTATCTCAGCAGGGAACACTGCTACTACCCCGTGAAGAAGTCCACCTCTATGTTATTGTAAGCTGATCAGTATCTGGTCATAGCAACACTATCTGGGTTTCATTAGCTTACTGGGAGGTGGAGGTCGTCCCAGGTTCAGCCCCTGGAATTTCCAGGTAAAATTGGGAAAGACTCTTGCCTGAAACCCTGGAGAGCCAGTCAGTAGTGAATACTCAGAGCAATGGTCATGCTGGCTGGGGCTATATGAAACTGGAGTCCAACCACTCCCAGCTGGGAGAGACTCCTGCCTGAAACCCAGCTGGTCAGTTGAGGCTAGGTGGACCAGCTAGGTGGACCAGTGGTCTGAATGAGAACAACATAGCGCCTCGTGTTTCTGTGCTCTGCTTGCGGGCCTCCTACAAGCATCTGATCAACTAGTGTGGGAAACGGGATTCTGGACCAGATGGACCCTTGGGTCTGATCCAGCAATACTCTTTTTATGTTCTTTGGTTGTGGTTCTTAAGCAATAGTGTAAATCACACTAGGTCTGGAGGTAGTAATGTTTCCAAATACCACTTGCCGAAAAACAACGGAAAGGCGAGCACCCTTGTGCTCAGATCTTGCTTGCGGGCTTCCCACAGATATTTGGTTTGCTGCTATCAGAACAGAATGCTGGATTAGATTGTTCTTCTAAGATGTAGTGATTTTTAAAATCACTGAATATGGAAGAAATACAGTGGTGTCCCCAAGATAATTCATTCTGCCCCACCACTTTTTGGTGGGGGGAGTGGATTGAACTTACCAACTCTGAGACGGAAATTGTTGAATGAGTGCCTGTTGATGCCATCCAGCTTAGTCATCAAAGCCATCGCAAATTCCACCATGATGCCAATTTGAGCATGCTGTCTTTCCTGGTCCTAAACAATATTTTGGAGCAGGGGGGAGAGTGTTAAGAGGATCTTTGCTTTAAGTTATTAGTGCAGGGGTAGGGAACCTGTGGCCCTCCAGGTTGTTTCAGCACTCACAACTCCCATCAGCCCCAGCCAGAAGGGGTTTTTTAGTCCAATGACATCTTGATGGCCAGAGGTAGCTACCCCTCCACTAATGGAGTGCAGATATACGTGTATCCTAGAACTGCAGGTAAAGCAGTGGACACCTACATTCCTCTCTCTGCTTAAAGTAAGGTAAAGGGTAAAGTGACCCCTGACCGTTAGGGGTTGCGGCGCTCATCTTAGTTTACTGGCCGAGGGAGCCAGCGTACAGCTTCCGGGTTATGTGGCCAGCATGACTAAGCCGCTTCTGGCGAACCAGAGCAGTGCACGGAAACGCCGTTTACCTTCCCACTGGAGTGGTACCTATTTATCTACTTGCACTTTGACGTGCTTTCAAACTGCTAGGTTGGCAGGAGCAGGGACCGAGCAACGGGAGCTCACCCCATCGCGGGGATTCGAACCGCTGACCTTCTGATCAGCAAGCCCTAGGCTCTGTGGTTTAGACCACAGCGCCACCCACGTCCCTTTTCTGCTTAAAGTAGCTGGCAACAAAACTCACATTTATTTATTTATTTCATTTTCTTTATTGCATTTATATCCCACCTTTTTCTCCAAGGAGTTCAAGGGGGCACACATGGTTCTCCCCCTCCTCTTTTAATCCCCACAACAGCCCTGTGAGGTAGGCCAAGCTGGGAGGCAGTGCCTGACTCAAGGTCACCCAGGGAGCTTCATGGTTGAGTGGGAATTAGAACCCTGATTTCTCTCTCTCTCTCTCTGTCTCTCTCTCTCTCTCTCTTTCACACACACACACACACACACACACACACACACACACACTATCAAAGTGGCTTGTATTTCAGCAGGTGACTTACCAGATTATTCTCTTGGCCTGGGGTAACACAGAGTCCTGATGCTGCCATGTATGTACTCCCAATAGTTTTGATTTTTTCAACACCACTGAATTTAGGTTTCAGCAACAGCTGTTTGGGAAAAAAATGAGAAAACCATTAAAATCCAGGACCTGGATGATTCTTTGTCCTGTTACAGTCTTCTCACAGGCCAGAGTTTCCAGTGGAATAAGCTAGACAAGCGGAAGAGGCTATACTGCTCAAGATAGGGTTGGTTTTCCTGCTACATTTTTTTTCACTTCATACCGATCACCAAGTACAAAATACATGGGAAGGATGCGTGGGTTTTAAGATTTGGTTGTGTGTTTCTGACTTCCCCAATAGGTTGATTAATATGCCTGCATGAATACACCCACCCACACCCCTTTCATCGTGTTTTGACCCTTGATGGCAACCCTTTCAAGATAAGGTTTTAGAAGTAGGTGCGTCATCCTGCCCAAGCATGCAAATCAAACCATGGTTCTCTGGTTCAAGGATACTTTTCTTCATATGAAAGCTGCCTTATACCCAGGTCAATTGGAAGGAAAACAAGGCTCTCAACAGCTGCTAGTCAGGATGACTATGAAGTATCAGATCCAGGATCAGAACCAGCATGCCTCTTGATGGGGAACAAGAGCGAGGGAGGGCTACTGTCCTCCTGGCCTTCTACAGTTGCTGCTGGACCACAAATCCCATCCTCTCTGTCCACTGAACATGGTGGAGCTGATGGGAGATGGGAGGACCACAGTTTCCCCCCTCCCTGAAACATAGGAAGCTGTTTCCTACCGAGGCAGAACATTGGGTCCATTTTGCTCAATGCTGACTAGCAGTGGCTCTCCAGGGTTTCAGAAGGGATTCCCATCCATACCTGGAGATGCCAGGGACTGAACCAGGAACCTTCTGCATTCAAAGCATGTGTTCTCCCACTGAATTATGATACACCTTTCTGATGCATATCCAACCAGTCACATTTTTTTAAGTGCTGCCAAGCAGGCTCCAAGGACCTTCCTAACATGACTCAAGAAGCCAATTCTCTCCTCTGTGGAGAAGAAAATCTCTCTTTACTACACTGAAGTCTTGAGGGGAGAATACTCATTTCTGGCTATTTAACATGGGGCAGGGGGGCGGGGCGGGCAGAGAGAGAACCAATCCCAACACCAAGAGGTCCACACAAGCCTCAAGAGGTACCTCGTCAAAATCGGCAATTATTTCATTGAGGAGTCGAAGGCACTCCAGCCCTTCCTTGTTGACATCACATTCTGTGTAGAACACCTTGAAGTCAGGTACTGAGGCAAACATGACACAGACACAGTCATAGGATTGATGGTACCAATCCTGCAGGAAATGCAACAACAGTTTCAACAATATCATTGTTCGCTACCAGTCGCTTCCATCTCCCCATACAACTAAAGCAACACGGTCTAAGCACATGTAAATTCAAAGACGTAAATGCACGCTAGGTGTCAGAAATCTCAGATCTACAATTTCCAGAGTGGTTTAGCAACCACTCCTTCTTCCCAGGGAATTTTGAGAATTGTAGCTCTGAGACGGAAATTTGTCACTCTTCACGACACTCTTAACAAACGACAGCTCCCAGAAGTCTTTGGGGTAAGCCATGACTTTAAAGTGGTTGAGCACTTCAGGTGTATATTGTGAATGAGACTTAAGATTTATTTTGCTCTTTAGACCATGGGGCTTCTACTGCTTTGTCCTCGTGCTGTTTTCAACAAGCGATCTCTTAAAAATTAGCAGAGGAGTGAATGAAAGCACAATGGAGCAATGTGAATCTTATTGTTCTATACCTCATTTAATTTGTCCCCAATAAAATGGGCAGCGACGTGAGCTGGGAGCACATTCTCCAGCAGCAGCCGGTTCACGTTTTCCATAGTTTCAAACGACTCGTGTTCCTGTTTAAATTTATTCTTTTGTAGGCAGTCCAGACGACAGTAATAGTCTATCTGCAAAAAACAAATAAACCAAGGAATTATGAAACCCAGCCTTAATATCAACAAGCTGAAAATACTAGAAACAGCTTTGTGTATTTGCAGCAAACTTGTTTAATGCCTTGTGGGTTCAGGGGCTCCATGACATTTTTAATGTCCATGAAATCAACTGTTCCTCCTTCAAAAGCTTGAAATCTTTTAAAATGAGAGACTTGACCAATAAGCCAAGTATTTAACCCCTGACGCCCCAAATTGCACCCCACACATTTTCTTCCCCATGCAAGCCAAATGTACTAAGCCACAAACAAATGCCCATACTCCTGTACACGTGCAGCATTCATTAATTGTCTAACATGCTCCCACAAGCCACATTTCTATTTTAAATCGTACCTAATTATTTATCCCAAATCACTGCGCTGTGTTTCCCAGACCTGCCTCAGCTGTCATTAAGACATCATCATCACTAGTAATAGCCTCACAGATTTGATCTCTGTGCAAGTGGGACTTTCCACCGTTCAAAACCAACTGCCAAACTGAGGAAACACAACTCACAAGCATAGAGAGACTGTGTGCACTTCAGAACAAATCCTATAGTGTCTGATTTGTTACAAAATGCAGCAGATGTGGAAAACACCACAAAATAATTTTGCAGGGATACCCATAGTGGAGTCTTTTTTTAAAAACAAACAAACACATACTCCCCCCAGCTGCAGACTAAAATGGTACCATCCATTCTACCACATGAAAATTATTGATTTATTCAATCTTATTCTTATTTATTTAATCAATCTTCCCACAAATCACAGTAAGAAGAAAAAAAGTTTCGGAATGTCACATCACAAATAAACTGAAGACAGAAAGCTCTGGGCAAATCGCTCACCTATGAGGACTGAGTTGCCTACCTGTTTTGACAGTAGAACCAAAGTTATGTAAAACAGAGCCAGGTATAAATTTGTCATTATTCTTGGTTCTTTCATAAAAAACCTAAAACAAAAAGCAAACAAAACAAAAACATTCATTTTAAAAGCATTTGGAACTATGTGTGAAACACCCATGCTTAAATTTTTGGAAATGCATCTCTAAAACGTTCAAAGTTTCAAGCGATACAGAGGACTACAAACAAGAGTTTGCCAGATTGCACATTGGAACCATTCACAAGACACAAAGACACCCATCCACAGTAGAAAAGAAATTAAATTACTGTCAAATATTGTCTCCTGCAAGGGGGGGGGACACCCCTGGGTTTGTAGGGTTAAGTAAACACCACTGCCATCCGCTTCTGAGTTTGATACTCGGATAAATACTACTCTCAAGGGCAAGAGGTCAAAATGGAAGACAAGCTTGCAGCATTTCCAGCTCATGAAACAAAAAATATTTGATGGGGCTTTTTTCCAGTTTGAGATTTGATTGGGCAAATTCCACATTATGCACCATCTTGAACGGGTGTCGGAGAGAGAATAAGTTTGTAAACATAAAATAGTGGATCCCCCATTACCCTCATAGCACTACAATTCCCAGAGCTCCCTGTAAAGAGGAATTGGTTGTTAAACCACTCTGTAAATTGTAGCTCTGTGAGAGGGAATAGGGGTCTCCTAATGCTCTAAGCACCCAGGATTCCTTGCAGGAAGCCATGGCTTATTTAAAGTCGTATCGTAGCACTTTAACTGTATGGTGCAGGTGGGCCAAGAGAGAAAAGCAACGAGGTGACCTCCCAAGTTCATCACCGATGAACACAGTGATAAGTAAGGAGGCCATTTAGGGTCTTCTCTAGTCTGACTTGGCACAAGGCAATTTCCTGTGTTTGCATGAAAATGGCAGAGTGGTTTAAACATCTGAAAATGCTTCAGGTAGGAGGAAGGTCTTGTGCGACATGTTGCAGTGACAGCAAATGCACTGCAACACTAGCGTAATCATTATCCACACAATACCCAAGAACTCAACTTTTTCACTGGTGGAAAAGGGTTCCTAATGCAGCTAATGTCACTATGCTGCAGCATACTTTGGGTCTGTTCCCAGCTTCTTAAGAAACTGTAATCTATGAGATCACTTCCCGGAGCAGCAGTTTGCAATTCCACTAAGCTCATCATCAGCTTACAGAGTGTTGTTACCATTGAGAAGCAAGATACCATACCTTGTGGTGGAGTCACTGACGTTGCTGCGGCTGGAGCACAAAAGCAGGTTGCTATTAAATACAATGAAATACCCAACGACGGCTCCTGACAAAAGGATAAGCTTCAGTTCAAAGCTCATTCGAAGGAACACAGAGCAGGCAATGAAACCCAGAAGGCAGCAGTAGGTATAATACTGGAACAGAAGAGGAGCGGCTTTAAAAAAATCTGTATGTATATGTGTGTATGTGTGTGTGTAAAAATAAATAATATCATGGCACACTGATTGCCTATGTAGTCATGTCCTAGGTATGGGCAAATTTGTCAATTTTGGCTTCTCTCAGTTTCTCATTTCTCCAATCCTAAATTCTGTTCTCCACATTTTCATATCTGTTTTTTTTAAAAACTGCAAAGTCCTCATGAAAATTCATACATATTTACATGAAATTTTATCCCTCACCCCACCAGAACCCAGTGGCCAGATCCATTAGAAATCAAGCCAGCCCATTCTCTGCATTGCCCTAACTTGAGTTGTTTCTTGATCGTGCTGGAGCACAACGGAATGTTGGCATTGGAAAAGCGAGGCAATCTCACTTTTCTGCTGTGGCCAGAAGCCAAGCAAAGAGAACCAACAGCCTGCTTTTGCACAAGTGTTGGTATTTTTTTTTAAGCAATTCTCTCCAGCATGTATCTAAACCCATATTTTAAGATCAAATTTACTCACTGAGTAGGTCTCAGCTTCAATTCTCAGCATGTCGCTGTTTTCAGAAGAACTGTTGCCCACCTGCTGCTTTGTTAGAGCAGGAGAGAAAGAGAAAGAGAAAGAGAAAGAGAAAGAGAAAGAGAGAGAGAGACTATTGTTTGTTGTCTGTGGCAGGCCAGGCTCCATCAACATGCAGAGCAAAATGATTAATCGACAGGACTGTCTGGTGGTTGGCTAAAGAAAACATGGAGCTGTTGTGACTTGAACCATAATGAATATTTCAGAATGGAGCAGCTCAGGGATGAACATAGGGACACGGGAAGCTACCTTATACTGAGTCAAACCATTGGTCCATCTTGCTCAGTAGTGCCTACACTGATGAGCAACGGCTCTCCATGGTTTCAGGCTGGGATCTCTCCCTACCTGGAGATGCCAGGGATTGAACCTGGGCCCTTCTGCATGCAAAGCAGATGCTTTCCATCTAAGCCAGCCTTTCTCAACCTTTGGGTCCCCAGATGTTGTTGGACTACAACTCCCATCATCCCTAGCTAGCAAGGCCAGAGCTCAGGGATGATGGGAGTTGTCCAACAACATCTGGGGACCCACAGGTTGAGAACCGCTCACTAAGCAATGGCCCTTCTCCATGCCTTGATTGTGAGCTGGGCTCTCTCTCTCTCTCTCAAGTGTCAATTTCATTCATTTATTTTTGACCGCTGCCACCACCACACTTTTTTTTGGCCAAGGCTTCTGCACGTGGATCATGAGTAATTTAAAATACAACCAAAGGATTCCAAAACTGAGAAGCTGAATAGATCATTAGGGTAATTTTTTTTTAAAAAAACCCCTCTCGTTTTGTTTTATTGTACACATGAAAGGAGAATTAAAATGTAACAGTGAAATGCAAAGAGAAAGGTAATAGAAAAGCTAGATGGTTAGAACACCAGTAATTTTTAAAAAGTTTGCATTTTAAATAAGAAATAGATCTCTGATCTTGGGCTACTAAACCAAAGGTTATTAATATAGCAAACAAAACTTGCTTTTTAAAACTCACCAGGTTTGGTGTAGTGCAGTTTCCAATAGTCTGGTCTGTGTGCTAATTAAAAAATTAGAAGCTAGTTAGGAATTCAAATACATAGCTTTATTACAAAACAATGGCAGTTATCACCAATGCGTCTAGTCAATGAAAGGATTTCCACTTGTGCCGTGGGACTTCTCCTCCCTGCTCTCTTCCTGCCATGTGTGCCCCGCATCCTTCCGCAAATCTGCTTTGGAGAACTGTGAAAATGCCTAGAAAGATTTAGGTGGCACGTTGGGAGAGGAAGGGGGGAATTATATTGCACTACTGTAAATCCTTGCACTGATGGGGCAAGTTAGTGCTACTTAGAACACAACCCGATGGATAAGAGCCTTAGCTAAAACAATCTGCAATCCCACCCTTTATGGTGAACAAATGAACTGGCTGATGCCAGCTGATAGATCTACCCACCCTTTGTACAATCCATATTTAAAGTTGTTGAAGCTACTAGTCATTATCACAGCTTGTGGCAATGAATTAAGCTCTTGAAATCACTTAGTCCCTTAGTCTTACTTGAAATGTTAAGAACATAAGAGCTTGCTGGATCAGTGGCCAACCAGAGGCCGGTGGGAAACCAGCAAGCAGGATTGGAGCACAAGATCACTCTCCACTCTCCCTTTCCAGAAACTGCTTTTCAAGAGCATTACTGCCTCCAACTGAGGAAGCAGAGAATAGCCATCATGGTTAGTAGCTGCTGAGAGCCCTTTCCTCCATGAATTTGTCTAAGGCTCTTTTAAGCCTTCTAGGTTGATGATCATCGCTGCCTTCTGTGGGACTGAGTTCCACAGTTTAATTATGTGCTGCATAGTTTAAAATTCTGCAGAAGCAGAACATTGTTGTGAAAGAGAATGCATAGGCAGGTTGCTGGTAGCTCTGCTGCACAACAGATTGTGCAACTCCTCTGTTGCGTAATATTAAAACTCACCTGTCTGCTAGTGCAAGAGACCTTCTGCTAGAGGGCAGAGAATGCTGAGGAAGTCTATTCATTTTTTTTATTTTCTTTACAGACTGCTTTTTTGGGGGGGGGGGGTTGCTTCTGCCTTTAGAGTCAAGCGGTGTATAAATTTCATGAAATAATAAAGAAAAGGAATTACCAAGTTAGAAACAGCTAGAATTAACAGAGAGCCGATTGCAATAGTGGCCAGCGGGAGCCTCACGGCTGGCATTGTCTCCATTTTCTCTGAAAGCGTGCGGAGATAGCGGGCTGGGGGCCACTGCTTTGAACAGGGTCTCTGCAAACAGATGACAGAGGCACAGCATGACACATAAGCATACCAGCTCTTACCTCCTTCCCTACAACCATGCTATAGCAACAAATGTTTGACATTTTCTGCTGTTTACAGGAGGCGATTCCTCGCACACAGTTCTTAAAATGGAAGAGCTTTGGTCTTACTTCTCTCTCTCCAGCAGCTGCCAATGCCGCAAGGCCATTGTTTACTAGCAACGTGGTTTTGTACAGCAGAAGGGGGTCGTGTGGCTTTCCACTGCAAGATGAATGGGAAGGCAGATCCTGGGGAAGAATGACTTCCCCAATACCAACCACAATGGGCCCTGTGATTGGCAGGCAGGGCATGCCCTCTTGGTGGTGGTGTCTCCTCCAGCAGCTGCCCAACTGCACTGCCCAACTGCAGGGCCTTCTCGGTGGTGCCTCCCTGTTTGTGGAATGCCTTACCTGGTGAGGTGTGCCTGCCTCCCCCACTACTGATGTTCAGGAGGAATCTAAACTCATTCCCACTTAAGCCAGGCAGACAATGGCTGATAGATATTGGCCATGGCAACCTTGAAATTAGTAACTGTAAATGTGGCCCTTATGTTAAAAAAAGCGAGTTCCACAACCATGGACTAAGCAATTCTTAGGATCCAGATCAACAGCCCCAGGTAGAAATAATATGTGGAGATTTTTACAAGCACAGCTGGTATTACATTTACCCCAGTGATATAAAAAAATTTCAATGCAAATGCATTTAAGGCAAACACATACTATCTGGCAGTACAATTTTCTTTTTCTTTTTTTTAATGCTTTGGACATTTTCTTTTCTTTTTCTTTTTTACTTACCCAACAGTCATCAGCAAAGCACACACACAAAATTAGCCCCATTATGATAGCTACGACCCCAAATGGAATCCCTAATTTTGACGTTCTGAAAGAGAGGAAGGGGTGGGTGGAAACAGATGATGCAGAGCTAAAGAAAAACGTTATTCATGCTTCGACTGTCGTGAGTTCCTGGGGGAATATATAATCCCTTTGATAGCCAAGTTGCTTGCAGGTTTTGTTTCTGACTTTCAAAGCTAATTGAGCAGCACTTCCCCCCCAAACCTGAAATGTTAGAATCTCTCCAACACTCTCTGTTTAAAGCATTACATTTGCCTGCAATTAGCAAGGCTTTTGGTTCAGGATATTACCCAAGGCAATAACACCCTAGCACCAAAAAGATAAGGAGGCAAATTTCCTTGGTTCCGCATCTCCAATTACATACCATCTCTCTATTCATTCCTGTCATCTAGAGCGGGAACATGGGCTGCTAATCGGGGCCATCTGGACTCCCATCTTGGGCACAGAACCATAATCTGGTGGAACAGTACGTGCTTTGCAAGCAGACGATGCCAGGTTCAATCCCTTGCGGCTGCTGTTAAAAGGCTCTCTCAGGTGGAAGCGATATAAAGGACCCCTGTCTGAAACCTTCAAGAGCTAACTGCTGGCCAGAGGAGGCAGCGCTGAATCAGTAACAGTAGTGCAGTGGCAAACAGTAGTGTAATGCAGTGGCCTGGGCCCACTCAACCACTTCAGTTGGCGGAAGTGGAATTACTGCAGGAGGCCCCCATTACCTGTCCCACCTTTGTAAGAACTCGATCATATAGTGAAGCAGGATTTGCACTGTGGAACTCTCCGCCTGTTGAGATCAAGCAGGCACTTTTGCTCTACCCTTTTCGGTGCCTGCTACACACGTTACTGTTTAGCTGTTTAAAAAGTTGAGGTGATTTTAATCCGTTTTAGTATTTTAACCTTTGTTATCTTTTAAAGGTAGGGTTTTTATCTTTTTGTAAACTGCTTTGAGGGTGTGGGGTTTTTTTAAAAACAATGAAGCAGTGTACAATTTTCATTAAATAAAAATAATCACAAGCGCAGAGTCTCTTCATGATTCTCACAGCCATGCCCCCCCCCAAGCCACACACCCTTCTAAGATCATGCAACCTTCTAAGCTTATACAACAATAATGTTGTTGTTTCCTTGGTCCTGGTATATCTGAAAATCAATAAAATATGGTTTAAAAATGCAATAACAATCAATAGGGATGCATTGCAGCAATCAATGTAAATCTCCTTTCAGCTGGATCTATTTTCTGTGCACATACATGAGCAAACCATCTGGAGTACCTTCTGTTGGAGTGAATTTTAGTTGTGTTTTCCTTGAAGTTCCGCTGTATGGAACAGAACTTGCACACCAGTCTCTTGAAACCAAAGCACCTGGCATCTTCAGTGTTCCTACATGCTTAGCTTTGGAACATATGGAACAACTGCCTCGGCTTGCCTAAATGTTTTATCAGGGGCTGAGAAGAATACAGTGGAGGAGCCTGGCTGATATCAATAGGCAGGGAGTTCCAAAGCTGTGGGTGCTGCCTCATTATATGATCCAAGCTCTTACAAACGGAGGACGTCTATTACGTAGCAGTCGCAACAGTGCCAATTCTGCAATCTGGAGCCAGGGGGCAGCATTAACTTCAATCTCCAAATTACATTAAACTGCCCTTGTAGCAGATTTGTATGAGACATATTTAAAAAGGAAAAGGGGGGGGGACCACTTACCCTTGCATTATGGAAATCTGTACAAGGAACATACACAGCAGCACAATGCTGGCGCAGGCAAAATAACCCCTCATTTTGGGGATCGGGATTGTGCGATACTGGAGATGGGGAAACAAAACAAAGACATTAGCTCGGATTTACATAATTTTGGTCAGCTCATAAGGACTAGCTTTCTTGGGTGCTACATGCAACTTCTAGACAAAAAGAGCCTTCTATCAAACAAGTTCTTTGCTACAGCCACAAAAAGACACGAATGTTAGAACCTGACAACTTAAAAAAGGCAAATTAAATGAATAGTTCTTATTCCTCCTCTCTAAGGGCATGATGAGGAAGAGAAAGGAGGAAGATCAAAAATAAAATCTATGTTGTCTCCCAGTTTGTTGTACTATCCTTGTGAGGGTTTGGGCAGGAGGACTGAGTTCCGGTGTTGTCTTACCATCTCAGCATTTCAGAAACGAGCATTGGTGTTGGTGCGACACCAGGGACAAGCAGTGCGCCCAAGACACAATGGGTACTTGAACAAGAAAGGCGGGAAAGTCAAACAAGTGTGGGAGTGGGGCAGAGGCAGTGAAGAGTGGAAGTTGCAAGAAATGATGAAGACCTAAGTGAGCTTTGCTTTCTGGGGAGATTACAGAGCGAAAGAAAGGACAGATTTATTGAGCCGGAGAGTAGGCATTGTGAATACTTTGGCCTCTCTGATGAATTAAGTCCTCCCTAGGTCAAGGCTGGGAGTTTGGCTGTGTACACACTAGCCTGTTTATAGCACACACAAAATGTAGTTTTTCCTCAATCCAGAATCAAAGAACTGAAGAGCTGCAAGGGATCCCTTAGGATCACCATTCTAGTCCAACTGCTTGCAATGCAAAAACCACAGCAAAAGGATCCCTGGGCCATCCAAGCTCTGTTTAAAAACCTCCAATGAAGGAAGTCCACCACCTTCTGAGGGAGTTCGTTCCACCAATAAACAGTTCTTACTGTTAGTAAGGTCTTCCTAATGTTTAGCTGGAATCTCCTTTCTTGTAATTTGAGTCCATTTGTTCTGGCACTACCCTCTGGAGCAACAGAAAACAAGCTTGCTCCCTCTTCCATTTGACAGACCTTCAGATATTTAAAATTAGCAATCATATCCTCTGAGCAGCCTTATCAGAAAAGTAGTTCTTCAGATTTTCCCAAAAGGAGTTTCTGGTGGTGCTCAACCTTTCAAAGGGTACGATGAGGAGGACCCAACGACTCAAGTAACAAGGTGATGCCCCAAGGAAGAATCAGGTTGCTTTTCTGTGGTGCCAATGGAGGATGGATGCATGGAAATTCCTGCCTCAGGGGGACCACCTTCCATCCCCGAGATTCTACAAACAGGAAGGCCACAAAGCTTCGTTTACTAACCTCTTTCTCAAGCTCCATTTCTACGAAACATAGCAAGAAGCCACACAGCCCACGGAAGTCGTCTTTTTTACCACACCACGGCCTGCATTGAAGAAGAAATGCTTGTTGAAAACATATGCATGGGAGCAGGATAAAACGATGCAGAGCAAGATGGAACCGCAAATAGGTACGTGTGGGGAGGGAACTTGGACTCCCCAAAGCACAAACGACTGAGAAGACCCATAAATAAGATCTCACCACTGCCATCAACTCAGGAGGCAGCCTTAGGGATGTGGTCCTCACTCCAGACTTAGACTCACCCCACATCTATGCTATACGGACTATCTTACAAGATGGTTGTTGTGAAAATAACTAAGATAACTAAAGCACTATGAATACCCTAGAGCGGGTATCTCCCAGCTTTACAAACCCAGGACCCACTTTTAAGCCAATCATACATCCAGGGACCATTTCTTAATCTCCTGGCATGCATCTGTGTGGCTGTGACTCAGTAGTGGGCCTCAATTCTTCAGTGGAAGACCAGCGCTCTAAGGCACCAAGACCACTGTTATTCTAAGTCAGGGATGGGGAACCTCCAGCCTCCTAATTTGGCCCTCAATGTGATTTTTTGCATCGCTACCCCTGGCCACACACATCTGTGGAGAAACAATCGAGAGCCCTAGAAAAGGCTGCCGGTTGTTCCTCTGCAAGTTGATTTTGCCTTCGGCATGTACTTAATTTGGCACCAAAAGCAAGCCCTGCTGGGATTGGCTCTACTCAGGAGTTCTCGACTGGAGCCAATCCCTGCTAAAAGTGAGGGTCTTTGCACCCCCACCCCCTTGAACTCACAGAAGAACCCTGAATTCAGGCCAGGGCTGCAGAGGTGGGAGGAGACCTTGCAGAAATTTGCAGAGAACTCTGGAATTCCATTTGTGTACTTCTGATCTGAAGTTTGTACTGTGCAATTTTTCAAAAAGCTGCATTTCTTAGGATTACCTAGTATTGCCAGAGACAATAAACAGCAGGGTGTCATGTGAATCCCTTGACATCTGTATTGTGTTAACCTGAAGACTCTTACTCTGAACTCAAAAAGCTTCCTGATTTCACAAGTGCTCTTTAGGAGCCGGAGTAATAGACCTCCTAATTAATAGTCATGTCATAAGAGGACATTTCTCAATTTCCTGTTTTGTCAAGCCCACTTCTGGTTTTCTACTTTTTTGTTCTTCTCAAAACTGAGCCAACCGAGGGTTTTGTAGCAGTCAGACAGCTGTGAGCTGTGTTTTCAACACAGGGTAATTCTGATTATTTAAACCAGTGTTTTTGGACTACAATTCTGGGAACCTGAAACCTATGCAGAAGTGCAGCGCTCTTTACGCTTAACCCCATAACCTGTTTTCCATGTTACAGTTCACTGAAAAGGCAGCAGCAGAGGAGTGTGTTTGCTTATCACTGAAGAAAACACAATCTGTTTTCTCCACACACATTTATGACGAAGGGGCGATATTTCTAAGTAGGCCTGCACACTCCCATACTATAGAAAATAAGCATGGGGAAAATCCCCGTTCTTTTCTGCCCCTCCCCTTCTGCAGATGAGGCAATTCTCTCAAGGACAGGAAGAAAAGAGTGGTGCCTTTACTTGGCTGAACTGAGGCCCTCGATGGTTGACATCATTTTGTCGTTAATTTCTTCTTCCATCCTTCCTTTCTGAGAGGTATTCCTAAGGACAGGCAGAGAAACATCATCCAGATGAAACGTTTCCCCAAAATGCAGGAGAACAGGTGCACTGAGTAATCATTACATACCTTTTAATTACATTTTGCAGAGGCAAAAGCTGAAAATGCACGCTGGCCAATTTTAAACAAAGGGGGCCCAAGGTATCTCAAGTATTGCTTAGATATAAATATAGTGCAGAGAGAGGAGAAAGTAGCAAGGGAGTATCTAGTTGTTCTATGGCACAAGGCATACACAGAAAGCAGAAGAAAGAAAGAGAAACTCACTTATAGCTTACAACCGAAGGAGGACACAACGGTTCTTGTCTAGACCTATCCAGACTAACACACACAAACAAACACAGGGAAAGAGAAAGGAGAGAGAAATTTGATGTCATGCATTGATTAGAAATGATCAGATTAATCACCTGTGAAAAGACTAATGTTATAGCAGCCTGTCTTCATAAGGTGGACAAAATAAAAGCAAACATCTCAAGTTTGGTTTTTTTTTCCGGGGGGGATCTCTGTGTTGCGTCTTGAAAAAGCTTGGAGTCCTAAAGTAATGTGCAAGAGCGTGTTTTTAAAGCAAAAATTTGATTTGTTTGTTGTGAACAAAATAACTAATGAGCATGGAGTAAACCTGCCTGTTTCTCACCTGAGATGATACAGCAGTTGGAAGCTCTACCTACATCTGATGTTGCAGAGCAACCTTTGACCCAGAGGTGGTGCATGATCTAGGAATGGCTGGGAGAAAGAGCTGAAGTATCTAGGACACTGTTTTCCCCTCTTTGCCCAGCCCTTGTCTGATGCCACTTGATTCGTTCACAGATAATTTCATGCTAAGGGATGAAGGAGGAACCCATTTTAAACCAATTTATACGCAGAACTTGGTGGTTCCAGCCTGACTGAGCTTTGCTCACATCAAATTGCCTCTTGTATTGAGCCTGTGGTTATATCAGAGCCATTTCTGCAATCTTGGGGGTATTGCCCCCCCAAACACTAAATATATGTGAAGCTATATAAACAAAATACAAATATTACATAAAAGTCAAGGCTCATGCATAATTTTACAAATATGTTGCCTAATACATACACATTTTTGCATGTACTTGTCTATGTGCCAGTTACTTCAGGAAACCTGGAATACATGACATATAATAGTATATATACAATAATGTGTATGAGCACTGTTAAGATTTATAGCTGACGCTCGGGGGGGGGGGAAGGCTTCCAATCAAAATTAATGAGCAAGATGCGATTAGAAAAAATCTGTGCAGATATGCTAGATATTCAGATTTTCAGAAAATTCCATCCTTACTCATGCTTCTGCTGCCTGGCTCTGCTGAGGAGTCTAGAGTATGAGAGAGAAATAGAAATAGAAATAGAAATAGAAATAGAAATAGAAATAATAGAAATAATAGAAATAGAAATAGAAATAATAGAAATAGAAATAGAAATAGAAATAGAAATAGAAACAGAGACAGAGACAGAGACAGAGACAGAGACAGAGACAGAGACAGAGATAGAGATAGAGATAGAGATAGAGATGGAAAAGAAGGGAGCAGCTTGCTAAGTGCTGTGGATTTCTTCTCTTCACTTGCCTTGGCTCACCCAGACCTCAAAGTGATACCGCTCTGCTTGAGAGACTAAATTCAGGGACTGTTATGTGGAGTTGGGGGTGAGAAAGTGAGAAGAACCACAGCTGCCTGAACACTGGGTAAATAAAGTGACAAAAGAAAGAGCACAGGAGGAAAACACCGCCCAAGTCCATTTGCTCCCTTCCTCAGACACATTTGTCTGCTTCTGCCAGAGCTAGCTGCACATAACATAACATTTAGTCCAGCAGTTTGTTTGCCACAGTTTGCCAGGTAAATGCAGACTTGTGTGCGCTCCCCTGTTGCCTGTTAACAGCACCGGATTTTCAGGGTTATACTGCCTTTGGGCTTGGTTCCATTTAGCTATTAGAGCTAAATTGGATAGACCTCATCTTCCAGGAATTTTTCTAACCATTTTAAAAGCCATCTCTGAGCCTAACTATGCAATGTAATGGAAGTAAACACTGACTGCTTGCTATTTTAGGAGCGGGGTGGATTTTCAGTGGAGAATCAGCTAAGGAGAGGTGTGCTTAATCCCTCCACAACTCACTGTAACTCCTTTCCCTCTAAGCCACTCACTGTCCGCCTGACAACTTTGTTTTATTTTGGAGGATAATGTTTAGGGAGGAAATGCTAAAGGTGGCAACCCTAGTATGTGGTGATTTAAAAATCATAATAATAATTTTCTTGCATGAAAACCTTCACGAGGGCACTCCTCTGCTAAAAATAGTAAATCTGAAGTCAAACTGTGCAGAGAGAAGAATCAGCCAAATCTAATACAAAAATCAAGACAATAATATGCAGCCTACTTCTGATAAAGTCACAGAGGAATATTGTGCAGAATAAGAAGAACATTCCAAAGAAAGTGATTCAGAGACCACATGCAGTGGAGTTACTGAGCCTTCAGTAAGATCTGCAAACCAATTTATGTGCTACACAAGACAGGGCCTTCTTGACAGGGGCACCAAAGTTGTACAACTCCATCTTCACTGACCTTTCAGATGCTTAGCAAAAGGGCTTCTCTTCCAGGGAGGTCCCAGAGCTTTTTCTTACTGTAAACATCTTATATTATGTTGGTTGTGCTGGCTTAGTAGTAGTAACAGTAACTTTCTAGCTGCCTTGTTAATCACAGTTCTGGAAGGTAGGGTGTGTGTGTGTGTATACACACACACAACACCACAACACAGCACGATCTAACATGTGTTATAACCATGCATGACTTGCCTCTCTGTAGTCCTCTGACGGCTCACCAACTGCAGAGCTATCTCCTAAGCAAGAGAGAAAAGTTAGGGGATTAATGCTTTCCCAACCCTCCCTCTTAAAGCATGTAAATATAATTTAATGAATTCAACAAGCAAAATACGTTCAGTGCTGCACAGAAGAGCCCCTGACCTGTGAGTTCCCCATAACATAGAAAGTATATTAAATGGTTGGCTGAGTTTCTGCATCTGTAACGTAAGGGGCTGGCTTCCTCTCAGGAAGTGGCACGACGGGGGAACAAACCTAAGATTTGTGTCATTTGCAAGACTGCCTAGGTAGGGAAGCAGATGCCCTACGTGACCTGACATTTATAGCTTTATTCACTTTTGCTATGAAAATATCTATTTTATATTTGCTTTCTAAATGTAATTTTATGGTTGCTCTTATGCTGCTCTTCGCTGTGATATTTTCTCTTAACATCCTTAACATCTTAACACAGGATTTTGTTGCAATAAAATAAATAAAATAAAACGTAAAAAAATAAAATAAAATAAGCCACAAGTGGAAAGGTGTTAAAAAAGGACTGTGCTTCCGGATTTATTTATTTTTTACTTTTTGTTGACCATCTGTACACCCTATGACTGAGACTGGTGTCAAAAGAAGAACTGATATGTATGTAATACATACGACCCCAGCCCTTTAAATCACCTCAGAGGGGACCTGGGTGGGTGAAGTCTTCACCCAGGTCCGTTCTGACATCCCGCCCATCAGGTTGGCCCCCAATGTCTCATGGGATTTCCCAGCTAGCCATGCAGGAAAACACCTTCCACTGCCGTGCTGAAGCTGGGAAATGGCTGTACCTGCCCACTTCATAGCCACAATGGGCCACAAACTCCACTTCCCATAAGTAAAGTGGGAGGGGGATGGGATGGGACAGGACAGGACTTCTCTCCCTTTTTCTACCCTTTGTTTCCAATATTTACTTCTGACTCCTTGCAGCAGCAGCAACAACAACAACCAAAAGCCAACCAAGTCCAAACTGAGGGTTTTGGAAAGAAAGAGCAATGGAGCCTCACCCTCCTATGCCTTCTGTTTGGTGCAGTTGTCTCGCTGCTCACACTCTCTCTGTGGTTTAGGTGAGCAAAAGGCCGGGCGGCCCCCCAGGTCTCCAAAAACCTCGACATCCGGACAGAGGCCCTCATCTTCAAGCCATCGTGCACTCTGGTGGTTTGTGGGAGGTGGTTGTTGGAAGTGCGCTGCTTAGACTGAACCCGGGGAGAAACAAGACAGCCAAGTGTACATTTTAGAAAACTGGATATAATGAACAAATGAAATTATTTGACAGAATTTATATGCAGTGGTACCTCGGGTTACATATGCTTCAGGTTACAGACTCCGCTAACCGAGAAATATTACCTCGGGTTAAGAACTTTGCTTCAGGATGAGAATATAAATTGTGCAGCAGCGGTGCAGCGGCAGCGGGAGGCCCCATTAGCTAAAGTGGTGCTTCAGGTTAAGAACAGACCTCCAGATCGAATTAAGTTCTTAACCTGAGGTACCACTGTACTGCTGACTCATCCGTAACCTCTAAGCCAAACTGGCACTCTCCAGTTTGGATAGCTAGATGGCTCAGTTGGTTCGAGCGTGCTGCCGATAATGCCAAGGATGCCGGTTTGATGCCCGTAAAGGACAGCTGAATGAATATTCCTGCATTGCAGTAGAGGGATTCTATGATACTTAAGATGTTCGAAGCTACAACTTCCACCAGCTTCAGCCAAAATGAGTTTTGAAACATCTGGAGGGTGCCAAGTTGGTGAAGGCTGTTCTAAACGGTGACCATAAAACATGAGACATTTGTTAAAAAATACTGGTTAAAAACTGAACGTTAAAAGCAAGCAAACAGTGTAATTTATCAGTAAAAGTTATTGAAGAAATATACACATTAAAACAAACTTATATGTTAAGATTACACATCTGAACAGTCTTACAGAAAAGTCTTAACAGGTGCCAGGTACAATAAACATGGTGAAATGAAATTATACAGGAAATGATACAGGAAGCCTTATAAGCTATGTCTACCCAGCCCAGAGATGGGGAGCCTGTGGTCCCTCCATATGTTGCTGGACTCAGACCTTGCTCATGGGTCAGCTTGGCCACTGAGAAAACAGGAGGACGATGGACTAGGTCAGCCTTCAGTCCAACCCAGCTGGGCTCTTCCTATGACTGCAACTCCTGTCATCCCTGGCTACTGTCCATGTTGGCTGACGCGGAGGCTGAAGGGAGCTAGAGTCCGTGAACATCTGGGAGGGCAACAGGTTAGCCAACACTGACTTCAGACCGCTTTTGCCTGCTCTGACCTGCAAGGCCTCTCTAGTGCCTTATGGCAGGCAGGGGACTGTCCCATCATTTATCACTTGACTCTTTCATCTGGAGATGTAGGTGAATGAATAGGGGAAACTTCTGCAGTCAAAGCGTATGCTCTACACCCGTGGTTCCCAAACATTTTTGGGCCATCTCCCCCTCAGTTCCATTAACTTCACCCCAGTGCCCTGTGCCTTACCCCATGGAAAGCATTCTTCAGAATAGTGGTTTGCACAATCCACTGAGGGATAGCGCAGTTGGTAGAGCATGAAGCTCTTAAATCACAGGATTCCTGCATTGAAGGAGGTGGGACTAAATGATCCTTGTGGTTCCTTCCAACTCCGCAATACGACAATTCAGCTACCAACACAATGAAATTCTGAACAGCAACAATTAATTGCACGTTTATTCAAAATCCAATTTAAACCATTTAGTTTAACTGATTCAACTGATTTGATTAACTTGAGCCATTGATGCCACTGATACTCATTTACACCTCAGCCGCTTGCCTCTTAGAGCCACCCTAGGTAACCCCAGTGCCCCCTAGGGGACAGGACAGCCCACTCTGGAGACCGTTGATCTACACACCTTTCCTCCCAATCCAGAGGTAGCTGATGAGTGTGTCCAACAGGTCTCATGCCACATCCACGCTATATACTCAACACACGTTTAATCTTGGGAACCAGCTTAAGAGGATGCTGGCCTCAACTGCAGCACACAGTTTCATTTGTGAGCTGAGCAGAACAAACTGGATCACCCTGGAGTACCTTTTATTTTCTCATTGCTTTTTCTCAGAATGCCAGTGGAGCTGCACTTAAAGGCAGAACGTGGGAGGCTTGAAGCGTATTCTTTTAATTACACACAGTTAAAGAGCAGCCTTTTCTGGATACTTGAAGTGTTCCTTGGAGACCGAACTCTATAAGCCATTGTTTCATGGATCCATGGACCCTGGCAACTGAATGTCTAATACTTATTTCAGCCTCGTTATGCAATTGCAGCCCTGCCTCCCCACCGTCTGTGCTCCCAGTTCTCAGTCCACGGTCGCTATCTTTCTTTGTGGTTTATTGCCTTTGGTGTCCCAATTCCCACCCCCCTACACACCCCGCAACTCCTTTCCCTAGCTTGAGAAACTCAAAGCAAAACAACAACAACTAACAAACATACATAAGCACAGCCATGCAAAATAAATTGAGGGGTTGCTTGAGCACGATTAAGCATGCAGACTTGCTCAACTTATTTCAGCTACAAAATACAAGGTGTGGGGTTTTGTTTTTTGCAGACCGCAGAACTAAAAAAGCGAATTATTTGACTCCCCCTCACACACAACAAAATTTTTGTCAGATGTATATTATGCGCAGGCTCACATGCACACAGAAACCCAAATGTGCCCCAGAAACCTGCAGGCAGATTGGGCTTGTTCAAATCAATGTGAAAATTCAGGCTCACTCATATCAACACTGTGCACGGTTCACTGGTCCCCAGTTCTGAGTTTCGCTCTTATTTTCCATCCCTTTTCTCCCCAGGGATAAGCCAACCATGTTCATGGGCAACAGCTCCCATTAACCCTGGGAGTTGTAGCCAAGACCATCTAGAAGCCTCCACATTGGCTATCCCTGCCCTATGCAAGGTTCTCCCTAGCTCCTCTCCCCTCCCCCACCACTACTCCGTCCTTTTGTCTCCCACACCCATGGGCTTACTCAACCACTCTGCTTCCGGGTTGCCCAATCTAGCTTTGCCACCACCTGCATTCCATTTGCTATCCTTGTCTGCCCAGGATTTCTATCTCTGCCCCTCCTTCCTTCCTGGAAAAAAAAAACAGCTCACAGTTATCATACCCTCAATTCCAGTATGAAATTCTTCATAGCCAAACTCTTAAATAAATAAATAAATAAATTCCACTTCATTCACAGATGCAACATCGTTTGCAAACATTTTACCACGGGCATCTACTTCCCAAACAATCTGAGAACGTGATGACATCACAGCACTTCAGCCAATGGGGAGGGAGATCCCAGGCAACATTCCATTTATAACTTGCTAAAAATAATAATAAGCCAGGAAGACAAATGTGTGCACACACTTGTAAGCGATATGCACGTGTATCTTAGGGTAAAAGCACACCTACCCTCGGGTCTATCACCAAGTAAGTTTTGATATTCATGGCTTCAAGGTAAGGGTCTCTGAGGTGTCCATTCCCATCTTCCACTTCATAAGCTTTGCCTAGGTGACTGAGGGTTGCTTCTGTGATGTGTACACGGCTGGAGAGAGGAAAGAGACAGGAGCACAAAAGACTTGAAACATTTGCAGAAAGGTCACTGTAAGTTATTCATTTCCATATCAATGGCTGCTGTTGACAAGCCTGTGCTTCTCAACAGCTTCACGCCTTGGAAGCCAAATCCAGGATCCTGGCAGCATTGCTGTTTAACAGCTTTGCTTATTTGCCATCCATCATAGCACAATTGTTCATGCATTTCTCACTGGGCTTTGTGCAGTGCCTTCAGTTTTATCTTCTTTTATTAAGGAAGGTATGTAGGATTTATCTACTGCTTAATTGTCAAAACCTCCAAGTGGTTTAAATAAATTACGCATTAAAAACACTGATAATATCAGACATTGAAAGCAAGTTAACCTAAAATTTTCAAAATAAACGAGCAGTTTTCAAAGCGCACATTACAAAATAAAAGTTGCACATTAAAATGCATGTCCCAGTTTGCATGTCTGGATAGGCTTCCTTCAGCAATGACAACAAAAAGGTTTCAGCAGTATAGTACTGTACAGAGAAAGCACCTGCCTAGTATCAGTGGGCAGGGAGTACCAAAGTGCAGGGGTTGCCATGCTGCAGGAATGCTTCCTTGCAAGTGTGGAACAAACGTTATGTAGCACCCTTTCTTTCAGCAGTGTGGGAGATGAGGCAAGCAAAATTTAGGCTGTAAACCTGTTAAGGCACTGATCTGTCTCCCCCTCTCTTGTGTTTGTCTGCAAAGCACTATGTATATTCATGGCGATACGATTACTATTATTATTAACAGATGCCATCATGCAGCAGCATTCAGCACCGCACATGAATTTAATGCAAGCAAACGTTAATTATATGCACAGTGACTCACACATGGATTAGCTGTAGCCCTAGGGATCATTATAAAATATACACACTCTCAATACTTGTGCAAACTGCTAATCTCATTTTCAAGGACAGCTTGCGTGTGCTTGGGGAGGCCGTCAACATTAATTCAAATTTATACCAAAAAACACTCTTCCCTCCACCACCCCTCTCTGAACAAGTTGCTGAATGGCTCTCAAAAAGGGCTGGAAGCTCTCGAGGGCAACATCTAGATATATTACACAACGCAGAACCGTCCAAGAGTTTACTCAGCTGGCTAGCCTCACAGTTTCTCAGGCAGTGTTCTGAAACAATCCAAGCTGTAATGCACTAAGCTCCAAATACATATACACACACCTTCTTTCGGTTAAATAGTTTCTTCCCTGCACATTCCTATCATTGGGGTTGTTCTCCAAAAGGGAACCAGCTACCCAGATATACAATCAGCAAGCTATATTTGTTTTTAAAAGCTGTATTGATTTTTATCTGTGTTTTAATTACAATGGTTTTATATGCATTTGTGTGTGTGTTTTTAAATTGGTTGGTGGATTTGACCTGTGCTTTACCTACAGGTCTTATTTGGACACCACTTGGAGAGCTCTTTGATAAAACTCTTTAATAAATTTGTCCATGGGCAGAGTTGAGCTTCAGTGTGGGGGGAGTTGCTAACACTGTTTTAATTATGTAAATCAACATCTTATACTGCTTAATGTGATCATTTGTTTACTTAAACTGTTTCATTTGCTTGCTAGCTTCCAGCCAGTTAATTGTTATTATTTATGCACTAGGAAAAGCTTCAGCAATGCCAACACTCAGGATCTGGGGGCAGGGAGGGGCAGGGGATTATCCAATGACAGAAGAGCATCTATGCTCATATATAAAAGAGAATTAACCAGATGGTTGTGAGCCATTTCAATTATGGATTCGGTAGGCATGGTATGGAACCATGCAAACTATCAAAACCATGGTCAAATCCATGCCATGTGCTTTACATGTATGGTCTGGATGTGGCCTTTGTGGCTTATACAGCGAGCAACCACGACAAGACATCAAATGATAAATGCATGAAAGGAAGAAAATCAACCAGCAAAGAACATCCATAGACTTTAGAGGCAATAAACAGCCCTTCTTCTGAATAGCGTGGTACAATGCACATTACTCAAGTTTTGCTCATAGCGTTGTGAAGATTCCACACGTCTCCAGCACCACGACAAAAAGGGCATAATTTCACCAGGCTTCTTTCCCAAGTGAATTACACCTTCAGGTTGGGGAATCCTTACCCAGGAACTCCCGCAGATTCCATTCGGTTAGCTAAGGAGACATCGTGAGACCAAACGTCGTACTGCCATTTCCGAAGCCCTATTACACCGCAGAGCACGTTCCCAGAGTGAATGCCGACTCGCATATTGATGTCCACTCCTGTGGCTTCTCTCACTTGTCTGCAAAACAGATCAGAAGAGGATTGGAAGAGGTGCCTACTCTTCCCCCATCTTAATGCCTACAAATTTATGCTGGTGCTTTAATTCTCTCTTAATTACCGCAAACACCAATGTGAAATTTAGGGATGTGCTCAAGTCAACAGCGAAAATGAGAGAAGTGGGATGGATCGAGTGTTTTAAACAAATTGGAGTAGGCTTCATCTATACAAGCAACGGAAGACAATGGAATATAGGAAAATGACTTATACTGAGCCAGACCATATGCCAATTTAGTCTATGCTCATGAATAGAGGAGCATTGAATACAGAGAGAAACGAACCATCATCTCTGATGCTTTCACGTGTTTCTTTAAATACTTGCCCTTGTTTTATCATACACATTAAATGCAGTGGCTCAATGGTTTGCAGTAACCATCATTTAGAACCCAAGCCATAGTCTGAACTTCCAAACACAGACTCAAATAATGCTTTAGAACTGCTTGCCTACTGTCATTTTAGGAATGCAGGAAACTGCTTTATGTTGAGCCAGACCATTGATCCATCTAGCTTGGTGCTGTCTACATTCACTGTTCGAGGCTCTTCAGAGTTTCAGGCAAAAGCCTTTAACAGCCATGCATGGAAATAACAGAGAATGAACTCAATACGTTCTCCATTCAAACCATATGCTTCACCACTAAGCTATGGACCCTCCCTAACTTTGGGCCAATTACTATGGCCTCATTCTCTACAGACTAGCTATGAGCTGTAACCAAGGTTTGTCCTGTGGTTTACAGCTTGTGCTTTGTCAGCACAGGTAAACCATGAGCCCAGTTTGGATGCTGTGCTTAACAAAACTATGATGGAGCAGCAAAACTACTGGAGAGGAATAAAGAGGCCACAATCTCCTCTCCCAGAGCCCACACTTGCCCATTAATGCTAAGCCATGGTTTGGCTTAGTGTGATGTACAAAACAGGCGGTTGACAGCAACACTTTTTTCTGTCCCCATGTTGGGGATGTATACTTTGCACACTACTATGTAACCTATTCTCATGTCTTTAGTTCTACCTTGTTAATGTTTCCACATATTATTTAAACTCATTTTTTTAAAGTACATACTTTATAGCTTCGCACATGTCGAGGCCCATTTTCACACAGTTCTTGGCATGTACTGGCAAGGAAACAGGTAATCCCGAGACACAGTAATAACAGTCTCCCAGAATTTTTATCCTCATGCATTCATTTTCCTGCAAAACAACAACAACATGCGAGTCATCAGAAACGCTGCAAATATGAATTAGCAAGTATCTATCTTAAGGAACACAAATTATAGGCTTTACTTTGCAGAACAAACAAATCTGAGCTTATCTGGAGCTGCTGTTTTACTATCTCTGTTCTGAGGAACTCTGGGGCTCCACAGGAGTTTGTTTTTTTCCCAGGGACTATGAGAAATCATAAAATTACAGAGTTGGAAGGGTCCCAAATGGCCATGTAGTCTAACTCTCAGCAATGCAGGAATCACAGCTAATCAGTAATGGTGGACAAGCTTCTTTGAAATGTAAGTTGTCAACCATCAACAGTTTTCCCCTACGAAGCTCAGGCAGAAGGAAGTCCTGTTGTGCATACGGAAATGGGTCTTGAAAATCAACACAGAATTAGGGATGTTGGAGAATTCCAGCAAAAACAGAAATGACAGTGGAAATTGCCAATGTGTGCTTATTAGGCCCATGTCTGGAAGCGAAACAAATCAGAATATTCTGCTGCAGTTCGTCTTCTGCCAAAACTAACATTATCTGTCTCGCTAGCTGCTGCAACGAACAAATTATATAAATTATGTTGTTACCTTGTTATTTAACCCTACCCATTTCACTGCAAAAGAAACACAGATCAGGTGGGAAAACACAATCACTTGATTACAGGCATCTCCCCACTTACATGGGGGTTATGTTCCAGGGTAGCACGTATACGTGAAATCATGTATTGAGGAAAACACCACCTAAAAAGCCTATAAACACCCTCTAAACCCCTGGAAACCCTTGAAAACCCCATGAGATTGCAGTTGCAAAGGGTCCTGGGGTTGCACTAGTCGTTTTCTTGCTATTTAAAAAGCTATATTTGCAGTTTTCGTGTCTTTTGCAGTTTAGAATTGATTTATTTCCAGGCACCACGCATATACACGGTTGTGCACAAGTTGATCACGTGTGTACATGGGAAGACGCCTGTATTGTTCGCAGACTGAAAGCAGCAGCAACCACAAATACTGATAACGTAAGCAACGCTGCGTGTGATGAACACAGGGCAGAATGGAAAATGAGGACTCCTTACATCCCTCCCCATAATGGTCTGGATAATTGGTTAGCCTCAGTATAAATCTTTTCAGTTTAGCAAGGCCACCTCCTCATCCTTCTCCAGTCTCCGCAAACGTTTAACAACCAACATGCAAGGAATTGTATGAGAAACAAGAAAAAATTGAAAAAGGAAGACAGAACTTTAAGCATCTTAATTATGCATTTATGCCATTTTAGCACACAAGTTGTTTCAGTACGTTTAGTGATTCAATTCTACCACATCCATTAAGGCTTAATTAAGTTAACATCCCAATTGCTTCTTTGCCTTTAATGAGAGATAGTTCAGCGACAGAACACTTTTAGACCATAACTCCCTAATCATGAGCATTTATAATATTAATAGATTGGAAATGGTTGGAAATAGAACCTTCCATAAATAGAGACAGATGCTCATACCCATAAATCCCACATGCTCAGTACAGTGAACATTACTAGTACTTTGAAAGAATATAATATAATATAGATTGAGGCCAGAGATTCTGCAGACACAGAAAACTCCTTTGTGCTAAAATGGCATGTTCAACCTATCAACTGCTATTAACTATTATAATGTAAGAGTTTGGGAGATTTAAAACTTGTTAAATATAACTTCTCTTCATTTGCAAAATACAGAACATAGTAAGTAGTACCGGTAATTTACACAAGGTTCAGATGTAACAGCCAAACCAAGGTTGCATCATTGCCATGGCATCACAATTGTCAAGCTTAAGTTCTGCCTTTGTCCTCCAAACCAGAACTGGAACCAACGCATGAAATCTGTTTACCAGTCAGATTTGGAGAAAACCATAGTTTGTGAATCTGGGTGCAAATAGCAAATAATGGCTGTGCTTACACATTCTGTTAAACCATGATTCAGCACACACAGGCGTGAGCTTGTATGCCCCCTTCCTCTGCCTATGCAGCAAGGAAAGTTGGGTTTGGGAACTTTCGGTTTCACTTTTAACTATAGCTTGTACATTATCCAGACTAACAAACTGGGGTTAATGCTTAACATTAACGGAGGTTATTTTCATACATGTCAACTTCAACTTTTGAAGCTGGCTAGTTGAAAATAACATTAGCAATGGTTAGCTAAAGTTCCTGGTTTGGATAATGCAGGAAGCTGCTGTTAACTTGAAGGAGAATCTTCTAAAGTCCTCTTGGCCATACAGGAGGAGAGGAAGGAGGAGGAGGAGCATGCAAGCTCAAGGCTCCCTGTAGCTTGTTCCCATGGTGCTAAACCATAGTTCAGTGTGACATCCAAATACAGCCAATGGTTTGCCCAAACCCAACCACAGTTTAGCTTACATGTGAACCAGACCATCGCACCGTTACCAGTGGCAGAGCTTCACGCTCTGGCACTGGGGGGCGGAGAGCAGGCGTGGGCGGGGCACGCAGCCTGTTGGGGCAGGGCGCTCAGCGTGGGCGGGGGGCAGCCACGATGGCACCCTGGAGATCGCGCTGCCGGGGGTGGTGTGCTCCCCCCGCACTCCTCTTCCTCTGCCAGTGACCGTTACTACACCTTATTAGTCTCAGTGTAATAATAGTTGGAAGGATTTATCTATAATTACTGTATTTACTCAAATCTATTGCTCACCTTTTTTGGCCAAATTATGTTGCAAAAATTAAGGTGCACAATAGATTTGATGGCACATTTACATTCGCCAGCAAATACTTTTTTTGGTTTCAAGGTTTTGAAAACTGAGGTACGCATTAGATTCGATGGCACACTAAGATTCAAGTAAATATGGTGTTCAAAACATAATAATATTTAAAATGACAAGAGGCTTCTCTATCTAACAAAAAGTTGCTTACCTTTGCTATTTGATCAAATTTGCCAAAGAGTTCATTCAACATCACCACGAGCTCTTTGGGAGAGCAGTCACTTGCCAGACGAGTGAATCCTACAATGTCTGCATACAAGATGCTATGCAAGGAAGCCAAAATCAATTAAATTGTTTTTCATTTTCTACATCAGCGATGTAGATATTTAAACTTTGTGGACATTAGCTAAGAACTGCACACATATGCACCAAATTATGGGTTACATTCAATGTTAGTTCCACTCAAGAGTAGGCCCACTGAAATTAATGGATGACCAACTTAGGCAAAACCAACATTGACTACAACCCTTTAATCATCTACTTTACTCCTCACTGAAATAGCTCCCCTGGTTTCTGACAGCAATTGATTCACATGCAAAACTCACTTGCTCTTTCTTTCCCCCTGCAAGATCAACTGTCCATCATTTTGATCATTGGGATATACAGCCCTTAAGAGTGATATATGCTCTGAAGTTTCACATATTCCACTAAGACTAGGGCTTTTAGTGTGGCAGCATCTGCCCACTGGAATGTTCCTCTAATAGACATCAGGCAGGCACCTACAGTACTGAAGCTCACCTGTGCACCCAGGCTTTCCCTTGAGGGGTGATCCAAGTGTGTTGATCCAATATAGGGCTGCCATATGTCTGGAATATCCCGGACACAGCCGGGATTCATCTGTCAAAAATAGCATCTGGACAGATTTTTTGGAAAGCGGCAAAAATGTCTGGGAAAACCTGGGTATATGGCAGCCCATATCGGAAGTGGTGGTTGGTTGGTTGGTTTGTTGTTGTTTTTTGCAATTTTCCTTAAAAATAGGTTTAAAACTTCTTTATATATATATATATATATATATATTGTAAAAAAAAAAGCTCAACAACCCCCCCCCCCCAAAAAAAAGAACTCTACAACTTTGGCCCAAATATAACTTTGGCATTATATTTTCCATTTGTTTTATGCATAAAATTTTATCAATTTTATCCTGTTCTTTGCCATGTTTTGCTTAATGCCGGTGGCACAGAATTTGTTGCAAAACAAATAAATGGCAAGAACTGGATTGCGTCTCTAGTATACTGGGGCAACAGAAAGAACTATTAACAGAACCAGAACGAGTTACACAGCTCACCTAACATTCTGGTGCCGTTTCACATACAGGCTGTGGAAGTTATTGTCGTGCTTCTTCCTGTCATTGGTTTCCTTCAGGCGTTCTATGATGGCTAGTTTCATTCCCATAGAGATATGAGCCGGCAGTATCGATAAAAGCAAGCTTTCCTAAGAGGGAAGAGCAGGTCTTATTCATTTTGCTTTATTAGCACTTATGCTACACCCTTTAAGAGTAAATACCTGCAAGAGCGCCTTGTCTCATATGCATCCTCTAAAGCACTTCAATCTGTGCAGCTAGCAGTGTTACAAGTACTTGTAAGAAAATGCTATCTTAGTGTGGCTGCACCCACACTTTGGAACTCCTTGCCTATTGACATCAGGCACTGTACTCTTTTCAGCGCCTGCTAAAAACACTTTTTCTTAAAGTCACGTGCAGAATGGTGACATGAGTTTTAATCTGGTTTTAGCTTATTTTTTATTTATTTTTTTTTAAAAAATGTTTTAAATAGTTGCTTTTACTGATAATTTCATTGTTTTATTATTATTATTTTTGTAAACTGCTTACAGGATTGTTGCTTTTTAAGAATCAAGTCGTTTATAAATGTTATGCCCACTTAAGGGGCTCCTTACAATACGTCCACCTTACAATTCCATTAAAATAAAGGAGGAATCAGAATGACAAAGAGGCAAGGTCTGCAGTCAGAAGCCACAAAAACATCGCCTACCTCATAAAGTTCTGAGAAATGCAAAGTAACACTAATATTTTTTTAAAAAAAACTAAAAACGTCAGCGTTAGTGGTGGTGAGGGTCATAGAAATGGAAATAATAAATTGCTGTGCCGGAAAGGTGTTCATTAATTCAGCCAAAAACATGGTCCAATGTTCTCTTACAATGGAAGTTTTGGAATGAGTTCAATTACGGTGGTTTTACTTCAGCCGTTTTGCCAACTCCTTTTGCACATGTATGGGTGTCCTTTGGTGAGTGTGAACAACCGAATACTTCTAAGTACGACCCATTACAGAACTTGCTGACAAAGCGATGATCTCCTGGTATGGCTGAATGATGACGTTAAAAGAGCTAGAAAGTGTGTACATGTTTAAAGCACTGATTCACTCACTTGCTGCCTCTTTTCAATCTTCAGCTTCATTTGGACTTGGATGCACTTTAAAGTATATCTGTACAGATCCCACGAGGCATCCTGCATCTGATGCTTGTGGAATGCACCCATCAGGTTACCACAGAGAAAAATGAAAGCATTGGCAAGCACCTGAGGAAATAAATAAATGCCCCAACATCACAAACTCAACATTTTATAAGCGAAATAATCTGTGAACTTTATTAAGGCTAAATCAGCTTGTTTTCTGTTCTCTTGCCCAGCACTTGACAAGAGACTCCTGGCCCAAGTTTCATTACCCAGTCAATACAACTGCACATTATATGTAAGTTTCCATATTCCTGCACCAGCTAATGTTTCCCCCAAAGTTAGCTAGATATCATGGGGTTATTTTGTTTTACTTAGATGTATCTACGTGGTGCTACATGGTGCTAATAGTGAACTGTGAATATCCTTAAGGGCTCTAGCTTCACTCCTTCCATAGCACAAGGGGGAGCAACAAACCATGGTTCCTGGCTTAGTGGTATGTCCTAACCAGGAATCATGATTTGTTTTGCTCCAAACAAAGTATGATGTAAAGTCAAGGTTTGATCTCTGTTTACAAGTCATGGTTTGCTTCAGTGGACCAGAGAACATGGCCTCAAATGCTGATCTCAATGTTCGAGCAGGCTAATACTGGTACAGGCCGTTATTCAGATAATCTGGTACCATATGAAAAGCTAGTTCATAAAAGAAGTGCAAGTGATCCTTCAAAATCAGGGGTGGGGACCCTTCTCTTGCTAGCAAGGCAGATCCTTACGTCCCCACCCCAGCTGGGCCAAATCTAACAGGTGGGTGGAACCGTCCCTCATCTGATATCACTGTGGAATCAGGTGATGCTGCACTTTGAAGTCCCACTGCCGGGACTTCAAAATGTAACATGAGCTGTTTGAAAACCCTTCTGCAAACATTCCTGTGCTGCTCTTTGAAGCCTCCGGTTTTCACAGGTCCAAGGAGCAGTGCTGAGAGGAAGAAGAGTTAGCATGTGATGGAGAAAAAAGACCCTTTGCCTAAGACCCTGGAGAGCTGCTGCCAAGCAGAGTAGACAATACTGGCTAGGTAGACAAACAGTCTGACCTGATATAAAGAAACTTCATGAGTTGCTTCCTAGATAAGCCTCCCCCGCTACAAACACACACACACACACACACACACACACACACACGAGAGGCGTTGATCTTGGAATATGAAGGAATCAGGGAAGATCAACGGACTCAATAATGCTGCTACCCATCAAACAGAGATCCTGAAAAGTTTTGAGTGTGGATAGTGACATATAATATTCCAAGAAGTAGGCTTGCAAAAAAATATCAGGACTGTCTCGCCACAATTTTGCATTTTAGTGTTTTTCTGTCTTACTTCTTTGATATATTGCAATCAGAACTATCTGCTCCATGTGCCAAACCTTAATCTTTCAATATCTGTAGGGTGATGCAATTTTTTCACCCCATTTGAACCTGAAACAAAAAAACTTCTACTCTCTTCCTTGACTGGCTATAATAGGCAAAGTTTATTTCCTTTTAACAAGCCCTTTGTAGAAAAGGTGCACTTCCTCTCGAACTCAGGTACGAACGCAACACTCATTTAGAAATTGTGAAAGAGAAAGGTAATTGGGGAGAAATTGTTCAGTTGAAAGGTAATTGGGGAGAAAATTAATGAGTGTATATAGGCAAGCACTTGTGATGGTGAACAGTCAGGCAGCAAGAACATTGCTTTGAGAAGGACCGTGATTTAATAGCCAATATTAGCAAACTGAAGCAACATCCAAGCCTAAGGAAATTAAATCATCTACTACAGTATTCTGATGAAGCTCCAATATATACACTGCAACTGAGACAAAAAGGAAATTACATATTTTAATAACTTGGGCAGGTTCTCTCCCCACCCCCTTTTTATGCTGTTAGCATAGGGGGAAATTAACCAACAAAGAAACAAAAAGACATAGCAAATGTTACAAAGGAAGGTTTAATAACCTAAGAAGAGCCTGCTGGATCTGGCCAATGGCCCATCTGGTCCAGCATCTTGTTCTTGCAGTGGCCAACCAGATGCCTGTAGGAAATCCACAAGCAGAAGCAGAACACAACAGCCCTCTCTCCTCCTGCAGTTTCCAGCAGCTGGTAGCATTGCTGCCTCCAACTACATGAGCAGAGCAGAGCCATTGTGGCCAGTAGCCACCAATAGCCTTATCCTCCAATTTGTCTAATCCTCTTTCAAAGTCATCCAAGCTGGTGGCCACCATTGCCTCCTTGTTCCATCTTTTGAACAACTTTTTCTCTTTTTGCAACCCAGAAGAAACCATAAACTGTAAAAGCGTCCTTGGCATAAAGGAGGAGGGCAGGCTACTAATAGCTGGGCCCATTCTGCATATCCAGACAGCAGGTTGCTCAGCAATGGTAGCTACAGAATTTTGAATGCGAAGGCTTCAGAATATCTCCTAGAATAGCTAGGGGGGAGGATGACGGAGTTACACATAGGATTTCTCATTTATGGGTTTTGCTAGCACCCAGTAACTAATTATGAGACCAGGAATGAATTTTCCTCCAGGCAAGTCAAACTGGCTAGCAACTCAAGTGGAGGGTTGGTTTTGTTGTTGTTCTAAGTGTGTGTGTGTGTGTGTGTGTGTGTGTGTGTGTGTGAGCATGAGTCTTGGCTCTCTTTCACAAGTCATCCTAAGATTTCTGGTTTGAACCTGCCTTCTTTGCTGGTGGTACACGTTGCCTAATTCACGTAGGTTGACTGGAGGGGCTGTGAAACGGACAGTTCCTGCCTTCAGTCAAAGAGTTGGCAACAGGGAGTTGACTTGTAGCACTCAAGCAGGCAGGAATTAGCAACATGTGCCAATTGTTATTAATCTAGATAATAGATTAAGTTGTCAAATAACATTCATCATTTGTGATTTACAGTTTCGTAGGGACAACATGCTACAGGTTTTAATTCTTCTCTTCCACTCCAGTTTACAGAACTACGATGGGGCTAATTTTAAATCCCCTAAAGGCATTTTTAAAAACCCAGGCATTTCCATCACTGTCACTTTGACTCAGTTCAAACATCATGTCCAACCATGGTTTGCACGAATAGTGCTGCGAAGTTCAAAACATGGTTTAAAAATAACCCTTCTGGATCAAGCCAAAGGCTAATTTAGTCCAGCATCCTGCTTTTGACAGCAACAAGTCAGGTGCCTTTGAGAAGCCAAGTACCAGGCAATGAGGGGAATAACTCTCTCCCACTGGTGTTCCCCAGCAAATGAGGTTCAGATACATGCTGCCTCTGATACTGAAGGAGGCATATAGCCATCATGATGATTAGCAATGTACAGTGGTACCTCAGATTACATACGCTTCAGGTTACATACTCTTCAGGTTACAGACTCCGCTAATCCAGAAATAGTGCTTCAGGTTAAGAACTTTGCTTCAGGATGAGAACAGAAATCGTGCTCCGGCGGTGTGGCAGCAGCGGGAGGCCCCATTAGCTAAAGTGGTGCTTCAGGTTAAGAACAGTTTCAGGTTAAGAACGGACCTCCAGAACGAATTAAGTACTTAACCTGAGGTACCACTGTATAGCTTCCCCTGTGGATTTTTTTTTTCTTAAACCTTTGGAAATTACGCTTTTGGAAGCTCATCTGCGGTGCGGCCCCTGCCCCCAATTTATGTAGTTACAGCTGGTGCCATCTCTTTTTGCTTTTCAACAGGAGCTGAAAACATGGTTGTTTACATAGGCATTTACAGGATATTAGCATCTAGACTGAGTGCTAAGTTGTAGTTTGGCAGTGTTGATCAATTGGCTTGCTTTACCTGCCCTTTGTTTTACTGTGATTATATTGATTGTACCCTGTTGTCGCTGGGATCACTTGTGATGAATGTCCGGTGAGAAATCTTCAGTGGATAAATACATTTAAAACTGCTTGCTTGGTTTTGTCTCTCTCTCAGCACTCTACTTCACTTGTTTACTCTTCACAAGTTCACTGTGCCTTCTGTAGCCTCTGAAGGCAGAGTGGTGGTCACAACCATGGTTTGTCAATCCACACATCATGCCAAAACTTTGTTGGTTAGTCAGCCATGGATTCCAATTCTTGTTAGCCAACTGAAGAGCATGGTTTGGCAATTCTGACATCACTGTAATCCATAGTTTAATGTCCTTAACTATGGCTTGTAATGATTTCTGAACCAATCCTGAGCATAAGACTATGCAAGATCTGGCCATTGGTGTGGGGTGGAATTTTCCCCCAGTGCTTTCTTTTTACCATGGAAAGCGTTCCATTGCTTAAGATCAACAGTAACAATGAATGGATGTCAATGGCAAATACAAAATTTGGTAAGCTTGTCAATTTCAAAATTTTGTTACTTTGCTTACTAAAATAAACATGTTGAATTCACCCTATGTTGTGAATTGCTCTGTGCAAATTACCCAAATTTTCAAAGGAATGTTTTCCTCCCCCCCCCCCCCCCGGAAAACCAGCATGACTGGTTCTGGCCTGTTGTTAGCAAATCAAAGAGGCAAGTCTGAGAACAAAACAAGAAGGATCAATATATTGGTGTAGTCAAGCAAAAATCCCATTCCACTTTGTAACCACAACATTTTAACAGTTAAACAATTCTTACAGCCATTCAGATGTCGGCTTATTCTAAGTGCTTTCTGCCCCTTTAACTCTGCAGGGGTGATGTTGGTAGACTTAAGACTGAGTCAATTTGTGGTTACTAACAACTATAAAGGAAAATGTTTTATTTTATTTGATGTTATGTTTCCTCTAAATCCTGGAATGACTATACAATGAATGGGCTGGAGAAAACTTTTAAACAAATGAGTACATGCATTTAGTGGTTCGGTGATGTATTTGGTTTTAGAAGAAAAATCACATCATTCTCCAGGTTTGAAATCCAGCCAAAACTATGACCAGGGAACTTAAAGAAAGCTTATAGAAAGCATTCAAAGCTGAACTAGTCCACAGTTGCCGATCCAGGCCACATTAAGCAATATGTGAATTTCTCACATATGAACTCTGTATGAATACATATAACAGTAACCAGTTCTTCCTACCACATTCCACTCTCTAGTGGAATATATGCAGGCATTCAACACACACACAAAAAAAACACCCCAGGCTTATAAATAACCATGCACTGGCCCAGTTAAGCCAAGCAAGCAAGAAGAGGTATGAATGAGCTTTTTGGTCACTCATGCAAGCACTTTCTCTCTATGTGAGGAGTGGGGAACCTTTGGCCCTCCAGACTATGCTGAACTAAAATGCTCCATCAGTGCTAGTAGACATGGCTGATGACCAGGGGTGGTGGAAGCTATAGTTCAGCAACACCTCAAGGGCCAAATGTTCCCCATACCTGCCCTACATGATGTGCCTGAATACAATGCAGAAGAATTCAATGTACCATAGCTTCTCATGGCATCTTAATTAACAACTTTTGGTCCACATTATACATTTAAAGCACACAGCTTCCCTCCAATAATCATGGGAACTGTAGTATACCCCCCTCCCCCGCCCAGAGCTACAATTTCCAGCAACCTTAGCAAACTCCAGTTTCCACAATTCTCTGGAGGAAGCCATCTGCTTTAAATGTATGGTTTGGATCTGTTACAAGTTTCAGATCAAGACAGGATGCTTAAATGAACTATACACACCCTCAGCCTCCTCCTCACACGCCTGGCCAAATCTGGAGGGCAAACACTGTACACATGCACTGAAGCGAAAATTAAATAAGGAAAGGAAAACAGAATACGGCAGGAGATCCCATCTTAGAACTCTTACATAATGTGCAACTTAGCCCCAACATTCTCCAGATATCAGCCCCCAATGTATCTTCCTGGAATTCACACACACACACACACACACACACACACACACCCTGCTGATTGGCTCCCTGAGGACCAAATATCTTGAAATGAGGAGGAAATTGTTGTTAGAACCCATTTCTTGGAAAGACTGATGTCAATCAAGTGTGATTCAGGGTGTCAAATGAGCATTTAATATAAAGGAGATGCCTCAAAATGTGTAAGTAATCAAAATTCAAAGGAAAATTGTTCCCAAAAAAAATTTGTTAAGAGATTTGTTAAAGAGAAGAAAGGAGAGCAAAGTGTTAAAAAGAAGGGCTTGCATCATTTCACTAAGTAGCAATCATTTGGGGAAGGAAATGGGTTACCTCACCCTTCGAGACATGACGCACACACCTCAACTATGTGGATCCTGAATCAGAGCGGCTTTGCCCCTTTACACTGAGCTGTTTATCAGATTTCAAAAGCTTCATGACTAGACCCCTGGTGCTTGCCAAGCAATTGTGAAAATTCACTGGCAGGGTGCAACTGGCGCACAGACCAGTGTTACAAAGCCATGAGAATTTCTCTTTCCCTTTTCCAAGTAATTTAGGAACACACCCAACCCTCTTCATGAAAAGCCAAACATTCCCTCTCGGTATTTATCATGAATTATAACATTGTGAAGAGGATTCTGGATTGCCCAGCAGGAAACATTTTGCTTTAACTGAAAAATAATAATTAAAAAAATGAGATACAAATGCAGGACTTGTGTACTTTTCACAATCTGCTTCCCAAAACAATTTTACTGTCACTTCAGGTAAAAAAAATTCAGTGGGTGCGATTCAATTCAGCAGGTGCATGATCAAACTTTCTGTACTCTGTGTCCAAATTCTGTAACTCTGACAGACACACACACACACACACACACACACACACACACACCAGAAGGGGGGAAAAAGAGTTTTACAGCCTGACTTCCTAGACTGATATTGGTTTTACTGCTTGATAAATTTGTCCAAGATTCTTTCTGGCTCCTGGAAAGAATGCCACCAGCTTTATGAAGCCAACAAATGGGAAACAGCCAATATCCACATGGAAGAACAACAAAGAATAAATATACATCCAGAAAACAACACACTATATCCCAAGACAACAGAAAAGCACAACACAGCTATTTCTAACTACCACTTATTCTTCTAACATACAAGACCAAATGTGAATATAAAGTTGTATTTTAACTGCTTAACTAAACTGACTAAAACATTTTGATCAACTTAAAAAAAACTGGGGAAGTCCTTATGAAACCTCTTCTAAGATTATATGGGCTATGACACACATGTGCATTGATAAAATATTCTTCTAGCTTCTGAAATTTTGTGTTTTGTCTATACGTTTAGCTGAATCAAAGTTTTAACCCCTACAGACCACCTGAAAATTGCTGAGAGCCTCAGCAATTGTATTTATCCTATTTGTTTACATCCTTCAAGGAGCTCAATGTTTCTCTCTCCCTTCTCATTTAATCCTCAGAGAAACACTCTGAGGTAGGTTAGGTTGAGAGGGAGCGACTGGCCCAAGCTCACCCAGTGAGCTTCAAGGCTGATTGGGAATCTGAACCCTGGTCTCCCAGGTCCTAGTCTAGCATTCTAATCATTCCACCACACAGGTAATGGACCACAATGACTTTTCAGCCAGTTGTAGCATTTGTTAACATCTAATCCAGCATCCTGTTCTCACGCTGCACCACTAGATGCCAGTGGGAAATGCACAAGCAGGAAAACAGCAGCACAGCACTCTCCTCTCCTGTGGCTTCCAGCAATTGACATTCAGCAGTATTGCTGCCTCCCAACTGTGGAGGCAAAGCATAGCCATCATGGCTAGTAGACATTACAGGAATCAAGAGTCCTCTCCATGAATTTCTCCAATCCTCTTTTAAAGTCATCAGGGTTGGTGGCCATCACTGCCGCCTGCGGGACTGAGTTCCATAGTTTAACTATGCGCTGCATGGATAAGTATACTTTAGTTTCCCTGTCTTGAATCTTCCAGTGTTGAGCTCCACTGGATGTCCACGGCATCAAAATGCACACGTTGCAATCACATATACAAACCTTTGCCTTACCTGACGTGGAAGAGTTGGGTGGTCCTGCTTGTTTTGCGCTACAGCGATGCTCAGGACTACAATATGGGAGAGCGCTGAAACGCTGCTGACAATCACAGCATCTCTCATTCCCAAGGGAAACATGGTATAAGCCGTAAAGATGATGAACAGAAAGAATGGCACCTGTTAAAAAGAAACGAGATCCTTGATGTTTTCCAAGCACCTGTCAAAAATTACGGAACAAATGATAGGTTTCAAGAGAACAATGGAAGCTGTGAAGGAACCAGTACTCAAAAACGCTTTCAGGGAACTGGGTAAGAACAGCACAACTTCCACTTCTATAAATGGGTTAGGGAAACCACTGTGTTAATCAGAAACATAGGTAAAGGGCAGGTAAAAAAGGTAAAGGGACCCCTGACCATTAGGGTCCAGTCGTGACCGACTCTGGGGTTGCGGCGCTCATCTCGCTTTATTGGCCGAGGGAGCCAGCGTACAGCATCCGGGTCATGCGGCCAGCATGACTAAGCCACTTCTGGCGAACCAGAGCAGCGCACAGAAATGCCGTTTACCTTCCCGCCGGAGCGGTACCTATTTATCTACTTGCACTTTGATGTGCTTTCAAACTGCTAGGTTGGCAGGAGCAGGGACCGAGCAACGGGAGCTCATCCCGTCGCGGGGATTCGAACCGCTGACCTTCTGATCAGCAAGCCCTAGGCTCAGTGGTTTAGACCACAGCGCCACCCGCGTACAGGACAACAATCAATAAACTGGGACATAGCCCCAGCAAGACAGAGGTACAGATGAAGGGTACTTCATCTGTCTGAGGAGTTAGCATTCTGGATAGGGTTGCATTCCATCCAGTTATTCTTCTGATCTAATGGGCAGTGTATTATAGGCCAAAGTATCTCACTGCACAGGGGGGATGGGGGCTTGCCTCCCCTCTTACCTCACCCTCCCATCTGCTCTCCAAAAATCCAGAGAGATGTCTCCTTTTACCACACCCAGGCATATACAGGAATGTTTTGTATATGCCCATTGCAGTCAACCAATCAAATCTTCCTGCCTGCTCTTTTCCCTCCCTTTCTATCTCTAGTTTGATGAAACATTTCTCCAAGGCACACCCACATCTGTAACTCTCAATGGTGCCCTTAATTGCTCATAATCAAAGCAGCATTAATTTTGCAAATTGATGTCATAATTAAATGACCCCCCCCCACTGCAGGTGATTAGCCATGCCCATTTGCATAATGAGCAGTGTCTGGGGATATTCAGACAGCCCCAGATTTGAAGGCAGTTGTGTTTTCTTTTAAAACATGCGTTTTTAAATGAGTGTATATAAACACAGCAGAAACACATCCCTTCCCAGAGCCAGTGGGCAGAATATTTGGACTTGGGCTAGAGAAACCCAGGGTGCAATCCCTGCTCACCCATGAGGCTCACTGGGTGACCTTTCATCAATGGCTCATGGGAGAGGTAAGATGAAGACATACCCTATCTTTAAAAAGCACATTCAAAATACTGTCCCCACCCCAAGCAGAATCCTGGAAACTGTAATGTACCCCCTTCACAGAGTTACATTTCTCAACACCCTTAACGAACTACAGTTTCCAGGACTCTTTGGGGGGAATGTGCTTTAAAGATATGGGGTGCATGCAGCCCAAGATTTTGGAGGAAGCCTGATAAGGAACCCTATTCAATGCCATGAGCAGCTTGGAGGAAGAAGATGACAGATCAATAGATAAAAATTAAAATACCTGTTCCCATGCAGCAAGTTGAGGAGTCTTCCCTGCGGCAAAAATGGAGACATATCCTATGGCCAGCAGGCAGATCCAAATCACAACAGCAAACAATTTCAGCCGACACCAAAAGAAGTATTCGAAGTAAACCAGAACATACATGACTATGAAAATTATGAGTGCTGTGCCGACTGTAATAAGGTAGGCAAGATGATCTCCCGCTGGCTAAAAAATAAAACAAAAGTCACCAAAACACATACCACAGATGCATGTTCTCATTCTTCCATAGCACAATGTATGCATGTTCTCATTCTTCCATATCACAATCTCCCAACAACCTAAACTTTTAAAGGCATCATAACTTCATAAACTAAAGCACACTAGCAACACAAGAAGCTCCCTTTGCCTGACCTGGTATATCTGATCATCTGCCCTAGAAGCAGAGAACCCTCTCTGTATGTTGTTGGGACTACAATTCCCATCATTCCTGGTCACAAGGGAAGGAATTTGTTTCAGTTCGAGACTATGAAATTTGAACTTTCCAAAACAATATGCAAACCAAAACATACTTATTCTCCAAAATCCATACTTATCCAAATTCTGTGATGCAGTTATCCAGCCAACTAGTGTTTACAAATATATGCATATATAATAGGAAAGCATGAGAAAATGAAGGTATCAGTGCAAATAACGTACAAAACTGCACTATTTTATAGAAAATTGCTTTCAAAAATGTGCACTTTAGTCAAAATTGCATATAAAAATGTGTCTATTAGGGAATAGTACACATTTAAATGCTGTTGAATTTTCATATGGATTTTTTTTTAATTGAAAAATTGCAAATTGCTTCAAAATGTGGAGAACTGAATTGAATATTGAAAAAATGAGAAACTGGGAGATCCTTCCATTTCTGCTTTGCAACTTTTAAACTGGAAATCCCACTGGATCTGTTAGTGCAGCTCAGAACCTATACCCCACTGCCAGGATAAAAGTATAACTCCTACTACAGCAACAAAACCTCACATTGTATAAATACTTCAAGTATTCACAACTTGGTATTCACAAGCAATCCCCAGTGATAGTATTGTATTCTGGTAACAATTAGATTTAAGCCCAGTATTGAACCCTAAAGCTCCTTAGAAATGTGCAGCACCTTAGCAAATCCTCCCTCTCCTCCTGTGTACTGATCTCTGTTTTTCTAGGTGTTTTTGGCTGCTACGAATGAATGCACACTGACCTGAACTAGCACAACTGGAAAATGAAGCATCTGGTGCCCCTCTTGCTACAGATCCCTTTTATAACCTAGAGCAAATTACTTTGGGACTTCATTCCAGAGCCCGAAGAGCAAGAACAGAGGCATCTATATCTACTCACATGCTGGGTGAGGAGAACGACGATGAGGGTTGCACAATAGGCAATGACGATGAAGAGCAGGAAGAAGAGGAGGGGATGCTGTTGGCTTGAGTAGCGGTACTTCTCGTACAAAGGGTCTGTTATCTTGCAGCCTTCATTCTCGTTGAAGAAGTATTTGCCTTTCGCTGGCATCTTAATTCTGGCTGGGCCACGGTGGTGCCTCTCCCCCTCGCGATAGGCAGGGCAGGTCTGCGCTGCTCCAAGTAGCCACCTCCGGTCAAGTAGCTGCTGGGTCTGCCTTGTTTGGCCACATCAGCAGACTCGCGCTCTGCGCTCGCATCTCTTCTTATAAGCATTAAGTCCTCCAGATCTCAGCATAAATTGGAAGAGAAGCACCCTCCTCCTCCTCCGCTCCCAAGCCATGTGCTACTCATCAACAGTTCCACACATGGTGTCCACCCCCCCTTCTTCTTCCAGACTTGATTGCTATTTGTGTTGCGGATGGGAGGCTGCTTCTATTTCGCCGTGTTCATTCAAACATCTTGCACATGCTGTCAGTTATTCCCTCAGATTACTGCTTTGTGGGGCAAACTGCAGAGGAAAGACAGAGAGAGATAGGGTTTTGTGCATTTTAAAAAATGTATCAAGTATAGCAGGTGCGTCTTTGTCTAAGAAGAGTGCATGTTCCTCAGCCCCAATAAAGTAAATATTATTTAACAACAAGGTCAAAATACACACACCTTTTCTCCTCTCAGGATGAGTGAGTCACAACAACGATCCCTTTAAACATGATGCTCATCTTACGGTAACAAAATACTGTAACATTGTTGTCAGCGAACGATTATTACTCAACCGTTTTTCTCCTGCAATATTCAGTATTGTAGTCCTTTTCATTCATCCTGCCATTATCCACCCCCACCCGCTCCAAGTACATTGTTAAAAGGTTCATGGGAAATATTAGAGCAGCCTTGTATTTAACAAGTCACCCAGTAGTCACAGGCAACCAGCAATTCCATGCAGGCAAGGGATTAAGGACACAAGAAGAGCCCAACTGGATCAGGCCAGTGGCCCATCTAGTCCAGCATCCTGTTCTCACAGTGGCCAATCAGGTGCCCATGGGAAACCCGTAAGCAGGACCCGAGCACAAGAGCCCTCTCCCCTCCTGTGGTTTCCAGCAACTGGTATTCAGAGGAAAGTTGGACCAAGGCAAGTAGGTAAGCAAGTAGGTAAGTGGAGGAAGAAATGGATCATTCCATCCCTCCTCCACTTGGTGACTATGCTGTCCAAGGAGAAGGATCAACCATGACAAGCAAATTGGTGGAAGAGGAATGTCCTCCACCAATTTGCTTGACTGAAGGCAAATGTTTTCACTAGCCAACTTAAGAAGCTTGTAGCCTGCATGCCCATGCTAGCTGTGGAACATGCTTCTTTTCTTACTCTGAAGCCAAAATGAAGAAGAGGGAAAACTTTGTGGTGAGTTCCAAGGCTGCATTAGAGATGTCACCTGGTTAAAGAAATTTTGGCTGATGAATCATGTGGTTTTAAGTCTATCCATCAATGTCTCTTTGTGTGTTGAAACAATAGTTTCGAATCAATGAAATAATTATTTTGGATGGTGTGTCATAGCAGATATAATCAACAAAAAGGCATTTATCCTGTGTTCAAGAGAGGGGAGGATGCCTCTTCTGAGAAGGGGCTTTCCATCTCAGGTTTTTCTAGTGTGCTGTTTTTAAGTATTAGTATTTGGTAGAGAAAACTAATATGCATTTTAACTAAACTTAAATAACCGCTGAAGCCCTAGAAAGTACATTTATTTTGTTCTGACATTTCTATACTGTCCAGCCAACTATGTCCTCACAACCGTTCACAATTTCATACTTTAACTATCCAGTTCTGTACTAGAAATTTAGGGGATGGGCGGACTCTCTTCTATGGGATTAGCATTTAGTTCTAGGCCCCAATTCAAAGTACCCATCTTAGTGTTTATAGCCCTAAATGAATCAGGCTGTGAATACTTGAAAAACCACCTCCTTCCCTACAGACGTCCTCAGGTGCTAAGACTGGTAGAGGGGGCCCTCTTGCTAGTTCCTCTACCCTCAGAAGTCAGATAATGGCAGCCTGGGAGGAGCATTCTCTGGTGGCCCCAAAGTTGTGGAATTCCTTCCTCACAGAGGCTGGTCTGGTACCTTCATTATACAAATTTCAGCAAATGCTGAAAACACACTTCTTGACCCTGGCTTTTGAAATAATAATAATAATTTTATTATTTATACCCCGTCCATCTGGCTGAGCTGCCCCAGCTACTCTGGGTGGCTTCCAACACATTTAAAAACATAATAAAACATCAAACATTAAAAACTTCCCAATACAGGGATACATACGAGATATTTAGGACCCACCTCATTTATGTGATTGCAGGTTGATTTAAACTGTTTCTAACATTGTGTTTTAATTGGTGTAATCAACCCTGGAACCTTAGGGTAAAGGCTGGGTAATTAATAGTAATAATAATGAGACATCTGAGAGGATATTTCTAGTATTATTTCCATTTACATAGTGAGCGAACTGAGGTTTTCCTAAAGTTACCCCGCAGTTTGTAACAAACCATCCCTGTACACAAAAGAGAGAGGCTGGTCCCACTGGGTCTTACTCCCAAGAAAGCATGCACAGGATTGTAGCCTACAGCACATTAAAATATTGAACCCAGTTCCTAGTCCACTAGCAGTATTCTACTCTGATTGTAATTCTCTCCAGAATTAACATACATGTGCAGTTGACTCACAAGCCTAAAACCAGGATGGGTGGGGTTTCCCCCCCAACACAGCTGTACCAGACATGAATAGCCAGACTTAAAAAACCCCAAAATATAAAACCTGAAGCTGACGGATGCAAACACTGGGAGCAAAATTACTTCCATGGCAACAGCAGCATTACATGAACAGTGGACAATGAACAAATTACGGTTCTCTAGTAATAACCAATGGCTTTCAAAAGTGGGTCAATATATGAAATCCAGTATCAGGAAAGACTTCCTATAGGAAGTAAGTGAACTATAGGGAGGAGGCAAGTGAAAAATGAGGGCTAAGCATGGCTTGGGAAGAACTTGAGGACTTGGTATTGTAACTGCAGCTGCTTTGGTACAAAACATCCATCTCCATGGCACCCCTTGGCTCCAATTCAATAGGAAGAGAGCCCCAGAAGAAAACGGGTAAGCAAAACCAGATGTAGGCCAGTTATCTGCCAGTGATAAAATGGTTACTTAAAATATACAGGAGTACACAATGAGTCCTGCTGATGTTAGCAATGGTACCCAACAGGGCAAGTCCTAAAGGCTGAACCAATTGTTTTGAGGTTTAACTGGAAACAAAAGATCTTGGTCAGGACCCAGAAACCTAGTCTATGTGAACACAAAGATTTGGACAGCGGGGGTTTTGGCTCCCTCTTCCTCTCTGAATAATGAACTCTCATCCAGGAGTGCCCTTCAGATGTGGCTGGATTTCAACTCTCATCGCCCCTACCTAGAATGGTCAATGGTGTGTGATGGGAGCCCTGTTCCCCCTCCCAGAATGGTTTAACAATCCATCCCTCCTTCACAGGGAACTCTGAGAACTGTAGATCTGTGAAGGCAATAAGGGTCCCTTAAAAACTCTCAGCACCCTTAGTAGACTACAGCTTCTTTGGGGGAAGCCATGACTGCCTAAAGCGGTATCACAGCGCTTTTCAAAGTGGGATGGTGTGGATGCGGCCATACACCCTGGATGTGTGTGGGGTCTCGGCATTAATCCTGGCATGTCTGGAGAGAGGAGTCCCACACATGCATGTGTCTACTTCCTCCTCTGAGACAAATGAAGCTGTTGCAGGCAGAAGCACTTCCTGCTGTTCGGAGCTTCTTGACCTCAGACTATAGGAGTCCACAAAACAGCTATTTATAACGAAGCAAGGAAGAAGCAGCCTGTACAGAGAGGGAGTCACCCGACTTGGTGAAATGTTTTGACATTTGATTAAAGCAAAGCCTTACTGACCTTCAGCAATAAAAAAAAGCCTTGATCTTCTTACAATGCCTTGTTTTTAGTTACCCAAAGGCTCATTTATCAACACTAAATTGAAAAGATGAAAGTAAGAGGCCTCCTTTGCCTCTGTCTCTGGGAAAAGCCTTCTCCGACCCCCTTCACTCTTGACTTGTGCACCTGGGCACTCAACTAAGCAGTCCTATAATAGGCAAGGACAGATAATTAAGCCGACTGATTTCATACTTGAAAACAGGGGTGGGGAACCTTTTTTGGGCCCTGGTGGGAGAGATCTTTATCTTCTTCCCATCAGGCAAATGACAAGTGGGTGGTCCCACCTCACAGTTGGCCAGTTGGGTGCACGGGGAGACAGTGGCCAAGCAGGATTGAACTGAGCTTCTCAAGGGAAGTCTCAAAGGTGGAGTTCACACATTACAGTAAACCATGATTAGCAGCTTACCATGAGAACCAGTGAGGTGGGTGTAGCGGTTGGGAGCACTGGACTAGGACCTGGGAGCCCAGGGTTCAAGTCCCCACTCAGCCATGAAGCCCACTGGGTAACCTGGGGCTGTTCATCTCTCAGCCTAAGCTGCATCACAAGGCAGCTGTGTGAGGGTAAGATGGAAAACGGAAGAAGCACATGCACTACCTTGAGCTTACTGGAGAAGGCGTGAGATGTAAACGCAGTAAACAAATAATAAATAAAGCAAAGAAGGAGCAGGCTGCCAGGAAGCTTGGCTTAGTGTAACACCTGAACCAAGGCTGTGGCTTTGAGCTTCTCCCTAATAAGCCATGACCAGAAAGAAAGAACAAACCTTGGACTCAGGGTTGTACTTTTTCTTAACCCAAGGGACAAAACCCTCAGTAAAACCAATCAATCGATTTTCTTGCAATTAAATATACAACTATTCTTGCACCACAGGGAGCTGTCATATTTCAGTATGCCACTGGCCTTCTCAAGACAATTCGCCCCCACATGCCTCGTATATTTGTCAGACAAAATACAATACTCCACAAGTTTTAATTTGATTTCCAGCCCACATTTGAATCCATTTATCACACCAAATATTTTCCCCGATCGACATAACCAGCTTCTACATAACTCACGCTGAATTTGACCCTCTGTGGCCCTCTTACATAACCCTTGCAGAGTGCCCCCTTGCGGAATCACCTGTTTGTCACACACAGAACCTGTATCTCCAACACCAGAAAAAAAACTTTGACTCAGTTTAAAACACAAGGCACATAAGGACACAAAATGAGCTCTGCAGCATCAGGCCAGAAGCCCATCTAGTCCAGCATTCTATTCTTACAGAGGCCAAGCAGATGCCCCAATGGGAAGCTCACAAGCAACAATGCTTTCCCCACTGTGATTCCCAGCAACTGGTATTCAGAGGCACAATGCTTCCGATAGTGGAGGCTGAACACAGCTATTGCGGCTAGAAGCCACTGTCAGCCTTATCCTTCATCCAAGTTGGTGGCCATCACTACCTCTTGTGGGAGTGAGTTCCACAGTTTAACTATGGAACCTCATCAGGGTCTTGGACAAGAACTTTTCCCTTTGCAAGTGCCCAGTGATTGCTTTAGGCACAGCTGGCTTTTGACTGCAAGGCCCTGAAACCCACAAAAAACACAGAATCTCTCCTGATCCAATAAGGAAGCACTGAATGAAGAAACAGATTTTCACTTACACAATGGGCACATACAGGAAATATGCAAAGATTGCTATGGGATGTTGAGGACTAAAAATCAATAAATGAAGTGTTGGTGCAGACACAGTAGCAGAGAAAAGCCAATCCAAATTTAACTGAAAGTAAAACAAAGAAAAGGAATTGTACTTTGCTAAGTTTAATCGTTCTCGGAAAAGCAGAAGCTACCGGTAACAGCTCATCTTTGCAGTCTATGGAGTAGACAGCAGGTCATCACACTTTATGCCTTTTTGTATTCTTCAAATGCACTGTTGGTTTTCACATGACTGGCAAAGCAGCAGTTCTACTTGTTTATAGGCAAAGGTAAAATTCTCATAAGAAGAGATAAAAAGGAAACACATCAGTCAAATTAAAGGATGTCCACAAATACATGATCTTCCTTCAGTTTTTTGGCTAGCCATTAAATTTACTGTGAAGAATGTATGTACGTATTTGTATAAAATATCCTTTTTGTTTAATCAGCTGAAAATCTCAGAAATTAAATACTGGTCAACTTCACTCTAAAGCAAATCCATGGTTTGTTAAACAAGCCATGGGTTACCCCACAAACAAACAAACCATGGCTTGTTTCTCCAAAATTTCTAGTTCATTTTTCAACTACTGGTTACCTCGAACCTTTTCAGCTCTGTGAATGTCTGGTGTGGGATGGCTAAGCAAGCCATGGTTGAAGATGGGTGCTGGGTTTGTATGTAACGCAAAACCATAGCTAAAGAAAACCAAGGTTTGTAAGCAGTAAACAAACCATAGTTAAACTGATGGTCAGGATTCACAAATAACACCAAGCCATGGTTTAAAACCATGGATTTGTTTTGTGCATGAACCTCAGCATTATATCACCATAAAAGGTTGTGTTTTGTTTTAATGGATAGGGGATCCCCACCCGCATTCCCAGGTGGGATGGGGGAGGAAAAGATGTGTAACTACTACAGAAAAATTAACCCTAGATGATGATTCTCCATGCAACATTTCACATTCTCTGCCACTTTATTGGTAACCGGTAACTTTAGGAATTCATAATCACAAAACCTAACTACAAATTAGAGATATATTTCCACACAAAAAACAAAACAAAAAATCAGAGAGCACACAACTAAATGTGTTAGATATTTCATAAGCAGCCATCATCCTGGCTTTTTGATAGGGTCTGACTCATACAGCTTATTGCTGTCAAGACACCCAAGCATGGAGGAAGCAGGAGTAGGCAGTATCCATCAGTGTCGTGGCAGAGTGCGGCTCACAGCAGCATGCCCCAGGTTCAAATGGCCCAGGAACCATTCTATCTCCAAAGCAGCATGCTTCTGAGCACCCGTTGCTGGGAAATGCAGGAAGTTAGAGCACTGTTGCATTCATGTCCTGCTTGTAGGCTTCCCACAGGCATCTGTTTGGCCACTGTGAGAACAGGATGCTAGACTAGATGGGCCTTTGGCCTGATCCAGCAGGGCTCTTCTCATGATTCTTGTGATCACTGGCCATTGTTGGCCTGCAATGACCCGGGGAGTACCCCATCAAAAACCAAACTATCAAGGTTCTATTGATCTACACGCAGCCAAGGTGGTTGGACGTAAGCTTCGCACCTCAAACAGAAAACTGTTCAACCTAGTAACTTCACAATTTGTTCCAGGCAAGAACATTACTTTCATAACAACGATTTTCATAAGCAAGCTAGCTCCAGGGTGCACTGAAGGCTATCGGACCAGTGTGGGAGTCAAATATAATTTGTGCCTTTCCAAGCTTAAGAGACACAATTTGTTCATGATCACCAGGTTCCTCATTATGCCCCATGGATAGATTTTTTTCCCTCCAGCCAAAGCTAACTTGCAACTGATCTTAACAACTGTTTAAATCAATAACCCCAATTATCCTTTTTAAGTTTCCAGTGACCTATTTTAAAATTCTACTTCTTTGCAAACAGTGTCCTCAAAAGTGAGGTAGCCTTTCATTACCTCTCATATTCTAGAATACAGGAAGCATATAGGGATACCAAAAAGCTTATTGTATGATGAAGGAGAAAAGTTGCCCCCTGAAAATTAGCCTCTGAATCAAGATGTTTAACAACACAGGCAAGTGACATGTCAGGCAGCTGCACGGGGCTACATTAGGGACTGCCAATCCTGAGGGATGTAATTTCCCCCCAGTAATCTGCAACACAGAGAAATATAATGTAAGGAAATTACACAAACTGGTGTCAAGCCAGTTAAGAAGCATATAAATTAATAAACTATAATAATAATAATAATAATAATAATAATAATAATAGCTGGCAACCCCTGAAAAAAGAGTATTGCTTACATGCTTTTCCTTGCCCATCTATGAGAAAGAGGACTTTAACTCGGGGGGGGGGGTGTCTGAAAGGGGCCAGGCTTCCACAGCACATAAACACCCTCCCGACACTGCCTCTGAGGTTCCTGACTTTAACCAGCATGCTATTGTGAGGAGGAACCTTTTGCACATTCTGCCCCGGGTGCTAAAATGACTTAAGATTGCCATCTTCCTATAAGATTATATCTGTTAGCTGACACCAGGTCAATGCTTGCTGAATGTTCAGCAAACACTGGCTTATTTGCTTTAAACACTAGCATCTGGGGGCATTTATAGCAGATCTACCTTAATATGGATGACGGATAAGAGATCTGAGGACTCCTTTTACGGAACAGAAGTTTAGAAAGCCTCCCCTTCTTAGACATAGCTGAAAGAGATGTGGAAGTTTCTGTGAACTCAAGCAAAACAGAAACAGCAAGCAGTTTGATGCTTGCTGACAGGGTGCTCCTCTGTCCCATTACTCCACCCTCACAAGAAACATTTCTCCCTGAAAGTACTATCACCCTGCAAGTTAAATTCCACTATCCAGCATATTATATTTATGACATTGTTTATTCCACCCTTACTCCATCAGGGCAATGGACATAGTTCCTCTCCCCCACCCCACCCCTCACAACGAGTTCAGGCCAAGAGACACATCACCCAGTGAATGTCATGGCTGTGGTCATTTGAGCCTGCGTTGCCCCAGGTCAAATGAGCCAGTTTAGTGTAGTGGTTAAGAGTGGTTGGACTAGGACCTGGGATTCCAGAGTTCAAATCTCCACTCAGCCATGAAGCTCACTTGCTGACTAGTAACTGCCTCTCAGCCAACCTCTACCTCACAGGGTTGCTGTGGGGATTAAATTTTGTTGTTGTTTAGTCATTTAGTCATGACTGACTCTTCGTGACCCCATGGACCACTGCACACCAGGCACTCCTGTCTTCCACTGCCTCCCGCAGTTTGGTCAGACTCATGCTGGTAGCTTCGAGAACATTATCCAACCATCTCGTCCTCTGTCGTCCCCTTCTCCTTGTGCCCTCCATCTTTCCCAACATCAGGGTCTTTTCCAGGGAGTAGGGGATTAAATAAGGCAGGGCATAACCATGTACACCACTCTGAGCTCCTTGGATGGGGTATAAATGCAACATAAATGATAACACACCTGACAGTCCCTGCCACAGCCCCACTATGTGTTAGGGAAAGGCACTGTCGCCTTTAGCCTTCTTTCCCTAGCTGTAAAATGGGGACAGCAGCAATCTCTTTTACCAGATTGCTTTAATTCCCCTCCCCTCAAATGATAAGCATCCAAAGTGTTTTGCAGAATCAAAATGTTGTGCAGCTGAAAAATGTAGCAGCTATAAATGGTACCAACGCACTGTGATAGAAGCTGCGTTCCGTAACAGCAAAGTGTCATTTGCAGGAAAAGCCAATTTGCTAATGCTCTGCCCCTTGCTGATTGCAAGTACTGTAAGGGAGTTAGGGGTGGGGAAGCAATATAAAAAGGGCCCATGCTTTCAAAGCAACTTTCCGACTTCAAAAAGCACACAAACCCCTCCTGCACACAGCAATAACCACAGGCATCTATTTCCGTGGCAACAGTTTACCCAGCCAATTTCATTCTGACTGGAGAACAGTTGACAAGTCTCATGACAAAGGCCCACACCCACTAGCTGCTACAGCCAGAGGTTGGTTTTTTCCATACTCACCAAAACCATTTACAGAGAACTGATGGTGCTCACATTCTGCCAAAATTAGATAATGCGTATATGTACACTGGGAACAGCCAGGCACAAAAATGCATTCATTTTTATTAATGCTGCAATCCTGTGCAGAATTACCTGAGAGTACATTCCATTAAACATAATGGAACTAACCTCCAGGTAAATATGCATAAGATGAGATTTCACATTAAAACTCGGCCGAATAAGTGGTGGGGGTTGGGAGTTTATAATAGGACCCTGATTTACCTTTCACCTTTCCATATGCCCATTTAATACAGCTTTTGACAAAATGAAGATTTTTTTACCCACTCCTCTGGTTGTCTACGTAAAATTAAACTGTAATGAATCTAACCGACATGTGGCTTTCAAACAGGTGTTCCTGGAATCGCCTGGATCCCTTGGAAGCTGAATAAGGTTTCCTTGGAAAGTAGGCATTGCCAAGCTTCCTTGATATTAACTTCCCTGTCATTAGGAGCATTAAGTTTTATATGCTTGTTATCTGACTGCAACAAAGGAGTTTGGTGCTTCGGTAGTAAGGGATTAAGGGAAAAATTGCTCAAAGTTCCTTATCGGTCAAGCCAACCAGCCAGTTGTAGTCATGACTCTTTCGCTGGAAATCAAATTTTGGGGTGCTAAAAGGAAGCTGTGTTTCTTGCTAAAAGCGACTAATCGGTATGTGGAACAAACAGTTGCAACCTTTGCAGGAAACCTGCTATATGCAGAGGAAAGTATGTGGCTACAGTACTACTGCTGCAAATTGCCCTGGAAATTTGAAAACCTGAGAAATGCACCTTGATACAAGTTTATATTGTTTTGCACTGCATAAGTAATGCCTGTTATTTCAAGAATGTGTTTTAAAATGCTTTAATATATGCTTTTAATTTTATTTAATCCAATGAACCGTTTCGCTAATTATCAATTTTAAATAGCGAGTATTGTTCTGTTTTTTAAGGTAAATCCTTGTAATTGCTGCCATCTGGTTTAAATTTTGTAACTTTGCTTTGTGCTGCTGTGGTCTAAGCAATAATGTGATAAAAGTTAATTTAACTCTTCCATTAGGAAAATTGATGGCAAATTGCTCAGAAAAGCCAGGAAATAGCTGAAAATAAAGCTCCTTGTGTTTTCTGAACTGAGGCAGCTGAGACGAAGATATGCCCCCTTATGGATGACGCAATCTAAAGAAACAAACAACCAAAAGTAACACAAGCAGGTTGAAGGACGGCAACTGGAAGGATGGAGAAAGCAAGAAAGTGCTATTTTTGAGCACCTAACAATAGGAAGATGGGCCTTGTATACTTGTATAAGGCAGCTATTTATTGATCTAGCTCAGAATTTCCCAAACTTGGGTCTCCAGCTGTTTTTGGACTACAACTCCCATCATCCCCAACTAGCAAGGCCAGTGGTCAGGTATTATGGGAATTGGAGTTCAAAAACAGCTGGCGACCCAAGTCTGGGAAACTCTGATCTAGCTTAATATTCCCTACACTGATTGGAAGCAGCTCTCCTGGGTTTCAGAGCCAAGAGTCTTCCCCATCACTACCTAGAGATGCCAGGGATTAAAGCTGGGGCCTTCTGCATCCCAGACATGTGCTCCACCCACAGAGCTAATGCCTGCTCCTCCAATGAGCAGCTAGCTGCGGAGTAGTGTTGGGAGTGTTTTATGACAAGGTTTCCGTTTACCTACTGAAGCCTAAATAAACTTGTCTAGTGCTCTGAGTAAACAAGTGTATGTCTAGCCAGTGGAAGATATACCCAGGAACACATGTAAAGCAGGGGGGTTCTGTGGCAAATGCTTAGCTGTAGATGTTGAGAGCAAATCCTGAAGTCTGCAAATGGGCCATTGGCCTGATCCAGCCAGCTCCTCTTAAGTTCTTATGTATGATTTGAACCAGAACTAGTGGGAATTTCTCTTATTTCAACCAGCATTCCCTCCTTCACAGTCTCAGGTTCCTCTTGCTTCCTACTCAAGTGTCATGCCCTCATGGTAAGCTTTATCAACAGATTAATGAATATAAACCTGCCAAAGGATAGCCAACATAAATTAGTTACTAAGGAGCTTGAGAAACTATCCAAAGAATTGGACTAGGACTCTCTCTCCCTTTTTCTATATATATACACATATTCACTTTAAAAAATGTTTTTAATTGTTGCATTTCAAGGGCAAACTGAACATAATAGCACTTGGCATACATCCATGACTACACATGAGTAGCTCAATCCTGCCCCCAGGCTACCTGGCACACGTCTCTTTGTTGCTGTGCCAGCATCACAGAAGAAGTTGGAAGAAGGGGAGAAGGATAATAGACCTATTTCAGTGTCTGTGGGTCTGTGGGTATTTTTTTGCTGGGTCCACTGGGAATTATTTACAAGGGGCTGTATCCAGCGTTAATTCTACTCAGAGTAAAACCCACTAAATGTGTAGACATTTTTCACTGAGGTCTACCAATTTCAATGGGGTGGACCAAGAGTGGGTCCAATGGACAAGAAGGTAGCCAGAGAAGCAGACACGGAGCAATGGATCCAAACTACAAGAAAGAAGATTCCACCTAAACATTAGGAAGAACTTCCTGACAGTAAGAGCTGTTCGACAGTGGAATTTGCTGCCAAGGAGTGTGGTGGAGTCTCCTTCTTTGGAGGTCTTTAAGCAGAGGCTTGACAACCATATGTCAGGAGTGCTCTGATGGTGTTTCCTGCTTGGCAGGGGGTTGGACTCGATGGCCCTTGTGGTCTCTTCCAACTCTATGATTCTATGTAGTTTTTGCATGTGCTGCACAGGGAAATGAGCGGCAGATGTGGCTCCTCAACCTGGGAAGGTATCCCGTCTAAGAGAAGGAAAACTCTGGTGCTAAAACTTGGGTGCCTTGCGGCTATGCATATTCATGAGAAAGATTTGGGGAGTAAAACTCAAGGAAAAATCCATACCTGCTGCCTTGCAAGACATCTTCAGAAGAAGAAAAGGCAAAAGAGTAAACCCTACACAAATCCAGAGTCCCTGAGAGAGTTGGGTGGCTTGTTGTACCCCTCCTTCAGGAAACTTCTGCAGCCAAGCTGGTGCCAAATGTATTGCTCTGCTTTGGACCACATCAGTGAGGCAGAGAGGGGGGTGTTGTTGTCTGGGCAGCCCAGGACCTCCATACGTCCTGCCCAAGCTTGCACCCCAGACAAAGCAGTGTATTAGTCTAAAAGTTCCCGTCCTCCAACAGAAGACTTCTTCCTCTGGTGGAAGGAAGGAACCGATGTGGCCCAATGTGACAACACAATGTCACTCGAAACACACAAACACACACACGTAGTGCTGCAAGACCCTTTTTAACATCTGACAAATCTAGAACTGAAGCAAAATTCATGATACGAACTGGGGTGGGTGGGTTTGTATAGCTCTGAAAGTTGGCATACAACTATCCAAAGAAATAATACTTGACACAAGGAGAGGGGAGAGAATATGGAGTAACCAGCATTCTGTCAAAGTTCATTTTGTATATTAAAAATATAGCAGCATTTCCTTCCTTTCTGCAATTGCAAACACAGACAAATGTTGCTTAGCAGAAAGTGCAGGAGAGGTTGCATCCAAGTGACAAGAGGAAGTGTACAATTCAAAGTGCTTCCTTTCAAAACAGAAGCCACTACTAGATCTATGTAGAGATCTGCTCTCTCGCACCACACCTCCTTGTGAATTGCAACACTAATTCATTGCTTTTCTAAAGAGCAATTAGGTCGCTTAAGCAAATGCGGAAAGGAGGTTATTTCTTTTCTTCTTGTCCCCTCCGTTAACTGTGACGTATTGGCAGAAGCCGTGCCAGCTGTTACAAATGGATGTTGATTCAGTGATAAGGTAGGAAATTAAGTACAAACTTTCCATTCAGCACACATCGAAAGAGGAAACACCCAAGAGCCCACGGGCATCTAGACATAATTTTCTCCAAAGAACCATAGCTACCAAACTGCTTGGTCTGAATTAAGAGAGGCACATGTTAAGAAAAGAGGAACCATTACAAGGAAGTTGCTCAGGGCTGCTTCCTGTTGCAAGAAAATAATATACTCTTGGGCTGAAATGAATATTGCAGAGGGCAATTTGTCTGCTTCCATGGAGATGGGGGCACAATGGCCGGGTTGCACCCAGGAGATCCAAACTTAACATTAAGGCAAGTTTCCAAGCTACAGTTTGTCTGCAGAGTATAAGAAATGCCCTGTCTTGACCTAGATGTGTCCCAGGTTGCAGCAGATCTTTCACTTAATGAAAGATATTGTGGACACAGACAGCAGCAACATCCAAAGGCAGTTCAAGGTTCAATTCCACGCAAGCAGAGGTCCCAACAAAGGCTCAAGCAAGGGGCAGTCTGAGGTTCAGGTCAGCGGACAACCAAGATCAGGTACAAAACGTAATAGGTGGCAGCCAGGTTCAAGCTCCTTGTATTAATTTACAAAGCCCTGAACAACTTACATCCAGGGTACCGCAGGGACCTCCTGAAACCTCACATCCCAGCTCAATCACTGAGATCATCTGCAGGAACATCTTTGGTCCTTACCGAGGCTCATTTGACAACAAGAAACCAAGCCTTTACTGTCACTGGCTCAGCCCTGTAACGATGGGCAAATAGAGAAGCAACGGGCGTCTTCAGTGCCAACTTTTTAAACACCTGCTGAAAACCTTTCTGTTTCGCCAGGCTGATGCAGGCAATCAATAATACATCTTTGGTTATCATGATTTCTAGTTTCAACTCTTTATATGTTTTTTTTTAATTGTACAGTTTTATGCACAGTTGTTGTGAACCATTTTGATATTTCTTTATGAACTAGAATTTTTAAAAATAAATTAATAAGATGTTATTCCAGCAGCTCTCGTAGCTCATAAGCAACAGCTGTCTGCCCTCCCCCTAACATAGGCCCACCTGTATTCTGTTAAAAGTTTTGACAGAAGAGGGCCCTACTCCTGAAGGAGTCCTCTTCTGCAATCAAGTGGTTCTTCTGACTATGAGGGTCTCTCTAACCCAGGGGTCAGCAACCTTTTTTCAGCCATGGGCCGGTCCACTGTCCCTCAGACCATGTGGTGGGCCGGACTATATTTTGGAAGAAAAGAAAATGAACACATTCTACTCATGTAGAAACAGCAGACAGGCCCCACAAATAGCCCAGAGATGCATTTTAAATAAAAAGAGCAAATTCTACTCATGTAAAAACACGCTGATTCCCAGACCGTCTGCAGGCCGGATTGAGAAGGCGATTGGGCCGCATCTGGCCCCCGGGCCTTAGGTTGCCTACCTCTGCTCTAGCCCATTCCAGAGAAGCAGGTAAAATTAACATGGTGAAAATCATTACCCATCCTACTTCCCTTAAAACTACCGTATTTTTCGCTCTGTAGGACGCACTTTTCCCCCTCCAAAAATTGAGGGGAAATGTGTGTGCGTCCTATGGAGCGAATGCAGGCTCCTTGGCTTCAGCGATAGCAACGCAAAGCCTCTGAAGCGCAAAGGGAAAGCTCCCTCCACACACCAGAGGCTACGCTTTGCTTTCACTGAAGCCTGGAGAGCGAGAGTGATAGCTGTGCAATGACCCCTCTCGCTCTCCAGGCTTCAGGCATAGCCGCGCGCAGCCCCTCCGGCAGGGAGAGGCTGCGCGGGGCTAAAGAGGAAGGCAAAACAGCGAGCGGGATCCATCCCGCTGGCTGCCTTGGCTTGTGCCATAGCCGTGCGCAACCCCTCCGGCAGGGAGAGGCTGCATGGGGCTATGGCTTCTTTAGCCCCGCGCAGCCTCTCCTGGCTGGAGAGGTTGTGCACAGCTAAAGAGGAAGCCAATACAGTGCTGTCTTGGCTTGTGCCATAGCCGCGTGCAACCACTCCGGAAGGGAGAGGTTGCGCGCAGCCTGTATGCTGCTCTTTGGGGCTGGGGGGGGTAAGATTTTTTTTCTTGATTCCCCCCCCCTAAAAACTAGGTGCGCCCTATGGTCTGGTGCGCCCTATGGAGCGAAAAATACGGTAATTTGGAGCTGTTCCTCCTGAGGAAGGGCAGAAGAGCCCTGCATCTGCAACATGCAACAACTCAAATTCCTTTAACTCATTGCACAGAAACAAGTACAACCACATTCCTAGCTAGACTTACTATTGAATATCTGTTGTCATGCTTAGAAAGAATGAATGGCGGGGGGGGGGGGTTAGCAATTGAACACCCAGGCTTTAAAGGTTTGATCATTACAGTCCAGGCAGTGCATATTGGACTGCTTATGTACACACTCAAGTTGCTTTTAAAGGGAGGGGGGAGAGATAACAAGAAGTCACAGGGGTTTGCATTTCGTTTTGCCATGACCCTGGCCAGAATTGGATCCTGGTTTGCAATTCGGGTAAGGCGAGCAAATAGAAATCATAGGTCACTGGTTAAGATGGCAGTGCTAGGAAAGATTCTCATCTAAAAGCTTGAGGAGCCACTACCGGTCAGTGTAGACAATACTAAGCTAGATAGACTAGTGGTCTGACATGGGTGGTGCTGTGGTCTAAACCACAGAGCCTAGGGCTTGCCGATCAGAAGGTCGGCGGTTCGAACATCTGCGACGGGGTAAGCTCCCATTGTTCAGTCCCAGCTCCTGACAACCTAGCAGCTCGAAAGCACATCAAAGTGCAAGTAGATAAATAGGTACCGCTGTGGCAGGAAGGTAAACGGCGTTTCCGTACGCTGCTCTGGTTCGCCAGAAGCGGCTTAGTCATGCTGGCCACATGACCCGGAAGCTGTATGCGGACAAACGCTGGCTCCCTCAGCCAGTAAAGCGAGATGAGTGCTGCAACCCAAGAATCGTTCGTGACTGGACTTAATAGTCAGGGGTCCCTTTACCTTTACCTGACTCAGTATGAGACAGCAACTTACACGTTCCTATAAATTAAATCTCAAAAGATCAGCCAGATATTGCATACCAAAAATAGATCTGAGCGGTCCTTCTTAAGTGAGCGAAGAAGCAAAACCACCTTTTGTCACCATCTATCACAAGGCATGGAAGATAATTATTCCACCCCCGCCATCCAGAGATCTCCATGCATGATACAATGCATGTTGTCAACACAATTCAACTGCCATTGTTAAGATGCAAACTAGCACGTACCAGAGATAACATGTTCTCTCAGGGCCTGCGTAAGGTATCTTTTGTAGGCCTTGGGTCCTGACATCTCTGTGTCAGCCATGACGGCCTAATCCAGACCCAGGCAGTGAAGGAAAGACTCCATGGGGTGGGGTCATTCTGACATGATGAAAGAGGATCAAAGGGGGTGGTTTTGTGATTTGGCATATCTAAATCTGATTTGCTATGCATATGGCCATGGCCGGCCCAAGACATTTGCCACTCGAGGCAAAACAAAATGGTGCACTTTTGCCCTTCAACTCCTCCTCCTTTGCTCCTATGCTGAAGGTGGTGAAAGAGAAAAAAGGTGGCCAGAGAGGAGCAAGCAGTGGCAGGCACGCTCCTCAGGGCCCTCGATCTGGTACCCCTCCTAGCTGTGCCCAGCCTGCCGCTTTAGGCAACTGCCTCACTGAGGCTAATGTGCGGCCTGACCCTGCGTGTGATGCTTTTACAACAACACTGACCTCAAAGCGACTCACACTGATCACAAAAGCATCAAAAATTAGCAAATAGCCTTTAAATCAATATAACCACATCGAAACATACAACAGCATATAAGTAAGGCAAAGCCAAACAACTCAATGAACAATCCATGCCGTTCAAAGCAAACACATAATAGTTTGAAAGCAACGTATCAGAAACAGCTGCTGACTACCAGCCGGACGCCAGCCGAGTCTTTGGGAAAGGGGCTTAACCACCCAGCACAGTCCCAGACAGCAGGTTCTTAGCCGAAAGGGAGGCAGGGGTGGTCTCACTCAGACCTGAACTGGAACACACGCTCCACAGCAAAGCATCAAGAATTGTGTCTTAGTTGGAAACCATAGGAGGCAAAAGTGCTCTTGCTCTGGTATCCTGCTTGCATTTTTCCTGCAGGCATCTGGTTGGCCACTGCGAGAACAGGATGCTGGACTAGATGGGCCTTTGTACTGATCCAGCAGGCTCCTCTTATGGTCTATGCCAGATGTGGGGAATCTGTGGCCCTCCAGATGTCCCTGAACTACAACTCCCATCAGCCTTAGCGAGCATGGCTGATGGGAGTTGTAGTTTGGGAACCTGTGGAGGGCCACAAGGTTCCCCACACCTGTTCTGTGCCTTCACTCTGCATGTGAAGCCAATTGGGAGAAACGGGCTCTGCCTCAGTACGGACATGTCATTTATTTCCTGTTTGCTCTTAGGGAAAGCTATGTGTTTGCACATAAGAGATTAGGGTTTTTATTGCTGTTTATATCGTGTGCAGATATGAAAATGTTTAAGAAGCAACACAAGAGTTTGCCACTAAATAGGAGATTTGTGGCCATCCCACCTGGACTCTCAGAACATGGTGCTGGAAGAAATCAAATTGATCAAAAGGTAGACATGACCGCCAATAGCACACAAATTAAGCCTTCTTTGCAAAATAGAAGTGTAAGGGTGACATCCAATTAAGTCATACTCAGAACAGGCCCAATAAAATCAATGAAAAGGTTGCACACTGCAAAGAAACTTCTGAACTTGCCCTGTACTGAGTCAGATCCTTGGTCCATCTACATCAGTATTATAAACACTGACTGGCAGCAGCTCTTCATGATGTTGGGCAGGGAATCTTTCCCAATGCTACATGGAGATCCTGGGGATTATCCCTGGGGCCTTCTGCATGCAGAACAGATGCCAGCCCAAGCATGGCTAATATTATGCCCAACCCTGTCAGATTTCATTTTGATTTTTAAATTGTCAGGGTTGGTACCTGCATTTGTCAGTTTTCCTCTGCCTTCCTCATTTCTTTTCCCTTTTGTATCATGTCAACAGGACTGTTAAACTCATTATTTTGGATCATACAACACCCTGAGTGCATTACCAAGTGAGCGGTTAAGAAATGTAGTTAACAGCTAAATAAATAAAAAGCAATGTAGTTTCCGTTTTCTCCTCTTGCCGAGATAGGTCTTGGCAAATCTTTTATCTTTTCTGTAACCTTGGCAAAAGCTTTTATCTTTTGTTGCCAAACAGCAGAATCGTCTTATAAAATACGTTTGCCTAACCTACATGGATGGCAGCCAAGATAGGCTTAATCCTATGTTTAAAAAGAAATGCTTGGTGCTAGTTAGATAAAGCTGTTTAGCTTCAACCACCTTTGGACTTTGTTTAAATTTGGTTTATAGGCACAATCTGTGGCAAATGAAGGCAAGGTTAGCATAAAGTTGACCTGCCTGGAATTTGATATTGTCTTTTGTTTTCTCTTCCTTCCATTACTCCCAAAAGCTTGAAAAACTGGCACTAGAGGGAAAAGAAGCTTTTCTTTCTACCAACCAGCCAGTGTGGTGTAGTGGTTAGAGTGCTGGACTAGGACCTGAGAGACCAGGGTTCAAATCCCCACTCAGCCATGACCTTGGGCCAGTCACTCTCCTCCTAACCAGCCTCACAGGGTTACTGTGCGGATACAGTACTTGGAATGAACTAGTTCAGTTTAACAAAGTTCACCAAATTAGTTCAAACAACTCCTGTAAGTGGTTCCTAGGCATATCGGCTGGCTGAACTGAACCTGAATTAAGTTCGTTTTGGGGTAGAACTCTGAATGTTTTCTAGTTCTTCAAGATCATTCTCTTCTTCTTCTTCTTAATTTTTAATGCTTTAGACTCTTTGGAGCTTTAATTTTAAAGAACCTAATTGTTGGGGGAAATAAATTAAACGATGCACATTTCACTGCACATGCATTTTGATGTTTTCTTAGTCTTCCTAAGTATAAATTATACTTCATTATGATGCTGACCTCTGGTAAGGATGATGAGCAAACTAGCCTTCGCCCCAACTTTGAAGCTGCTGAGAGCAACCATTATCCCAGCTCCTTCATGGCAACCCCTGCCATTAATCCACCTCCAAAGCTGGGAGACAGGCTGGAGATGGTTTGAAAACTGTGTAGCACTATGAAAAATAGTTGCAGCATTTGGGACTTTTTATTTAAAGAAAAGGAGAGTATGAAGTGACATGATAGAAGTTTATAAAATTATGCAGTGAACAGAGGAGTTTTTTCTCCCTCTCTTGTAACACTAGAACTCAAGGACGTCCAATGAAATGGAATGTTGGAAGATTCAAGGCAAATAAAAACGAAGTCCGCCCTACAGCACATGCAATAAGCTTGCCAGTCCTTCAGGTGCCACAAGGCACTTTGGTTATTTTTGTTGCAAGAGATTAACATGGCTACCCCTCTGAAGAAAAAAAACATGGTGTGCCCTATGGGGCCAGGATTATTCAGGGACACGCGCGCACACGTGCACACAAATATCCTAGGGTAGAACTACTAAATCGATTCCCCTTCGGTTGATTTTAACACCCAAGAGGGTCTGTAGGGAAGGAGGCTATATTTCAGATATTTGGGGCCTATGCTTTTAGGAACTAGCTGTGATTGTTATGAGACATCTGTTGCCGTTCTGTGATGCTGGGTGACTGTTGTTATTTCCCATCTGTTTCCACCATTATGATGGCAGTGTGATTTGTTTCACTCCAAACAAACCACATTGTTAAGCCACGTTTCGCTATTGGCTTACCAACTGTGGTTTGTTTGGAGTGAAACAACCCATGATCCCAGGGCGTGGACATAACATTAAGCTGGGGATCATGGGGTTTCCCCCTTATGCTAGGGGAGAAACAAAGTAGAAACTATCTCCACATTCATAGAAAATCATTAACTATGATTTATCATGATGGGCAAACAAGACCACTGTTTTGCTTTGGTTGTTTTACTGTATTTTTTTTGTAATTGATATTTTTGTTTCCATTTCTCCTTGTTTAGAAATAAACCAAGGTGAGTAACAAAGAACTGTGTGGGTGTGGGTGGGTGAGTGTGTATTAAAAGAATAAACACACTTTCCATATTTCCTGTTGCCTTCATCCTCCATAACTAATTGTTCTGTTTTTTTCTAAGGAACACTTAAACATTGCAGTTATACATCTCCTTTAGAAGAAGTTGACCTTGTACACAATGCATTCTCCATAATCAAAACTGGAAGGGAAACGGCTACAATGTTAGACACTCTTACTTGAGATTAAACATAACTGAACTCAAATAAGTATGCAAAGTTTGGGACTGCATGGTTACAACCTGCAGTGCATTTAATCTGCAACAATACTTCCACTGATTTTAGTGAGTTGCTACTACAGTGGTACCTCGGGTTACAGATGCTTCAAGTTACAGACACTTCAGGTTACAGATTCCGCTAACCCAGAAACAGTACCTCGGGTTAAGAACTTTGCTTCAGGATGAGAACAGAAATCGTGCGGCAGTGGCACAGTGGCAGCGGGAGGCCCCATTAGCTAAAGTGGTACCTCAGGTTATGAACAGTTTCAGGTTAAGAATGGACCTCCAGAACGAATTAAGTTCTTAACCTGAGGTACCACTGTAAAACGTTTTACCTCTGTAAGAAAAACAAGTTTATAAGACAGTTCATGCTTTCAGGTTTATTCTAAAAAGGCAAAAAATCAGATCTAATTTTCCAGGATGTCAAAATAAGCCAACATATAATGAATGACTCCATGCCATAAGGCTTCCATACGCCACATTTAACAGACACAAAACCACGGTTATTATAACCCCCACCAATTTCCTAGCAATTCTTTCAATGATTTGAGTCTGCAGTAATGGAGAAACTCAATGAATGGTTCTGAAAACATGACATTGTGGTTCAGACGTTTCTTTGGAATTCGTGCAAAATGTGCTAGGTACTCCATTACTCTTTTCTTCCCTGGCGTACTCAGAAATTTATGCAAACCAAGGTGGGGGGGAATCAACTGCTGAAGTTCACCAAATCTTCTCCTGGTTAAAAGGCATGTTGATGGTTTTAAGTGTCTAGACATTGTTGAAATAACTGTGGCATAGTTAGTATGTGAAAAATGCTGGAAGCAGGTATCTTTGGTGTCTTGACTGCATTATAGTAGGAATTGGGAAGTGGAAACCTCTGGGCCAAATTTAACCCCTGTGGGATTCTGTCCTTGTTAGTTTCCAAGTCAGAGCCATGAGAGGCAACAAGAAAGTTGAACCTGAAGCCCACCCACCACCACTTGCTCAGGTTTTTCCTCCAGAAAATCCAATTCCTGACCATGAGTCAAGCCACTTTATTACAGTGTGCCCTGCCTTATTCTCTCCACCATATTACCCATCAATGAAAAAAGCACTGTGAAAGTAACAAATTATACTGTACTCCGACCACCACAACCTAGCTGAAAAGGAAATATCTAATCAGTTGGTTCCTTCCAGTTTTGGAATACTTTGAAATGGAAAGAAAGAAAGAAAAAGCAAGCTCCAAATCAGTAGACGATCTAAAACTGCAGCTCACGGGACTTCCGGGGGAGGCGCCTCCGGCAATGGCAGAATTCCTCTGACCGGGAGGAATCTGCTCCGTGGAAATCTGGGTCTGGCCGCCACGGCGAAGGCGGAGACCCGTTAAAATCACAGGCGGGAGAAGCCTGTTTTGCACCTCCCCCACTCGCGGGGAACCCCGGTTTTTGGGGCTCCGGAGCGACGTGGGGTGAGCGGCGCGGTGCATCGAATCGTCTGCTTCTTCCACGGAGCGAAGCCGCATTGCTGTTGCCGGAGAGCGCTGACCTTTTCCTGTGGACAATTTGACTTTAAAGTAATTACCTGTGAGTAGAGTTGAAACGGAAGAATTGGATCTCTAAAAGTTTAATTTGGCATCGTAACGGGGAGGTACAAAACAGGAAGTCCGCCTTCCCTTTGTGTAAATAGACTGAGGCAACGAAGTTGCAAGCTGGAGTCCTGGAAGGTCTTTTGTAAAAGATCAAATTTCCAACGATAAAGAACATTAAACCCCCTCTTGGAGGCAGGAGAAGAGAGGGGGAAGGTGTGGATTGAATATGCCTGCGGGAGAAAGCGGAGAGGCTTAAAACACCGCTGCTCAGACCCTGGAAACGGGCTGCTAGTAAGATTGATTTTTTGGAGGGAATGTTCATTGACAGCGCTTAGAACGTTCATTGACAGCTAGCTAAATAAGAGAAATACATTGTTTCTACTGTTCCCGGCTGTTTTTTAAAAAGGAGGAAAGTAACTGAGAATTGAAATTAACTTCGGATTATTGAAACTGTGTTTAAAAGAGGACATATTGACCGATACAATTACAACTTGTTTCCCCCTAGTGGAAACTTTTGAAATTGGTTACTTTACAGGAGCTGGGCTGGGGGAACTTCCAGCTGCAAGATAAGAAAAGTGTGAGACTTTGGAATTGACCTTGAATTTCTAAAGTGTTATGGCAAACGGAAGGGAAAAAGCAGACGGGATGTTGACAGAGGAGGCCTTAGCGGCTGCATTATTGAAAATAAATGATTCGCTGGAACAACTCCACAAGAAAACAGATGCGAGGAATGCGAAACTGGATGTTGCAAATATTGAGACTGATTTAATTGTAGAAAGTTTAAATAAGTTGGGACAAAAGGTGAATACTAATTCAGAAACCACCCAGAAACTGATACAGGAATCTACTCTGATACGGCAAACTGCAGATGAAGTCAGGGGAAAAAACCCTTGCTGATGAACTTAAGGTGATACAACTGGAGGGGAGAGCCCCACCCATACAAAGACAACTTGATGAACATAAGCTGACATTCGTTATGATTGAACTTAGAGAAGAGCGGATAAATTTGGGGACCAGAGCCCTGTTTGAGTTGGAGAAGGAAAGCCTGACAGAGCTTCAGGAGGCGACAGGACTAACATTGGTTGAGAAAGAGAGGAATTTGGGGGTTAGTATGACCCCCAAAAGTGTGAATCTGCTTAAGGACAATTGCGAAGGATGTTGGATTGAAGAGAAGGGGAATTTGGAAATATGGTCAAATCAGAAGATGTTACTGTTGGGCCGAGTTGTTGTGGTGGGGATGGGGGCTGCTGTGTTGCTGGGGATGCTGTTGTGGTTTCAAACATTGCAAGCTCTGGATGGGATGGAGGGTCTCAGGAGGTGGCAGAGGGATGGTCCTAGAGTTGTTTGGCAGGGCAGGAAGCCTTGAGTTAAGCTTAAGATATTGATGGATGCTAAAGAAGGAGGTGGACCTGCCCTGCCAGACCTTTAAACTTCTTTGTGAATCATCTGCCTTTTGCTGGTTGAGAGAATGGTTGCTTCTTGAAAACACCAAAGTGTTGGATAATGGCAGACGAAGTAGATGGACTATAGGGAATTAGCGGAAATGACTGGCAAGATCCGAGACCAGGGTGAAGAGCCGGTGGAAGAAGATTGGAAAAAGTTTAAAGACTATTTATAGAAATACTGTAAATTTAAGGATTGTTAGAAAAATGTTGGAATGAAATTACATGGCTTTAGTTGAAATGTCATAAGGAATTAATTATAAATAGATTAATAGAAAATTAAAGAAAAAGTATGGCAAGAATGTGTTAAGATAATTATAGAACAGAAAACAGAGTAAGATGGAAAGGAATTGCTGAAACAAATAATAGAAGTAGAATACAAAAAGGGAGGTGTGAGGAAGTCGCTGGAAATAAGTGAATGAAATATAAGATATTGAAAATGTTTGAGGTGTTTTTAAATTGTTTTTGTTTGTCTTTGCTTGATTTGATATTTGTATTGTTTTTTCTTTCTTTTTTCCTTTTCCTTGTGTTTGTTGCTGTGTTGGAAATTTTGAAAAAGTAATAAATATCATTTAAAAATAATAATAAAACTGCAGCTCACGGATGAGCAAGGGGGTGGGAAGCAGCCTTAGCCTCACCAGCTCTTTGCACGCTCTCTCTCTCTTTGAGTGTGTTCAACCCTTTTGCATCTCAGGCTATAGTAAACAGTAGTATTAATCTGTCATGAGGCTCTCTGGTGTTCTAAACATGCTTACCTTTCTGGAAGCTCTTTAAGATGGGTTTTTTTAAAAAAGAAAAGGATTCTAACCCATCTATCTGGAACTGTCAGAGATAACAATGGAAGGGCACATTCCATGAAAGGCTCAGCATCCATGGAAAAGGCAGCAGACAGTCACTCCGCTATGGCTGCATGCACACTATCCTTTCAAAGCACATCTGAAGCACCTTTGTTCCCTCAAAGGATTATGGGTACTGTAGTTTCTAATGGGTTGCTGGGAACAGTAACTCTGTCAGAGGCAAAGTACGGAGCCCATAATTCTTTGAGGGAAAGAACGTGCTTCGAATATACTCAAAAGGTATAGTGAGTACACAGCCTTAGACGACATTATTTAAACTTTTCTGCTTCTTCCCACGAGGATCAACGAGGTTTTACCTGCCCCAACTCTTCCTTCTTCCTCGCCATCTTTGAATCCTCAACAGCGGGTTAATTGAACAAGGCCTTCAGCAAAGCTGTCCTACTTGTTCGTGATCAGTGCATGGCAGAATTTGGAAGAGAAAGGGGTGTTTTGGCCCTCGCCCATTCCCACCTGGATTAAGGCCATAACACTCTCAAAGGAGAGAGGAAAAAGTCACACATTAAATTTGTCCTGCTGCAACCCTATGGATGCTCATTTGGGAGTAAAACGCACTGAATTCAGAGGGACTCACTTCTGTGTGAACATGCACAGATGAAAAATCCCCTTAAGGTTCCCATTGTGAGACTTGCACAAAGGATAAACAGTATCTCAGGCTGCTAAAATGCCAGTTGAAGTAGAAGATAAAGGAGAACCAGCTGGAGTAATTTATTCAGGCTTTCAATGGGCCTTTGACAAACTCCTCACAATTAGCTACTGAAGAAACCAAGTAATCAGGGAGCGAGGTAAAGCATTACTTTAAAAAAAAGGGGGGGAGGTGGAAACTCAACTAGGAACACAGAAACAATGGCAAATGTTGTCATCATCAATCTGAAGATTCAAGATGTCATATCAGAGTCAAAGCTGATTAACACGTCAATTGAGAGAGAGAGAGAAAGGTTGCAAAATAGCCTAACCCAGAAAAGGACACATTGGATTATAGTCCCAAATAGGATTGATGGGATACAGGCACCTCCTTTCAGATGTTGCTACAGTGCTCGCACTGATGGGCTTATCTGATCTGCAAGAGCCTTTTTCGAATAAAGCAACTTATTGCATCACGAACACTGCTGTGTGAGAACTGGCCCTCATTTAGGATAAGAGAGGAGCAATGACGCTATAGCATTTTAAACTGAATTCCTGAACAATATCAGCTTGAGGATCCACTCAACTTCATTTGACCCTGGTCCCATGCACACCCTAAAAACTATGTAATTGCAGAATTGCATCCTGGCTCTTGGGGGGGCGGGAAAACACAATCACACACACAGCAACACAAAACACATTATTCACAGATTCTTCTCAGAAATTCCACACTAGTGGTAGCTCATGTTTCACCACCTCCATCAAAGGGAGAAGAGCTGGAGGTAGACAGCAGCAGGAAACTTTGGAAGGGGAGACACCATCCTTTAACTCAAAAAATGTGTCTCCTCTTCTCCCTCCTATTGCTGCACCCAGAGGTTCCTCACTGCAGAATTATAACCTGCAAACTGGGAATTTTTGTGGAGAGGGGCTGCTGGGGGTGGTGCTGTTTACTGAATATGGATTACCATCTTGGGACCTTACACAATTCTTCTGCAGACTGGGGAATCAGTATCTCACTATAGAAACCCAAATTCATATCCCCACTCAGCCCTGAAGCCTACCCAGTGACATTGAGTCAGTTACGCTGCCTCAGGCAAACCCACCTTAAGGGTTATTACAATAAATGGGGGGGGGGGAGAGAGAGACTTAACCATTTATGCCATCTTAAGCTCTTGGAATAAGGTGGAACGTGACTTTTATTACTTAACATTTACTTTTGATCCCATGGCAACTCTCCCAAACCTCCCCTTGCTAGCTAGTTACTTATTTCATTTGTATCCCACTTTTTTCTCCAAAGAGCTCAAGGCAGTATACTTGGCAGCTCAAGGCACTATCCTCCCCCTCCTCATCTAATCCCCACAACAACCCTGTGAGGTAGGTTAGGCTAAGAGGCAGTGGCTGGCCCATGGTCACTCAGTGAGCTTCATGGCCAAGTGGGGATTTGAATCCTGGTCTCTCATGTCCCAGGCTGCCACTCTAACCACTGCAGTGGTTCACAGTGGCAGCAAATTTCTATTTAGAATTTCCTGGCTTGAAGCAAAGGCTCTTACCCACTGTATTACCACTGCAAACCTAACTCAGTAAAATGAGAACTGAAGAGCCACCTTCGCATAATAGAAATAGGCTTATGAACTAGAGCATGATGGAAGAAAACATACTCCCTATCACATTCCAACACCGATTTATATTATTCTGCCTTTTAAAAAAAGAAGTAGTAGTACTGGTAATTATGGAACTTATCCCACAAGTATGAAGCACGCAGTTTTGTAACCAGATCTGCATATTCTCCATCCTACACTGAATAGGATGCTGTCAAGGTGACACTGTGCTGTGCAATTGCTTTTCTTTTTTAAAAAAAAAACACTTAAAAAAAAAGCTAGTTTAATGATTAATCCTGCTTCAGCTTTTATAAAAGGGTTTCTAATCACCTTGCGTATTACACTACAGCTTTTTAAAAAGGGAGGTATTTAAAATTTGAAGGAGGGATACTAAAACAGGGAAGAAGCCGTTTTGCCCAATTATCTCTACATTGTGCACACCAAACACACTCCAATAGGATATTTCACACTAGAATCTAGTGACTAGTTATGGACTAGTCTCATCTCATTGTGTCCAACCAGACATTACGAGCATGCATGGCTAGCACCAGCCTACATTTCCTCAGTAACATGTAGTACCGTCACAGTCAACCTTTACGCAACTGGAGTGCATCTTTAACCCTAAACTATACTGCACAGCACAATGACAACAAGGCCATATTGCACTGCAAGCGAGTTCTCGCTGCAAGGAGAGGGCATGTCCTTTTTTGCCTGCAACGTTTCCCAAGAATTTGGATCATCTTATATTGAAGTGGGCATGAAGAAAGGCCAACAACTGTGCACTTCAGAACTCTGCAGACTCCAGCAAGATGTGTTTAAGCACATGGGTGGGGGCTCCCCCCACCTCCACAGATACTGATGGGTATCTACTGTGCCTAGATACTGCACACCCAATGATAAACCACTTCCATCCTTTGACTATGAACTGATGCAACTTAGCCACAATCAAAGGGTTGGTTTTAATTAGAGAAACTTAGTGTTGGTCTGGCCTTCTAACAGCTGTTGCTGCGGGTCCTTCAGCTTGGTGGGAAGAGCCACTTTATAGTACAGGCTCAATGGTCGGATCATCTGCTTTGCATGCAGAAGGTCACGGGTTCAATCCCTAGGGTCTCCTGGTACTTCCTCATCCTTCAGCACATGTCCAGCTTGCAACTTAACCCACCTTTAAAAGGAATTGGGAAGTAGCAGCAGCTGCTGCTATGACCTGAGGGATGTAGAATGTGATCCTTTTTGTAGACTATGGTGGTGAAGGTAGGTGTGGGTGGGTGGGTGTATTTCATCTACTAGTCTCACAATGGCTGCTGTAAACACCTTGCAAACCAACCTGGAATTGCCTCAGCCAGTTATCATCTCTATCTTATTCTCTATCTCAGGTTCCTTGGGAGCAACATATCACCATCAGAACCACAATGAACTCAAGACAGCTTTGGCCAGTTTTTGCCCCCAGTCGCAAACCACTGCGTTAACATTGGCTAACATGAGGTCAAGTCTTGCATTTGGAAACAGGTTCTGGCAAGTATTACATCCTCTCCATGCTGATTTCCTGGGTGAAGTTCGTTCTGTTATTTGTCATGAACCTTCACAAGCTTATCACATCATTGTGAGTCACTCACCACCTGTCCATCTGGTTTACTGTAAAAGCTACAAATTCTTTAAAAGGACACATTTCACACTGAAGGGTTCTTATTAATACCCTTGGAGAAAGCAATTGCTATAAGGGGAAGCTTAAACCTAGTTCTTCCTGCATAGATGAAATGTGTACGAAATAGATTGTGAATCACATGAAGTTTGTACAACTACAATTCCAAAATGAACACATGTGTAATCTACATATGCAAAGATGTGGTTTGCCTGCACAAACTCAAATGAGGCAGCTCATCTCAGAACACTGATAACCTGGGCCACTTTTATTGACTGTATAGGTTGCATGGACTGATGAAACCATATGTTAAGCCTAGAGGAGACTGAGAGGAGATATGGTAGCCATCTTCAAATATTTCAAGGGCTGTCACATGAAAGGTAGGGTAGGACTCAAACCAATGGCTTCAAGTTACAAGAAAGGAGATTCCCACTAAACATCAGGAAGAACTTTCTGACAGCAAGAGCTGTTTGACAGTGCAAGAGACTCCCTCAGGAGGTTGTGGACTCTCCTTCCTTGGAGGGTTTTAAACAGAGGTCGGATGGCCATCTGTCATGCATGTTTTAGTTGAGATTCCTGCATTTCAGGGGATTTGACTAGAGGACCCTTGCGGCCTCTTCTAACTCTACAATTCTATGATCCAAACAGGCTCGTAATGAAGATTTCTTGGAACAGAGCAAATAATGAATTCCGAAAACCCCCAGCAGTACTTAGCTAATTGAGAACCACTGTTCTAGAAGGTTTGTTGAATGGGGACAAGCACAAATATAAATCTGCACGGAACTCAGGTTGCCACTTCATGCACCTGATGAAGTGGACTGTAGTCCTCCAATGCTTATGGCATAGTAAGTCTGTTAGTGCTATAAGACTTCTCAGTCAGTAAAAGCATGAGACTCTTAATCATGCATTTCTGCATTGCAAGGGGTTGGACTAGATGACCCTCGTAGTCCCTTCCAATTCTATGATTCTTTGATTCTTGTTGTTTCCAGTGGGTGACAGCCTTATAAATCAATGCCAGCAGTGTAGGGAGAAAAATTGTCAAACTTGAAATAGCTCTTGGAAATCATTTCCATTCAGGAAAGAAAGACTTGTTTTCCGCAATAAGAACTATGGTCTTGAAAGGCTAGGAGCACATTTTGTTCAGATAATCAGCAGCCTCCATGAAACGCTGTTCTTTATTCTGAAAATGAACACTTTGGCTGCAGTTGGCTAATTTCCCACCTTCTCTTAACAAAAGCATTACCAAAAAAAAAATTAAAAACCCTTTCTCCGCTGTAGTTTTAGAGACATGCTCAATATCTGTAGGCTTACGAAACGCAGAGACTGCAACACCAAAAGGAAATGAAGTTTAAAAAGGGAAATGAACAGTGCCATATTGAACAGATTACAGCACAGATTGGTCAACAGATGCAGCCCGTCAGAACAGTCACTCCCTTTCACTCCTAGAAAAACCAAATGTAAACAGAGAGCAAGAGGGCATATCAATTGTGAATTATGGAATATGCTTCACGGTGACCATTCGGGGTTTTCCCGCCCTCCCCTGCTGCCAATAATGGGAAGCACCTGTACCTCAGGGTTGCCGCTGAAATGGTAACGATGAGCTGCTCATCTGTTAATGCACCTGTTAATGCATTTGCAAAGCCCCATTGCTTAATAAACGACAGTTTCCTGAAAGTTCTGGACATCAACCCAGAGGCAAGAAGAATCAATTCACTAACACCCGAAAGTAACCCCAGGATTTTCATGAATAGAGCATAATGTAGGATGCTGCTTTACTGCAGGCAAGGCTGGTTGCCTTTCTTGCCTAATATTGCCAGAAACTCTCTAGTCTAATCTCATCTGAGGCAGAGGACTTTCCTATCATTTGCCACCAGGCCCTTTTAAAAAACTGGCAATGCCAATGATTGAACCTGAGACCAAGTGCAAGCAAAGGAAGTGCTCTACCACTAAGTCATAGTGTCCCTCCCCTCACTAATGATTTATTGGCAGTCCAGGAAACAATTTAACCACATGAAACAATGCTGAGCTGTGCCTCTGAGGGTGTGCAGAGTGCATATCTCTTAAATAACCACTGGCATCTTCTGCACCACTGAGATTAAGGGTTTTCAGCTATGACATCTCTGAGTTGTATTCAACATTATATGTACTTGGTGAAGACCTAATTCAACCACAGATCTATTAATTTCAGTAGGTCAAGCAGAATTTAGTTGGATTCAACCCTCCCCCTCTCTATATGATCAATGTCTGTACTAATAATCAGAGTAGGATGCCTGCAATGTTTGATACCTGTTACATGCCCAGTTGATGTAGGCTATAACCTTAGCACCCTTCCCTACTGGGAAGTAAGTCTTACTCAACACAGTGGGACTTCTGAATATGCTGTATAGCACAGATGGGGAAGTTGCAGCTTTCAAGATGTTGCTGCACTACAACTCCCATCATCCCTGCCACTGGCTGGGGCTGATGGGAGCTGGAGTCCAACATCATCTGGTGGGCCACAGGTTCCCTATCCCTACTGCATACGACTGTACTGTTAAGTTTTGACCAGTTGAAAAGAAGTGCTGCCACGCAAAACATTTGAAGGCATAAATCTAAAAAGAAGACTTCATGCTTTTTTCTTCAAAGTTATTTATGCAAACATTTGATCAATCGACTAAATCTTTGTTTAAATAAAGCACTCTGAAATAAGGGTCGTTTACATATACAATTGACCCAGAGGAGAGAGTGAACAGGGAGATGCCAGGATTGAAGACTGCCTGAAACCTACCCTATATCTTCCCAACAGAGCTTCTGCTTGTAGCCTATGTACCCACCATACATTTAAAGTACACACCCACACCCTGGGAACTGTAGTTTGTTAAGGGTCCTGGCAATTGTAGCTCTGTAATGATTAAACTACAGTTCCCAGGATTCTTTGGTGGTTGCACATTAGAGAGGAAGAACACTCTGGATATGCTCAGAGGCAAAGAAACATCCTAAGCGCTATAAATTTTTAATCAATTGGTTTGACTGAAAACTTTTTAAAGTCAATTAAAAAGAGACTTTGTTAACACATTATTTAGAGAGACATTATTTTTCAATGTGAATTATAAGAAGAGTCAGTGCCATCTTAGGAGAGGTGGTTCTGCTTTCATTCTCACGCAGGAGAGAATGCCTCAAATGCACCACGGAAGAACCAACCAAGAATGTTCTTTTTCCCCCTTACGGAAGGATCAGGGCCGTTCTTCTGCTCCTATGCAAGAGCATGCAGATTTCATCAAACAAGTTCTTAAACTCAACCAACAACCTTAATGTTTCTTTGATTTGAGCAATTACCATAATAGCATCAGATAATGGCCAAGATTCAGAATTTAGTATGGAGACAAATTTCATCGCAATCTTAATGCTCAGCTTGCTGGCTGTAAGCTCCATTGAAGACACAGGGATCCTTTCTCCTGAGTGCTGCATAGGACTCTACTGGGTGTTATACGTGTGTGCGTGTGTGTGTGTGTGTGTGTAAATATATATGAACACATACACAAACATGTATATATGTCTCTGTGTATTTCATCACAAAAATAATCTCAACATGTCCGAAACATTTTGAAAGGATGCCCCTCATCTTCCACAGTTCACAAAAGAAAAAAAAATATCCCCAGCTACATTCCATCAGCTGCCAAGGAGATCCACCTGGGCTACTAAAAGATGCAAGGATCAAAGCCTTCCTCCCCTACTCCGCAGAGTTTTTTGAGGAGACGTGGACAAAGTGAGAGCTAGAAGTGTCTGCAGACCGTGCATGCTCAGAGGTACACTTGTTTTCTGTCTTCAGATCCTTGACTTAAAAAATAAATAAAAAGGAGATGGAGGAAGAGGAAGGGACAACGCTATCTTTCCCCAAGCCCCTTATTCTATTGCGCTAGAAGCCCCAACCAGCCAATTAGCGCAGCGCAACCTCTTTTTCTTCCCCGAGCGCAAGAACACCCACCAAACAAGCGACCTGGCCAGATATCTGGGGGGTCCTACGGAGGAGGAAGGTCCGCGCGCAAACGTTAGGAGGGGGCGGCGGCGCGCGCGCAAAGCCCTCACGCCCCCCCCCGCCTTTTTGACGCTGTGAGAGTTAAGGGCACATATCCGAAGCGTCTGAGGTACCGGGCCCGCCGCGCCCAGGGCGCACGGAGCAAACAGCCCCTAAACTCACCTCTGCCGCTGCTGCTTATCCGGCCAGGGCTTCGTCGCTGTCCTCGGCTCGGGGTTTTGCCTACCCTGCCTGCGTGCGTAGGTGGGTGTGCGAGAAAGAGAGGAGAGCCCAAGCCGAAGGGTGAGTCAAAAGCGGAAAGGCGCTGCCTGCCCGACGTGCGGGTGCCGCCCCTGCCCTCTAGCGGCGTCGGCTCCCCCGGCGGCGCGGCCACTCTCCCGCCTCACCAAGCACGACTGCAGCGGGGCCAGAGCGGAGGGAAGGCGCGCTTCGCCTGCCTCCGCGGTGGGAACCGAGGCAGGTGCTTCAGGGGCGGGGCCTGGGGAAACCCCGCCTCTAGTTGCGCGTTGCGCGCCTGGCGATTGGCGATTGGCAGCCCGTTCCTTCCCCTTTCTATAAGCCCACGTGGAGCTGCAGAATGATGTGGGAGCACGAGGGTCGGGGCGCAGCGGGCCTCTAGAGAGCTTGGAAATGTAGAGCTGTAAGCATGGGCGTAGCCAAGGAGGAGCAGCTGCCCCCAATTAAAAAATCAATAAAAATACTTAGCAAACTGAGGTTCTGACCCCCCACCTAACAAAAATCCTGGCTACGCCCATGGTTGGAAGGGACCCCAAGGCACCTTTACTCCAAACCTCTGCAGCAGAGAAATCACAAGGAAAGAATCCCTGATCGATGGCCACCCAACCTCTGTTTTTAAGAAAACCTCCCATGAAGGATAGCCCACCACTTTATGAGGTAATCCCTTACATTGTCCAACAGCTCTTGCCTTCAAAAAGTTCCTGCTGATATTTATTTGGAATCTATATTGTAACCGGAATGCATTGGTTTGAGCAGCAGAAAGCAAGCTTGCTCCATCTTCCATGTGGCAGCCCTTCAGGTATTTCAAGACAGGTATCCTATCATATCACTTCTCTGCCTTCTCCAGGCTAAACATACCCAACTTCCTCAACCTTTCCTCACAAGGCTTGGTTTCCAGACCTTTGATCATCTTAGTCACCCTCCTCTGCATCTGTCCTAGCATGTCATTTGAGGTTAAGCCTAGATCATACTGGTACTCAGCACCTGCAGTGCATTGCCTAAGATCATCTCTGGCCAATTTATATGAAATTGTAGTCCAAAACATCTGAAGGGCACCAGGTAGGTGAAACCTCCTTTAAATAATGTTGTCCAACCCTGCAAAACATATAATTATTACTTGTTTAAGTCCAGGCCTTACAGGCCTTTTGTGACTTGGTTTCGTTTCCTCTGAAAAGGCATCCAAGTAGAAACACCCAGCTGCTCATATCATCCCCAGGTTAACCTCGTCCCCCTGAATGCTGGTGTCTATTTAACAAAGAATCCTTTTATCTGCTGGCCTTCACAACCTGATTGAGCTCCTATTTCTGTAGCAGACATTCATTCCCATGCCCAGAAAAGGATAACCAGTCATGATCAGCTTCATTTTAAAAAAACAAAAAACCCCAAAACAGAAAAACACCCAACCAGTTGTTGGGATACTGCCAGGGAGATAAAGTCCATCAAGGCCCCCAAGCCGTCTGCCGGACGATCCATTGACCTCCCGTAGTCACGCAGTATCAACAATTAGCGACATGAGTTTCTAGAAGATTTCTTGCCACATTCCAGAGCTCATGCACACTCTATCAGCAGATAGTCACAGCAAAAGTTGCACCCAGGAGAGCATTATTTACAAGTTTATTCAGCGTTGATCAGAACACAGAAAAACATGACCGACTGCTTTAGTGTCTGCGACACCAGAGAGAAAACGAAAGCAACAGAAAACATAAACATCCTGTGAACAGGAAATACGCAGACTCGGACTCACAAAGCCTGCTCCCTTTTAAGGTGGAACGGAAATATCCTAACATCCTCCCCCTTTCCGTGTAACCTGTAGTACCTGTGGTTCAACCCAATTGCAACCTTTGTACGTAAACCTTAAGTTGTTCTCTGTTAACAACCTTAGACAACAGATCAGCAGGAATTTCATTTCCTGGCATGTAGGACACCTGAATGAGTCCTTTCTGAATACACTCCCTTGCACGATGTAGCTTAATCTGCAAGTACTTGGTCCTTTGCTTGCAACTCTCCGAGTTCAGCAAAGCCAAACACGATCTATTGTCTTGATACACTTGTACAGGACATTTCACAGAAACTCCGATGTCCTTAAACAGTTGCATCAACCATTCACAATCCATGAGTGAAAATGACAGAGCATTGAGTTCTGCTTCACAGGAACTTAGGCTCACTGTCGTCTGCTTTTGCACAACCAGTCAAACAGGCAGTGGTTGTACATGTAGCATACTCCAGAAGTGCTTGTACCATCCGTGGTGTCACTTCCAAAACTTGCATCTGCAAAGATTTCAAGACCTCCAGTCTTCTGACTGGTGAACCTCAGCCTGTAGTGCATAGTCCCTTTCAAATAGCGGGCTATGCGCTTCAGAGCTTTCCAATCCTGAACAGTAGGATTGTTAGCATGTCTGCTAAGCAGGTTAGTGCTTACAGCTATGTCAGGTCTTGAGCATCTAGCAATGAAATTCAACTTGCCTAGAATGCATCTGTACAGCGTTGTGTCAGAAAACGCTTCAGCAGTACTGTCTACCTGGTAACCTGTCACCATCGGTGTGTCTGCTGGGTTTGCATCAACCAAATTCAACCTGGTTAATACATCAGCAATTTTCTGTGTTTGGTGTACCAGAAAATTACCTGCTTGGTCCCTCTCCACCTGCAGAGAAAGATAGTTGGATACCTCACCAAGATCCTTCATGTCAAAGTGCTCCTTCAGCTGAGCTAGGGTGCTTTGGTACAAAGCCTGATTCTTCCAAAACATCAGAAGATCATCAACAAAACATAAACAATACAGTTTGTTTTGCCCCTCCTCCTTGACAAACACACATGGATCAGCTTTGCCCTGGTGAAAACCTAGAGAAAGCAATGTCTCAGTGAGTTTTGTGTTCCAACACCTGGCACTCTGCTTGAGACCATATAAGGATTTCCGCAGTTTACAGACCATTCCCTTCTGTATCTGCATCCCATCAGGTGGAAGCATAAACAGCTCCTCCCCCAAAATCCCGTACAAAAAAGCTGTATTAATGTCATGATGGGAAACATGCAGTTTCTCCTCTGCAGCTATCTTGAGCATCAGCCGAATGCTCTCATATTTGACGGTGGGTGAGTAGGTCTCGTGGTAATCCTGTCCTGGTACCTGTGAAAAACCTCTGGCAACCAATCTGGCTTTGTGTCTGACAACCTTGCCATTCTGGTCTGTCTTGGCCTTGAAGACCCATTTGCTGCCAACCAGTCTCATTCCTGGGACTACCGGTACCAATTCCCAAGTTTGGTTCCTGTTCAAGGAATCAACTTCAGCCTTCATGGCATTAAGCCAAGGCTCAGCATCTTTAGAGGTTAACTCCTGAACCTCTTTGAAGCTTGAAGGTTCCCACACCTTCTCTGAGCTACTAAGAACAGCAGTTGCTGTCTTAGCAAACTCATCAGCAAATCTCTTTGGAGGTCTGCCCTTCGTGGCTCTTTCAGATCTGCGTACTAGACGCAAGTCTTCTGGACTCATCTCCTCCTTCTTAGGAGAAAAGTGACCAATGGTGAACAGTGGTTCTTCCAGTTCATTGTCAGACGCATCAGATGGTCTGACTGAGGCCTTTGCGCTCTTGTAGTCTGCTGTGTCATCACTGTCACTGACATCAGCAGCAGCGCCGCCCACTGAACTGGAATCCGAACTCTGATCATCATCATCATCATCATCCTCAGCAGCTTCCTCAGCTTTAGCTGCTTCTTTGACATCACCTTCATCCTCCTCTGGGTAACTCTGGAAAATTCCCACATTTTCCCCCCACTTAGGATTGTACTCAACACTCCTTGTGAACTTAATGGACTTAGAGTTGGTCATCCATACCCTGTATGCACCTTTTCGTACCCCATGAACAAACCATGTGCCCCACGCTTCCCAAGCTTGTTGCTCTGTGGGGTGTGTACCCACATGTCAGAACCAAAGATTCTCATGTGCTTGATGTTGGGTTTCTTACCAAACATCTTCTCATAGGGAGTACAACCAATAGGTGATGACAACCTGCGATTAAAAGTGTAATCACACGAGTTCAAAGAATCCCGCCAAACCGTCTCAGGGGATTGGCATCATGCAACAATGTTTTCAGTCCTTGCAGCAACGTTTGCTTTGCTTGCTCACAAATCTCCCATGGAGATCCAGGACTTGAGAGGCTATGCTGGATTCCCTTCTCAGTCAGGAAAGCTTCAAACTGCTGAGAAGTGAACTCCCCGCCTCGATCAGTAAACAGACAGCCAATGCGTTTACCGTGAACATTCTCCAACCAAGCACAGAATGCCTTGAACTTAGGAAACGCTTGCGATTTCTGCTCGAGCATAAACACATGAATGTACCTGGAAAAAGAATCAATTAGAACCATGAAGTACCTTGCTCCACCCAAAGAGGGCGCAAGTGGACCAACCAGGTCTGCGTGCACTAGCTGGTAGGGTTTGGAAGCCTGCCTGCTAGACTCCTTGCCTTTTGGAGCAACCTTCACCTTGTTCTCTGCACAAGATACACATTTCATGTGAAACTTACAGGGTTTGATGTTCAAACCCTCAACCATCTCTGGCATCTTGGCCAGCGCCTGCCAAGACATGTGACAAAATCTTCTGTGTGCATCATGAATGCATCCTGCATGAAGAACTTTGTTAGTTTGTGCAACACAACAAGAATCAACATTAGACACAACAGCACCAATGTCATCATAAGTTATACAGAACAAGCCATCCATAAACTTTGCATGCAAAATGTCCTCTTTGCCTTTTCTGATGACACAGACGCTCCTCTTGAAGGAAATCTCAAAACCACGCCCAGTCAGCTGTGGGACACTGAGCAAATTGTCTGCAGCGCCTGGAACATACAGTACATCTTTGATGGTAGTGTGCAGACTTGCCAGTTTCACAGTCCCGATTCCTGCGATTCGCAACGTCTTTCCGTCAGCCAGGTGGATCTCACCTTCTTGAGGTTTGAAGGAGATAAAGAGGTGGCGGTCCTTTGAGACATGGCGGGTACAGCCTGAATCAACAACAAACCTGGCTGTGACCTTTGGAGCAGTCTTTGCAGCAAGCAAAACCTTGTTTTCCACCGGCGTGGGCTTTTGCAGCTTGCCCCCCTGCTCCTGGCCATCAGACTTGCCTTTAGCCTTTGGTGAAGCTGTGCCAGTAAACAAAACCTTGTTTTCCACTGGCGTGGGCTTTGCAGCTTGCCCCCTGCTCCTGGCCATCAGACTTGCCTTTAGCCTTTGGTGAAGCT